CAACAACAACAACAACAACAACAACAACAACAACAACAACAACAACAACAACAACAACAACAACAACCACAGCAGCTACAACAACAACAACAACAGCTACTACTACAACAACAACAACAACAACAACAACAACAACAACAACAACAACAACAACAGCTACTACTACTACAACAACAACAACAACAACCACAATTGCTCGCGGCTCATTTGCTGAATCATTCTATCTCATCTAGCATACAAATACAATCCCAATTCCTGCCTTCTTCCTCTGTAAATCATGTGCCGTTATTTTCAGCGGCAGTCCATATTCAGTCTTCAACCACGAATTCATTAGCGAATTTTCAAATACCCAACAACATCGATGTCAACCAATATCCCGATATGACAACGCTTGTCAATGCAAACTCAGCAATGATTCTACCCTCAGTGGAACATAGATTTGTAGATCATAAAGTTTGTAGTATATGTGGTAGAAGAGCAACAAGAGATATGTCTCGTCATATGAGAACGCACCAAATCCACTCCAGATTTATCTGCAAATTCCCCAGAAATCAATGTCATCATAAACTGGGGAAGTTTAATCGCCCTTATGACTATAAAAAGCATTTATTGAATAGACATTTTAAATTTGATAATCCGAGTGTTAAAAAATTGCATAATTTGAGTAGCAAATTGGGGTTTTGGGGAACTTGCATGTGTGGGTATCGATTTACCAGCCAAGATTGGTTGAGCGACCATATCCTTACAAAAGATTCAGAGAAACGATGCCCGTTCTTTGAAGAATAAAAACTGTCACTTTTTTCCACTTTTTTCTCATGGTGGTAATATAACTAGAACTCAAAAAAGAGTAGATCTCAATAAGTTGAAAGAGTATATAGTTTGGTTTGAAGAATTGTTCAAAAATGGATGCTACTGTATAATTTTTACTCCTTTAAAAAGTAGTACCCCATTAGCAGTATCTTACATGCCCTGAAACGTAGTTAATGCATTCATCCACCTCAAAAAGACGCTTCTCATTTGGCGGTAAGTACAATGTGGTTTTACCAATTTTATTCGTTAAGCAAAGTGGGTAAAACAAAAAAAAAAAAAAAACCACCTAAAAATTTACTTTTAAGATAGTTTCAAAAAGGTGCTTTGATGTTATTTAAATCAAAAGAAGAGAAAAAAGAAAAGAACGTTAATTGTGAAGTAGGCTGAAAAGGTGAAGGTGTTTCTTCGCCATTTTAGCTAGTTTACTATGTGTTTTTTTACCTCTTAAAAAAGCATTCATTTCTACCCCCTAAAAAAGAAGGTAAAAAAAAAAAGGTAAAAATGCATACAATATAAGATTGCCGGATTCCTCTCGCCATATAATATGGGAGAGACATTGAGACTGAGATTGCTCAATATGTGAGAGACATTGAGACTAGAATAGGTCAATATGCTTGAACTTTTTTTATAATATAAGTTATACCACGAGTTGTGGAAGTATACAAATAGGTGGCGAAAGCTGTGCTTAGAGGAAATAATAAGTTAGCAACCTTTTCCTGCGTAAAAAGCCCAACTTTAATTTTTGCGTGCTGATTAGTTGCAAATTATTTACATCAAAAAAAAAAAAAAAAAAAAAAAATTAGGAAAAAAAGTTATTTTGAGTCAAGGATATCTAGCATTTGAGATATACTTTCATTACAATAATAGGTCAATGAACTGTTGCAAGTTCTTAATTCATTTTTTTTTAAACCTATAAAACCGTGCAGCAGAAATAATTAGCTTTTTTATGTCCTCATTAGTTGTTTCATGAGCCCTGTTGTACGATTAATGGTTTTTGATAGCCTGGCTAACATCTGTGGGACATTAAACTGAGTCTTTAAAAAAATCAATTACTTAAACGGAAGAAATACTCGTGAACAGGAGATGTCAGAGAAATACTTGTGAACAGGAGATGTCAGAGAAAATCTAAACAATCGACTTGAAAATTCACTATGAATTATCACATCGATGAAACTGATGGTAATAAATAATTATACCAGTTCAGTTATTAGCCTACTATTGTCTTCAAACAAGCATAGAAGATTGTATAAATTGGGGCTTGGTTGCATGAGAAACAGCTATGCATCAAGAGATTAGAGAAAAAAAAATTTTTTTTTGTACTTTTCTCTCATGTAATCTAATTAGCGTTTACCTTTTGAAAACTTGAAACTACTTAATTTTGTTAACTTTGCTTGAATCTTTGATCTGCTGCATTGTCCCCCCCCCCCTCCCCCCACTCCATTATACACAAAAAAGTGTTGATTTCAAACGCTTTTTCCAAGCAGAAATTTTCATCATTTTTCTTTTCCAAGTGCCTGTTCCAAAATTGTAAAGTCTTAATTCTTGATTTTTTGTCTCTTATCTCTTGTCACTTAATTCTTGATTCTTGTCACATGATTCTTGATTCTTGATTCTTAATTCTTGATTCTTGATTCTTGATTCTTAATTCTTGTGTCTTGATTCTTGTCTCTTGTTTTTGTATTTGTTTTTCATTCCATATCTTGGATCGCATCTCCACGAAATTTTCTCTTTGCATTCCTTCTCCAAGATCTCATAGAACACAGAAAAAAAGGGGGTCAAGATCTTTCGCAAACTTTAAAAATGCACAATAAGATCTCTACTACAATCGACTTAACAAAAGAAAAAAAGCCTTAAAAAAAAAAAAAAGAAAAAAAAGTCAGTTAAAGTGATGAAAAATTGTGGCTTAGTGGAAACAGGTTGAAATTTGAAGTGACAAAGCTTACTACGACGAGATAAATAATTATCCCTGTCACGCCAAACGACCAAAATTACAACCCGTGTGTCATTTCAAAATTGAAGCTTTCATTTCCGAAATCACTTTTTAAAGCCGATGCGAAAAAACTTCTAAGGAGGGGTGGAGTGGGGGGTGGGGGAACCCCCCACCATTATAAAAAGCAGTTCCTCCTCTAAGATGATGAACAATATCACCCCGTTCAAACCGAAAAATGGGGCAAATGACATATATACACACACAAATAGAAGTTAATTTAAGGTCACCGTTTAAAAAGAAGCTTACTCAAATGAAGTTCGTGCAACCTTGTCGAAATGGTATTTTTCTAAATAGCAAAGATAAAAATTCATCTTTGAGAGAACTTTCAGTAAACTAAGGAAAATAACCAAGAAATTGGTAGTGTTTTTTTTTTTAGATATAGGAATTCTAGCAAATGACTCCCAATGGAGAGAGAGTAGTAAGTAAGAAAAAAAAATGTGACAATATAATATACATGTTTCATTAAATTTCGCCCCCAGATCTCGCCATTTCAAACTATATTTGACCTGACCTTTATAGATGCCTATCTGTTCTTCCTATTGAATTGCGTTATTTACGTCAAAAAAAAAAAGCTTACATTGTGTTTGACAAGCACACAGAAAAAGAGAAGTAACACTTGATCGTACTTCAATCTACAGCAGATAAAATAAAACAAAATTATTCACTGAGAAGGAAAAATAAAAAAAAAAATAAAAAAACATCGGTATAATCGATATCGAAATATCACATTAACTTGTATTATCTAGAAAGAAACACAAGGGAAACTATCTAGTCCACAAGGAAAACTGTCTACTTCACAAGGAAAATTATCTGCTTTACAAGGAAATCTGTCTACTTCTCTACAAGAAAAAACTGTCTACGTTGTCGTTTTCAGAGAAAATAGAGCCTATCAAGAGAATAGTTGACTTTTTCCACTCGTTTTTTCTCCACTGAGATTATGACATTGAATGAGATCAGCAGTTCTAGCTCTAGCAACTCCTCGTATTTTGGAAAGTCTGCAAAATATCATGCACAGTTGACAAAGTCGCTATATCTCAACTATAACAAAACAACGCCAAGTTCTCAGCAGCAGCAAATAAAGAAAGATTCTTCAACTACTACAAATAATCTGACTTTTCTCCACAATCCAAGTTCACTGAGAAAACCTTCATTTGACGCAATGCAAAGTAGCAAATTGGGAACCGGGATTCACACTGAATATGAATACGATCTTGGTGCGAATCAAGATCTGGGATATTTCACATCTAGGACGGCCATATCTGTTCCATCTTCGAGGATTGAGGACTACTACAATAACAACAATATTGAGGAACAAATCCAACAATTATTGACTAATAATGAGAATTTACCCCAGAATGGCGAATTCCTTTCGCATCTGTACTCTCAAGGTAATGCTGCAAATATGTACAGGTTTTATGATCTGCATAATTACCAACACCTTCCTCCAATTGATATAAATATACGCACCACTGCATTTGACAATCAAAGTCAGAACAATCAAACTATGGAACAACAAGGATCACAAAACAAAACAGACGATTTTTATATCCTGCATTACGGCCATCTGTATACTCAACAGCCTGATCAAAATCAATATGCAATAAGTGAAGAGAATAGGCAGCATGTTGATCAGGAACAGGTTTGTTTGCAGCAATTACAACCTGGTTTCTCACAACAGCAAATACATAATCCTTATCAAGCCCAGCCCCAGCCCTCGCAGTTACCACCATCTCCTTCTCCCCCACAACAACAACAACAGCAGCAGCAGCAGCAGCAACGGAATAGAGACTTGTCTCTTGGGTACCCCCCGACAAACGAAATAAACTACTTTCCTCAAAATCATAATCCCCAATCACTCTCTACCGCACTGTATCCACATGACAGTAAAGGTGCCAATACATCCACTAATTTGCAAGGACATAATGTCTTGGCATATTCAAAACAGCCTCCAACAAGTTCACCACAAAGCCTCAATATAATTCCGAATCTAAAGAATATGCCTGCCGCTAATGCCAATGAACCAACACAAGCAATCTACGACCTGAAAATCAAATTGAAAAGAGGCAGACCCAGGAAGAAACCAGGTTTTCATTTGAAGCTTGATGCTGTAAATAAAAAACCAATAAATACTACTAGGTTGGTTACCTCATCACAATCCGACTCGGGAGCAGACTATTGGAACCGACATTCAAACAACAACAACAACAACAATAATAACAATAACAACAACGGTGTCGGCAATGGTGGCACAGCAGTAGCGGCTCACAACTTGCTGAAACTATCTTTTACACCTGCTTTTGAGAATGATGATATACGAAGAGAAATGGATCTACATGAAACAACCCAATATGAAACTACTATTCCGTCGTTTCTTTTAACTCCTTCTAATGATCCACCCACAGGAGCCAAAGAGTATTTTGAATTTGATAATACGCCGAAAAACGGCGGCACTTTGAATAATGGTGGATTTTTTTCTCCTCGTGTTAAAGATCACAATATTGACAATTTCAATCAAACTTTTGAATGCTACTTAAAAAATCCAGAAAATGTGCAACAAAATGGTAATGGTTTGGGAGAAGCTACTTCTTTTAGTGAATTCAACTTGCAGGAAGGTCCTTTGATACCACCTGGTCAGATAACCTCTCACTCAAAACAAGCTTTCAAAGAGTCCTTTTCGCCACTAAGGCTAAACTTTGACAACCTTGCATCATCATCTCAAGCACAGCCATCATCATTATCATCAGGAAATAATGCAGCTATATTTAGTGAACGGGAAAAATTCACCGAAGCTGCGCAATTCCCCGAAGATTTGGAAGAGTTCAACATCACAACTTATTTAAACACCAACCCTGAAGAAACAGATGGGAATTTTTCCTTGACAGCGACGACAACAGCAACAACTTTGCAGAAGACGCTTTCTAATAGTAGTGCTACAAGCGCTACATCGGAAGGATCAGACTCGCGACAATTTAATGAGCAAAATGACCTCACCAGATCGGCATCAAAAAAGAGAATTTCAAAGGGGGCTACTTGTCCAGTTTGTGATAAATATATCAGCAGGGATTTAACTCGCCACATGCGTATTCATAATGAAGTCGGTAGGTTTCAGTGCGTGTATCCGAGAGAGATGTGCAATCACAAGACCCAGAATTTCAATAGACCCTATGATTACAAAAAGCATTTACTTCATGTACATTTTGCATTTGATGACCGAAAGGGTAAGAATGCAAACACATTAGGGGAAAAACTACCTTTATCTGGTGCTTGTATGAGTTGCGGAATGAGATACATAGCGAATGATTGGATTAATGAGCATGTCTTGACAAGCAACAAGAGTCAGAGGTGTCCCTTTATTGATGGAAATGTCTCAGTTGACAATTGATTTTATATATATATATATGGGTCCTTTTTTTTTTTTTTCTTAGTAAAGTGTAAAAGAAAGAAAGAAAGAAAAAGCAAAAAAGACACAGGGTAAAGAAAAGGAGGGGAGGAAAGGAGTAGAGCTTTCACAGTTCTTAAGTATACTCCGTGTACCTCGTATACTTTATCGAAACTCTATCTCTCTCAACAACGTGTATAGGTTTGCATTTATGCTGTTGCATTTTTAACTATAATGAATAAGAAGTAAGAGATTTCAATACACAGACAATAAAAAAAAAAAGTATATGTAGCAGAGGGAGAAAGAGAGAGATTAGGAGAAGAGAGGAAAGGTTATTCTTTTCAAATAATTTTCCATCTATTACTAAGAGAGGCTTTCCAATACCGTATACACTATTTGGATATATGATTTGAGTTGTTTGTATGATGCATTGTAAAAAATCAATTGGTCTACTAAAGCCAATAAAGCTCACAACTTTACCACGAATAGCAAGACGGTTTTCGCAAGTACAAAAAATAGACACAATTCAGCCCCACGACCCTCATCATCACTCGACATTGCAGCATCACACAAAGGGTTATGTTAACCATATCTCATCCTTATACCCTCAACCCTGTCACAGATTCAGCAAGCATCATACCAGCTTTCAAGAGGAACCGCAAATCGACAAGAAAGAACTTCAACGAAAAATAAATTTACTGAACCTTATGAACGAGTTGAAAAGACAGGTACCAAACATATTGGCCACCAATTTGTCTAAAGACCTTATTTCCAAAGATGTGTTTCTACGAATATGTCCATCACAATTTGACGAGTCCATGCTACCAAAGCTTCACGGAACATTCGCATATTTCAGCGCATGCAAGGCAATACAATTATTCATAACATCTGTGATACTTAATCCCCGTGTTAAATTGCACATTACAAGTATTCGACTAAGTAACTCTCGAGACCCTCAGTGCATGTTTAGCAACTCTACAAAGATATATATTCGTTGGAACACGTGCATGCCCAACTGTGAGCACTTGGGAGTGGCAAGCACCTCGGATGCAAATTTGGGATCTCATCAATGGTCAAAAGAGGACACGATCAGATTGATGGAGCATAAAAAAATACAAAACGTGGCGGGGTTTATCAAGAAACTTGCGTCGATGATGATGGGGTTGACCAAGGATCCGGAAAAGTTAGAGAGGGTTTTACTGGGATTGTTCATATTCGAATTAAATGATGATTGTGACGAAATAATTGTTCACACTGTTGAGAATATGGATGTTATTGAACGATTCGAGCCAGAGGAAATCAACGGTTTAAGGGTCTGTTGATTAAAATGGAGAGAGAGAGAGACATGACGTGTACATAAACTATTTCGTGGTTTTGCAAGCTTATAGCGCATACCATGATGCATATCGATATATCGATTTTCAATTATTTATTTTTCCCTTTTTTTTATGTTTACCACTTCTCTTCCCTTCACTGATATTTTGTAACGTTAATTTCCATAATCTTACTCATTGTAGCAAGCTTGCGTAAAATAATACATTGTAGTAAAAGTACCAAGAATATCAAGAAGAACATGGAAAGCCACAAGACTCTTGATATATTTGTTGTACCAGTAGAAACCCTTCCCGCAGAATGCGCCTCCTTTTCCGTTTTGGCAGCAACAAACTTCTCTTTGCCGTTTTTCTTCTTCTTCTTCTTCTTTGGTACTTTCGTGGTTGGATGTCCAGTAGAATAAACGTTTTCTGAAATCTCCGCTTTAAGTTCCTGCATCATTTGATTCATAATTGTCATAGACCCACTCAACGACAGCTTCTCAATTACCGATTTCATCCACGATCTCCCCTTCCATTCTACATAGTGGGTAACAAGTAATTTTGTGGTATTATTCTCGCCCCATGAGAACACATATCTTGTCTTAACTGCAAAAACACCTCCCAGCGGCACATCCGGTGTCAGCGTGGTGGTTGTAACAATTATGTAATCAGCAAAATTCAAATGCTCTATTCTTTCAGTGATTTCACACTTTGTGGATTTTGGTCCAATCGAATACCCCAAAGCTCGTCGATATGTAAACTCCCTTTCTAATACCGCTGGATCATCGTAAGATGGATGAAATTCAGCTATTTCCGATATCTCGGAACCATCGTGCTTTTCAAGGAATTCTATTTGAAATTTTGTGCACGATCCGAATAAGATCGAAAATATCACGCCCATTGGCGCTTGTAATGTTTCGTCTACTAATTCCACTTCCTGTGGGTATCTATCATATTTTGGTGTTGTTGGTGGGTGAGCATCTGGTCCTCGATTCGTATATGGTGAATCTGGCTTCAACTTAATAAGTCGTTGACCTTTTGAAGCATCCAGAATCTTCCGATTCTTCAATCCTCGCTTCCAAGATCCACCATTCTCACTCTCATTCTCATTCTCATACACTTTTTCTTCTTCACCTTCATCTTCATAAAAATCTTCCTCTTCCTCCTCCTCCTCCTCCTCCTCCTCCTCCTCCTCTTCTTCACCTTCACCTTCATCTTCATAAAAATCTTCCTCTTCCTCCTCTTCTTCCTTATAGTCATCTTCTCTTTCATTACCTTTCTTCTTCACCTTATTTATTTTTGGCATTTCATCATCTCCATCTAGAGACATTATATACGATTGAATCTTTGGAGACGTTATCGCTGTTGAAATGCCGCTCACACCATGTACATTCTCATCTTTACTCGTTCTTGCCTGTTGGTCATCATTAGTACGACCAGTTTTCCCCTTCCAAACTGCAATCATTAAATCGTAAGTTTGATCCCGCGATAAAAAAGTGGCAAATGTATGGATGGCACCCTCATCTGTTTCAATGCTTATACCATTTGGGAACAATCCCGCTGTTGATCTCTTTTCGATTTTAACAATATTTTCAAACTTAACGACCAAGTTGGTCACCCATCCCAACAAACTCGAGTTAAAGCAAAAGTAGCTTTCGCTAATATAGCAACGACCTTGAAGCAAAATTTCTCGGCTCAAGGCGCATGAAAAATCATCTAGCAAGTTATCTGTAAGATCCAATGATCTGAATAGCTGGTGGAACTCAATATTTCTCTTCATTATGGCGTACCGATATTTGGTGTCTTTATAAAACTCATCTGTATACAATTTGTTATCGTACTTTCTCGTAGGAGGAGGCGACGTGGCCATAGTGGTAGGTTCTGATACCATTGAATCAAAAGTCGCATCACTAACGGTTCTCGTGGACTTGCGATACGTAATGATTTTAGGTGACGCCACCTGTTGGTTTTCTAGCTCCTTGTTAGCGTTGTTGTTGTTGTTGTTGTTGTTGTTGTTGTTGCTGCTGTTATTGTTGCTGTTGTTGGCATATAGCCGATTCGAGGATTCGTATTCCTTCAAGTTCTTCAATAGTCGAGGGTTTTCATTATCGTTAATTGCGTTTTCGTTGGGGGATGCATTGTTTGAATCCTTGGATATCACTGAATTAGCATCTTCCCTCGTTGTTAATGGATTCAATGGAGTCTTTTGCAAAGCTGTGGAAATCGATATCGCGGACCTCACATTTGTGCTTGGTTCAGTAAACTCCAGTGGCTTTAACCCGTCCATAACTTCGCCCCCGTTCGTCTGTTGCCTTACCTGCTGTAAATCACTGGTCTCCGTCTTCCTGAGCTTTACTAGTTGCGGATTCATTTTAGAATTAGGTTGCTGGGGTGATTCTAAAGATAGCGATTCATTCGATGGCGGGAATGAGTATGACCATGCATCATCTTCATCATCAACAACACTACTCCTAATCATTGACAAAGACTTTTTTGATAGCTGTTGACTTTTGTTCAACGTCTTTTCTAAATTCCTTTAAAGAGGGAGCGAAATTCTGGCCACCTGGCTACTTCGTTTAATAGCTAATTATAAATGATACCGATAGAGTTTATAGATCAGCTTCCTTATACGACCGGTTGGTAGCAACTTTCTATAAAAAAAAAAATCTTCTTCAGAGATGATACATCTTTTACACTCCAATGGATGTAAAAACATAACGAGCACAATTGTTTATTCAACAAACCTTATGGCTCGTTCCTATGCAATCATATATATATATATATACATAAAACGTATCTTTCTTTCGATAAAAAATCATAAAAAAAGCATGGATAAAATAGTAAATGAATTGAAAAGATTGTGAAATTTTTGAGTCATTCTTTTGACCATTTGATTAAGTTTAGAAACACATGTTGATACACATACACATTCACACACTCTCACACACACACAAAAGGTGGGCGGGGAGGTTAAAGGGAAAAGTGTTTATCTATCCTTTTTTTTTTTTCTTCTTTCCATTCTTCTTTATTGGTTTTCAGGACGTAATTTTCTTACTTCCTTACCAACTCTCCAAATTTCCATATCTCTAATAGTTTTCAATTCTGCTTCCAATTTCTCTCTGTAATCAACTTGTGAGTTGAAATCAAGAGATCTTTGTGTTTCGGTACCATTCTTTACACTTTCGTATAATTCTTCAAATACTGGTTTCAAAGCGTCTTTGAATCTTGGGTACCAGTCCAAAGCACCTCTTCTTGCAGTGGTGGAACAAGCATCGTACATGTAATCCATACCGTATTTACCAATCAATGGGTACAAGGATTGGGTAGCTTCTTCAACAGTCTCATTGAAAGCTTCACTTGGAGTGTGGCCGTTTTCTCTCAAGACTTCGTATTGGGCCAAAAACATACCGTGGATACCTCCCATAAGACACCCTCTTTCACCGTACAAATCTGAGTTGACTTCTCTTTCAAAGGTGGTTTGGTAAACGTACCCTGATCCAACAGCGATGGCCATGGCAATAGCTTTTTCTTCTGCTTTGCCGGTAACGTCATTCCACACAGCATAAGATGAGTTAATACCTCTACCTTCCTTGAACAATGATCTCACTGTTCTTCCTGAACCCTTTGGAGCAACTAAAATAACATCAATGTTGCTTGGTGGCTCAACATGAGTCAAGTCCTTGAACACTGGAGAAAAACCATGTGAAAAGTACAAAGTTTTACCTTCGGTCAACAATGGTTTGATGGATTCCCAAGTTTCAGATTGAGCAGCATCTGATAACAAGTTCATGATGATAGTACCTTTTTGAATTGCTTCCTTAACATCAAACAAATTCTCACCTGGGACCCAGCCATCTTCAATAGCGGCTTTCCATGAAGTACCATTCTTACGCACACCAATGATGACATTCAAACCATTGTCTCTCAAGTTCAACCCTTGGCCGTACCCTTGCGAACCGTAACCAATTAAAGCCAAAGTATCGTTTTTGAAATAGTCTAATAACTTCTCTTTGGGCCAGTCACCTCTTTCGTGAACAATCTCTTCAGTACCGCCAAAGTTAATAGATTTAACACCACGAATAGAAACCAATTTGGAAGAAACTGGCAATTTAGGTGTAGCTACTCTAGCATTGACTAATAAAGAAAATGTTCTTTTCGATAAAGATGCTCTTGGTGCGGCTAATCTAGCCATGCGAATAGCATTAGTTCTAAGTGACATTTTCTAGCTGATATTTCTTACTAGTTAACAGAAAAAGATTACCCTAGACTTTGGAGGGGAAAGGGAGAGAGAAAAAAGAAAAAATTAAACGCTATATATATATATATATATATATATAGAAAAATTTAACTGGGCTTTATATGAATGAAAAATTTTTGTCAAAGAGAAGAAGAAAAAAAAATTTAAAAAGATGAAAAATGAATCGGTAGCGATCTCTCTATAAGGTGTACTGTATATAGTGTTTAATATTCGGCGATATTCAGGGCCTGTACAGGAACCTTGATAGGGATTGGATTAACGGGAGAGAGAAAAAAAGGCGGAGAGAAAAGGCAAAGAGAGAAAAAGCAGGGAAAAAAAAAAGACAGAAAACAAAGAAGGCAGAAAGAAAAAGACAGAAAACAAAGAAGGCAGAGAGAAAAAGGCATCTCATATTCTTTTAATAGAATGCCAAAAGTGCCGATACCGCGAAACATCATATATAGTTGAAACTAGAAACTTTTTCTTTTTTCTCTTTTGTCTTTGGCAAATGAATGTCATAGATACTGCTTTGCTCTACCCTAATTTTTTAATCCAATCTTGCTACTGTTGCTGTTGCCATTTACTGGTACCATAAAACACTATCTCGCTCTGCTCGATAGTGGAGCACACTGACTACCTGTAAATGTAGCTCTTTAGACAATCAATTTCATACACCTGTGATGTACCTCTTTAGGCCAAGAATTTTGTTCATTCTGCTGTTTCCATCATTCCTACTAATTTTCACATTTTGTCATTCTTCCTCTTTTTCTTTTTCTGGTGCTCTTTTGCACCCAGAGATGACTGATTTACATCAACATACAAAAATTAATAGCGATCATTTCAAAATTCAATTACAAAGAGAGAAAAAAAATAAAATAAAAAGGAAAGTTTGACAATAAATATCCAATATTCCTCGCAATAGCTGTGTTATACTGTGTATTTTTTTTTTTTTTGTTTCTGGTTCTTTTTTTAACTGCATAAGAGGGGCTAGGGTGTTACAAAGTTTCAGTTTTATTTGGATAATTTTTCTTCTGCTTCCTTGGATCTCTCATTTCTTTCTCTTGTGTCCAAAGAAGGTCTGTTCAACATATCTTCAAGAGCGGCCGAGTATGGAGCCTTGTGATTCCTTGGACTATTTGCCAATTTAATTGCATCCAAGTAATTATTATAAATATCACCATTGTATTTACCAATCACCGAGTGGATAAAGTTGTCTGGTTGTTGGAATGAGTCAGTTAAACCAATAACGTATGGTCTTATTTGTGTACACAACTCTTGAGGGTACGTAGCAATGATATACTTGGTAATTGATGGCGAAACAACTCCAAACCTTCCAAACTCAGCAATAAATGGACTCAAAATACTGGTAACGTAATATAATCTCATAGTGATCTCCAAAGGCCGTCTCATTGGTGAGTTTGCCTTGACTCTGTTCTCCAACCTGTCAATAAAGGTCTCCAATAAATAGTAATGGCATCTCAACTTTGACAAAACAACTCTCTGAGGACTAATTGCATCCCAAGTTTGATGCGAAATAGGAATCAAGTCAACTGCAAACTTGGAAATCAATGCAGCAATGGCTTTCAATACACGCTCTGGTTCATCCAAGTGCTCTTTAACACGAATGACAGCTTTCTTAGCTTTGGACAAAGTTGGCGCGTCATTAAGAAACTCCAAAGTGGAATTCTTCAACTTTCTTCCATTCAAGACTTGCTGAACGGTCTTGATAATTGTTTTACCGGCAGACATTCCCAAAACATTATTATCACCCTCCCATGTGGTTTGAACGGACCAATCGTTAAATGTCTTACCAAAAGCATTATAACCAGAGTAACCGTGTCCACCGCAAGCTTGTCTACATTCACTGATCAATTCAGAGGCTTCCCAAGTTAAAGTGGACTTCAAAGAACCAGAGTCAACAAACATGGATTTTGTTGCATTGATTGTGTTTTTCAACAAAAACTTGTCATTGGTAGCTAATCCCTTGTCCAAGTCCGACAACAATTTTGTATGCTCTTCTTCCAATCTGTCTGTTCCTACAGCTGCTGCATAGGTCAATGCCAAGTATGGGAACAATCTTCTCTGGTGAAGCATATAATCAATCAACTGGGTTTCTTGGGTGCTACCGCTCTTGTTGAATTGTCTTCTACCAACAGCATATCTCAATGCAATAGTAGTAAATCTAGCGCCAATTCTATAGGAGTCTGCAGCCATACCAACCCTACCTTCCAAAAGCGAGATATAACTCAATTGTTCCAATGGGGGCAAGGTAACGTTACCATTGCGGCTAACCTTGCACCATCTTTGTAACATAAAGAATCTTGGAATTCTAACTTCTGTAAATTGAATCCAACCATTATCAACACCTTGTCTACCCATTTTTGCACCAATGTCACCAATAGCAATACCAGGCAACAAATCGTGATTAGAATCTCTCAAGGGAACCACAAATGTCTTCACACCATAGTCCACATCCTTAACAATCAACCGGGCATAACAAACCGTGTGAGTGGCCGAATGCGCAGCACCACCAATCCACCATTTTGTAGCACCAATGTGAGGTGTATCAATAATAAAAGTATCGGTTTCTTCATCAAAAGTGGCAGTTGTTTCACATCCAGCAACATTTGAACCGTGTCCCAATTCGGTCATACCAAAACAACCATACATTTGTTTAATGATTCCAGACTCTTTCTTTTTTGCCCAGAAATCATATTGCTTTTGCGTACCATTACCCTTGATACAGTTTAAAAATAAACCCAAGTTGACCAAAATTCTGATACCCATCGATGGATCAATAACCGTCATCAATTGCAATCTTCTTCTAAACTTTGTATATGACTCAATCTCAATATATCTTGACATCTGATTGATTCTCTCTGCCACCAATTGCCTTTCTTCTTTTTGAGTCAAGTCGAATTGCTCAGGTCTAGTTTGCAACTTTGGATCACGCTCAATGGACTGATAAAGACGTAAAATTTCTGTTGATTTAGCTTCGTTACCTTCTAAAAACTCGTGCATTTCCTTGAGGTCCCAGTTTGTGTGTGCCCTTTCAGCAGCAAGGTCCTTAGCTGGATTTGGTGGCTCTGACGAGGAAATGACATTTTTAACAATCTTGGGTGTAGTATCTGGATCTTTTTTAGTAATGTTCTTACTAAGTTTCTTGTCTGATATTATAGCCATTATAGTGATTTAGTTGATAGATATCAGATATAAAGTCGGAGTAAAAAGAAGGGGGTGGGAGGGGGTAGAAGCGGATCTTTGATGAGAAAATACTGTTATATATATAAAGGGGGTAAAAAGAGGATGGCTTTTTTTTTCACTTTTGCATTTCTATGAGGTGTCTCCGTTAAAAGATTACACATGGTAGCCTGTTTCAATTGTGGGGTAAAGTGTTAATGCCGAAAACAATAAAAAGAAGATATTAACCAAACGAAAATCATACGATCTATCTATTTAAGAAACAAGGGGGAAGGAGAAAGGCAAATAAAGAAAGGAAGCAGAAGGGACAGAGTTTATTCATTTGATTTTTTTTTCAATTATGGGACCCCCTCCTCCTCTTCCTTTAACTTCTTATGAATGCATTTGACAAAACACTTTCTCATTATCATTGCATTGACATTTTTTTTTTTCCTTTGAATATTTGGCCCTCGGTTTTTGAGAATTATTAATTATTTATCCAGGGATATTCGCGCTTGCTTGTAACAAAGGCTTTTCCCTTTTTTGTTTGTTTGTCCTCTAACCTTTACCAAATAGTAAGGAGGGTGTCAAAGTTGATGAGGTGTATAGAGGGAAGGAGATAAAAAGGGAATTGAGAAAAATGAGTACAACTGTCAAAAGTTGAAATAATAATATTGAGATTTGTAATGAAGAAAGATGCTAAGGTTTCTTTTTTCACAAATGGAAAAGCAAATTTTGAAAAGTAAGATAAAAAAGGACCGAATTTTGCAAGCTTTTGGTGCAAAAAGAAAAAGCTTATTCTACGTTCACAGAGGAGAAATTAAAACTAGATTCTCGTTATAACAAAACACTATTGGGTTTGCATTAAATCTACACTATTGGATTTACACTAGTTTACGCTATTGGATTTACACTAATTTACACTATTGGATTTACACTGTTGGTTCACACTAACGTTGAGCTTACACCATTGCCATTGCATTTCTTTTATTGATAATGTACTTACATCACTGACTATTATATAGGCAAGTTCAAAGTACTCAGCAAATTACCCCTGGTAGCTCAGTTGGTTTAGAGCATGAGACTGTAATATGAAATAGTTCCGCAATCTTGTGGTCGGGAGTTCAAATCTCCTCCGGGGGAATTCTTTTTTTTTTTAAAATCTTTTCCTACAATCCATGTAGTACAAAATTGAAGAAAAACATTCTTGTTTTATTTTTTCCACTGAAAATATCAATACTTTCAAGTTTGTTGTTAGTTATTAACTGATGTATAGTAAAAAAACAACTCAGAGAGAAAGCAACCAAACTCGCGATTTTATTCATCTTTGCTGAACGTGTTCTAAAGATAATCAACTGACATAGCACATATCCACTATGTGCACTAAAGTCCTTACTCTTTTGTCTTTCTATTGTTCTCTTTTCTTTTTCTTGTCTTTTTTTTTTTTCTTCTTTTCTAAAGTCCGATTTCAATTTGTTTCCCTTTTTTTTTAGCTCACACTTCTGTTAATATAAGCCTTTGAGAAACGGTGAAAAGCACCACCGTTGATCACATCTCGGGAGGGCTGGCTCTTTTTTTTTTTTCCCAAAGACCTATGATCGTGTTCGAGTTTCATTATTTAATTTTTCCTTCCTTTTTTCTTTTTTTTACCTTCCCTTTTTTTTTTTTCCTTTTTACTTACAATGTAAGAGTAACAATTTTTGATCATTCAACCGGGACTAATCACTTCTTAGCAAATAGAATTCCCTACATTAATGTCTTTTCTTATTGCTTTTGTTGTTGGTAAAATAGCTTAGACCATAAACAAACTCTTCAATTATCAAATAAAATTACGAGAGATCCAACTTTTACTTGATATAAATTGGTAGCGCGTAGATGTTGATGGAAGAATTAAGAGTTGGTTGTTAAGATTTTAATTTAAATTGCCCCCAGAATACCTCTTTTCTTTTGACAATTGCGTTTTCTTTATATTTTTCTTTGCTTTTTACCATTAACACCACCATTGGTTCAAATATTAAGTTAAAATGGATTCAGAAAAAATTGTTGCTGTGATCTTGGCTATTTTCCTTCCACCCCTCGCTGTTTTTATGCGGTATTCATTGGGCACAGAGTTTTGGATTTGTTGTATTCTTTGTATTTTTGCATACTTTCCTGGTATTTTATATGCCCTTTACTTGATGCTTCGGGATTAGGGTTGATTAGAAAAAAGTGCATTGCTTGATTAAAGTTAACATTGGAATTGGAAAGAACAATTTGATGGGAAAATGGTCAAGTCAAGTATGTTTATGTGTGTCAATGAGAGAGGAGATTTTTTTTTTAGGGGAATGAGGTAACAAACAGGTTTGGTTGACGATGAAATATATATCTATTTTGTTTAATAAATATAATAAAAAGAGTTTGACAATACGTGTATGTGATTGATTATCGGCTTGACAAGGGCCACACCTTTCTATATTTACTTTATGATTTATTAAAACCAAGTGACAAAAATGAAAGAGATAGATGAGGCGTGTGAGCAAAAGAGATAGATGAGGCGTGTAAGCAAAAGAGATAGATAAGGCGTGTAAGCAAAAGAGATAAAGGAGATTGTATATTTAGTGAATGGTGGTTTCATAGATTTCTGATACCAATTCAGTGAAAACTACTTCAAAATATAACCCCTGAGAGAAAAGCGGCTATCAAAACAGCCTTTTACAACAAGGGTTGTTTATTAAATTAAAAAGTGTTTTTATTACAAGTTACCCAAGTTCTAGTAAAATTGTTATTTTCTAATACCAATTGAAGAGTTGTATAGTAGAAAAACAAATGCTACAATTGCTAATCGCAACTTACAACTTTAATTGAATAATATCAGTGAATATTGAAAAGTTTTCTTTACATATAGTGATTTCCAGACTGCCTTATACTCGACACTGTCGAGCACATTGACTAACTTCCACTGACTCATACTTGAGACAGTTGACTAAAAAGGTCACAGTTAAACTATATGTCAAAAGATTAGTACGATGTGCACATTTCTTATGGTGGTGAGTGTAGAGATGAGGCCTCTATAAAAGAGGGTCAAATTGCAAAGTGTATGCAAATGTACATTTTTTTAAAAAAAAAAAAATACATTGAGTTTTCAGTGCTTGATATAAACTAGTATGGAAATACGATTTTAATGCCAGAGAGGACAGATTAGGATTGGTTGACAAAAAAAAAAAAGTTTTATTTTTTTTTGAAATAATAGTTTTAGTATCAACGAATTGAATCACGAAGAAAAAGAAGGGAAAAACCGTTGGCCAAAGTCAAGAAGTAAGACATGTGTAATATCTTTGAAGTGTCTAGTGAATTAAATGAGAAGGGAAAATGATATAGGTTTATTGTTCTTTTGTTGCAAAGTTAGCAGTTATTCATTTTGAAATGCCCCCTTCCCCATATTGTCATGTTACAAAGACACAAAATTCTAATTTAAAATTATTCGCCTAATTTTGATCAACATTTAACTTTGCTTTTACTTTCACAAAAAGAAAAAAAATTGATCAATGGGGGGGTGGGGTGAGTAAAAAGATAAGCAGGCTCACCAAGTAATTTGAGAGATGGGACGCGGGAAAGACAAAGGGGTAAGGAAACATACTCTAGTACCTTAAATTTGATACACAGTGCAAACTAGTTATATACAGCACATGCCTTTTTCTTTTTTTTTTTCACTCCTCTATACTGTTGAATTAGAATTTCGTTTTAGCGAACAATTATAGAATTACACCTTGCGTTATCTTTATTAATGCACCAGCCAATAGAATTGTCCATATAGACAATTAAATTTGGTTTTCTTTTCTTTTCTTTTATCTTCATATATGCATTAGGCTCATCTTGTCCAACAATGGAAGGGTGCTTTAAAAGTGAAATAGTTTTAGCTGAATTTAGCCGCAAATGTTGGCTTCCAAGGTAGAGCTTATCTCTTTAAGTAACAATGAAAGTAACCATGTGTAATATATATATATATATTTATTTAAGTAAATGTAACCAGTCCAATTGGTTTTTGAAGAACAGTATTAGCAAAACCAATGTTGAAAGAGCCAATAAGGGGCCCAATCACTCCATCGGAGTTATTAAATGATGTTGAAAAGTTGCAAAATACAAGAACATCATCGATTGAGCATCTACCGGCATTTTCGTTTTCTAAAAAACCAGTAAGTGCATGTTCTTCTGAAACCACTGGTCTGAATATAACCACCGGGTTATCACAAGGGACTAGTAAGAGCAAAATCAAATTGCTGCAACCTTGCGAGATTATGAACTTTGATTATGACGAACAAATTAGATATCCTAGAATGAGAAATGGTTATTTTGACATTAGTAGCTCACCAAGAAAGGGCTCGTTTAAAAAGACAGCTTCCCTTGAACACGAAGAAGCAGTAACAAAATCTGGAAACTATGAACCAACTACAAAATCTGGAAACTATGAACCAGCTACCTTTGATATAAACCCTACAATTAGACGGTTTTCAACGCATGTAAATGACAATTTGGGGCAGGAGTACAAAAAGAACAATTACATATATGGGGATAGTTTTGAATCCAACTTGAATTTGATACACGAAATGAGGAAACCTATGATGACACCGGCAGTTTTACGACCGCCAGCTGAAACCAAACCACCGCAATTCTTAACCGCTTCTTATACAATTATCAATATTGCAGAGAATGGTTTAACAATAGAGGAGCCGAGTCATCAACACTGGTGGAAAAATACCAGTACGTGCATGTCTTGCAAAAAGCCATTTTACAACTATTTTGTGTCCCTTCTTTACGACTCGCCCACTTGTCATCGCCATCGTCATCACTGTCGGTTTTGCGGTTTAGTATATTGCACAGATTGTCTCAGTACATCAACAATTATTATGGACAAGTTGGCCAACTTTGTTATTCCAATTTACCGGAATAATCCTACTTTTCGAGGGAAAAATGTAAAAACATGTCAAAAATGCACTTTTCTTTACCACACCCTTGTTGAGAAAATAAACAATAGTGAACACTCGGGTTTGAATGTGACAGAATCTTTTTTACTTGTAGAGAACCCTCACATTCACAACTTACCTGAATTTAGATACTTGAAGAAGTTTAAACGATTAAAAATTACTCAAGGGTATGCTGATCTAGAAGAAGATGCAAATACGAGTGATAGAAGAATGAGCATTGTCGACGATGTAACCACCGACTGGAGCTGGAGCTCATTTTAATAGAAATTATTTAACTACTCTCACATAGAGATTGTGAGAGTAGATCGGTTATAAAATTATCTCTTTTATACTTACTACTTAAGTGTAAAAACAAAATCTAATTTATTATGTGCGTATTAATTAAATACATTAAATAATCAACTTCTTTTTGTTTTTTTTAATACTATTAATATTATTTTTGTTATTTTATTTAAATTCTTTTTGTATATTTTTCTTTTACTATATTTGGTCTTTTTGACGCGTACACTAAAAACCCAAAAAGATTTTTTTTTTATTTCTCTTAAATTGATTCAGGCAAATGCTGGGAAAAGATGGAAAGTCTCAGTAAGTGGGAATATATATCCTTCTTGACCAAGTGTTTTTTTTTTTTTTTTTTTTTAAACCTCTTCTTCCTTTTTATTTACTTTTACTTCTAGGTCTTATCAATGCCTATTCCTCTTCGGTCTCTTCTGAGTTTCTAACTAGCTTTTGATTTCTTCCAACTTAGGTTTTAGTATTAGTTTTTACATCATGTACCAACATTCGAATCATTCATACTCGTCATATGATTCATTAAGGCGGTCGTCGAATAATCCATTTAGACAACAGCAGTCGACTTTTTCTCACGAAAATGATTTTTTTAGTGGACCAAAATCCTCAACGTCAACTTCGACTTCAACTTCTTCATCGAATTACTACGATCAGTGGATTCAAAAGAATAAGGGGCTCATGTATACTTCAGATGACGACTGTTTGGAAAAACCTAAAGCTAGCCCTAACAAACTTTTTTCCTACTATCAGCACCAGAATACCTCAGTCGACAGTTTAAGAGACGAGAGGCGAAACAAAAGTAATCTCATTTACGAATATGGAAACGGACTGAAACTGGAACATGGACTGAAACTGGCACTGGGACTTGGAAAATCGAGAATGCCAAAGGCAATACGAGCTGATAGTGATTCTAGTGTCGATTACTCTAAAAGGTATGTTGAATTTGGATCCCAAAGGCGCAGCGGGTTTTTTTTTTTTCTGTTCCCACAGCCCAATGCAGCATACAATTATATTTTTTCTTAAAGCATCTCCAAGTAGGGGAGGGGAGAGAAAGAGAGATAGATTACAAGAGAGAGAAAGAGAGAAAGAGAAAGAGAGAGAGAAAGAAAAAGAAGATAATGGTGTCAGAGATTGATGGATTAGCGCGTGCGCTAATTTATAGGCTTTTTTTTTTTTTTTTTTTCTTTCTTTCTTTTTCTTTAATATTGCTCCACTAAGAAAACAAAATTAATGCAACGGATATTGAAATTCAAGTTGAATTTTAAATTTGAAACTAATAAAGCAAGCTTTAATTACTAACGGGATAAGTTATAGACAAATGAAGTCGAATAACCCATTTGCCTCGGCTATGAACGAGGATAGGTACAGTCCACCAGAACGTCCACAGGGGAGGTCAAGTACTCCACCGGCACGTCCTCCTAAGCCACCGCAAGATGAACTTGCACCGCCATCTTATGAAGAAGCAGCAGGTTCTGAAGCAGCAAAAAGAGAGTATCCAAGGGAAAAGGAACCCTCTTCCTTAAGACACCAAAACAACCACAGAAGCAGCAATAACGGTAGCGGGCACAGCAGCAGCAGCAGCAGTCGCAATCCGCATCGTCACACATCTTCTTCACGTCGCCCCTATAAGTCGTCGTCGTCCAAGAACAAGTCACCTAATAAAAAGAAAGAAGCTGTTCCGGCAAAGAATTTGGATACTATTGACAAATTAGATGTAACTGGCTTTTTCGGCGGTGGATTTCACCATGATGGACCATTTGATGCTTGTACTCCTCATAGGAATAAGAATGTTAAAAAGGCGCCCGTTATGGCATTCCCAGTTGATGGGCCAAATAACTCCATAGCCGGAGCTAGAACAGTAGATAAAGATGCACAAATGAAACTTGCATTTGGCTACGATGAACAAAATGACATCAAAGAGGCGCCACCGGTGATCAAAACGAATAGAGTCTCCAACGATCCTTCTACGAGCATTTATACGCCAAAACAGAATCCCTCAGTTATCAATTTCGACTCCCAGGCAAAGGCCGAACCTATACATGGATTGTCTACTGCTGGGTTGGGTTCAACAACATTTCTTGATGGTGCTCCTGCTCCAAAAAATGTAGAGGAACATTTAAATACAAATAACGGAGGATTGGGTAGAAAAAAATCCTTGGTACAAAGATTAAGAAAAAATAGTGGATCGGAGCAAGATTCAAGAAGAAATTCTAATGATGGACTTTACACAGCAGTATCTGATAATGTCAGCGGTAGAAGAGGGTCGCTAAATGCGATAGAAGTGGATGGTACAGACGGATGGTTAAAACCACCAGGAAACTCTTTTATCAGAAGAGTAAAGAGTTTGAAAGTGAAAAAATAAATACACATATATGGACCCAAAGTTTTTCTTTTTTTTTTTTTTTTTTGCAATATCTGGTATGCTTTTGCAATATTTAGTATGCTTTTGCATTATGTAGTATGTTCTTGCAATTTGTAGTATGTTTTGTTTCAATATAAAGTAAGTTTCTTTAGGGAGAGAAATCTAGCTTAAACAATTTGACGAAAAAAGTGAAAAAAAAAAAAAAAAAAAAACTGAAAATCTTTAAATTTGCAAAATCCCATCAACCAAATGTTACCCAAGATTAGAGCTTTAACCTTTAAGCGTAACATATCGAGGTCATTTGCTCTCCCGGTAAACCAAACACTAGAAATCTTGAGGGCGACAAATGCAAATTTTGAAGGGTTGTTTTCACACAAGGCACTATCTCAATTATGGTTCAAACAAGGTGAATCGATAGTACTAAACTTGAATCAGCATTTGAGTCAGACGTCGTCATCATTGACGCAAGATAAGGACTACACTTTACAGGAACTTGTTTCCGTGACTATTAATAAACCCGACTTGTACAATATCCATAAGAATGCCGCCAAGTTGTACAATTTGACCACTTTTTTTGAAAATTTAAGACCATTACAGATAGGACCGGTTGAACTTGATAGGCCTGGACCAGAAGCCATGTTACAAACTCCAACCAACTCGTTTTTGAATGTTCCAACAGATGAAGGTTTTGTTGATTGGCTTGAGGATTCCTTTGGATCCATTACAGAGTTTAGAAATTTATTGATCAATACTGCCAAAGCTATCAAAGGAGATGGTACAGTTTGGCTCGTTGCAGAGAGTACGTTAAGTGATAACTACCTCCAAAAAAATATCTCATTATATAACCTGGCTCCAGCATTTTCCAATTTATCCATTGTCGCTACCTACAACGGAGGTGTTGTCAATGATTCTGAGCGGTCAGGACAGATCAAAAGAATGAAGTCGATGTTTGAAAAAGAAGAGGAAGACATGGAACCAACTCGTTCTAGTGATGCTGATAATGATGATCTACAGCTAGGCACAACAGAGCAAGCAGAATATGAGACTGCATACCTTAATAAAAAGTTAGTTCCTGTTTTAGCCATTGATGCTTCACCGCGAAACTATCTTGTTGATTACGGAGTCTATGGCAAGCAAAAATATTTAGAAAATTGCTGGGAATGTATTGACTGGGACGTTGTATTGAGAAGACTTCCTGAAAGGTCTAAGCAGGCTATCACCATGTAAATAGTAATAAAATGATAATAAAAATAAATTTATTAAAAAAAAAAAAGGAAAAAAAAGAAAAAAAGAAAAATGTACCTATTTACTTCTATGTAACTTTCTTATCTTTAATGACACTGGTTACAATTCTTTCAACTTCGTCCCAATCCTCAGTGGGAACGCGAGTCAACTGAATACCCCCAAAGTAAGACTGAATATACTCCATAGTTTGGAGATCTCTCTTACTAGCAACAAACGATATTGACACACCAACTCTACCAAACCTACCAGTTCTACCAATTCTATGTAAGTAAGTGGAAGGATCGGGGAGTCCTTCTTTGGTTCTAGGTAAGTCGTAGTTAACCACCATAGAGACTGTGGCAATATCAATACCTCTTGCTAAAACGTTTGTAGTAATCAACACTTTTGATCTTCCTTCTCTAAAATCATCAATCAATCTATCCCTATCAGCAACCTCCAAACCACCATGCAACACGGAAACCGCATGACCCTCTTGCTTCATTCTCATATATAAATTGTCTCCTGTTTGTTTCTGCTCAACAAATATAATCGATGACCCAATTGTCAATAATCCATACAATTCACACAACACCTCGAATTTGTGCTGTTCCGAATTACAGTCCATGTACAATTGCTTGATTCCAGCCACGTTCAACTCCTCTTGCTTAAGAGCCAAGGAGTTGGCATTGGGAACGAACCGTTCTGCATACTTTCTGACATCTGAGGGGAAAGTAGCACTGAACAAAACCAATTGACAGCTTTTTGGCAATCTTTGTTTCACTCTGACACATGTATCGCCCAATCCTTGTGACTCCAACATATTATCAGCTTCGTCCAAGACAAACACACGGACATTCGATGTGTTGATGTTTCCTCTGCGAATAAGATCCATCATGATTCCCGGCGTTCCTACAAGAACCTGAGCATGTACATCAGTGCCTCTTGGCACGGAATCCGGCACAACTAGTTGATAGGTGATTTTGGAAAATTTTCCCATAGTCTCAACAACTTCCATGGTTTGTCTTGCTAGCTCTCTTGTAGGTGCTAAACATATACACTGTGGTGCTCGTACATTTTCATCGACTCTGGACAACATGGTTAAAGAAAATGCCGCAGTCTTACCAGTACCAGATTGCGATTGACCAATCATATTTCGGGGTGGGTTAGAAATCAACAATGGCAATGCTTTTTCTTGAATTTTTGATGGTTTATTAAATTTCATTGCATAGAGTCCCTTCAATAACTCAGGCTTTAATCCCAATTCTTCAAATGACTTGACAGAGTATAGCGGTGAGTTTGGATCTGCTTGTATATCTGCTAATTTAACTTCAACTTCGTAATTGCTGCTGATTAAATTGGTTTCAGAGCTTTTCTTTCCTTGACCTTCTTCTTTTTCTTCTTCTTCTTTTAGTTCCTTAGTGACATTATCCTGGACCTCTCCATTGGGCTTCTTGGGCCCCTCTTCACCAGCCTTTTGCACATTCTCGCTGCTCCTACCGTCCTTAGATTGCTTGCCGCCCAATTCGTTTTCCTTTGCATCTAATTTGGAGTTGGTCGATCGATCATCCTTAATGGAAAGATCACTAAGAGACTCGAGTGCTTCCTGGCTCTTTACTGCGTCTTTTGGCGATGATGCGGAAACTGTAAGACTTGCAAGCAACTCAGATGCATCTGCATCTACTTTCTTCTCTGACGACATATGTATATTGGAAAAGCGAATAGCCGATGGTCGACGGAATAACCTTTTGATTCCTTTAGGTTTTTTTTTTTTTTTTTTTTTCTTTCCTTCTTCCTTTAGCAGGAAAGAAAAAGATGAATAATTTTTCAACTACGTATATGACATATGTAACAGATTTACTCTTTACTCAGTTTATATTGAACCTGTATAAACTATAAATTACAAAAGATCAAGAACGGAGACCAATGGCCATTACTTATGGGAATGTAAATGGTATAGGTTTATCCGTGTTGGTGTGATTGTTGCTATGGGACGTTGTTTTTGTTCGTGTTGCTGTTTTGTTTTGTTTTGTTTTCTGTCTTTACTGATGTGTTGGAATCTTGGCTACATCTATCTTAATGGTATGAATCTTGATGAAGCGTTACCAGCTCTACCGTGTCTCACAGGGGTATATGTAATGGAAAATTCACCCAAGTAATGACCAACCATTTCCGGTTTGATTTCAACAGTGTTGAAAACCTTACCGTTGTAAACTCCAACAACTGATCCAATCATTTCTGGAACCACAATCATGTTTCTCAAATGAGTCTTGACAACAACTGGTTTTTCATTTGGTTCAGTGGCAGCTCTAGCAGCTCTCAATTTCTTGATCAAACCCATTGGTTTAGCATCCAAACCTCTAGAGAATCTTCTTCTTACTCTGGCTCCACACAATTTGGTGAATTCTTCAGTTGGCATTTCTACCAAATCTTTCAAATCAACACCTTTGAAAGAGAATTGTTTGAATGTCCTCTTCTTTTTTTCAGCTAGAAAAAAGGGGGGTAAAAGTTAGTAATCTTGCAACATGAGGTGAGGAATAGAAAAAGGGAATGACTTGAAAGACAACTTGACAAGTTACGTATCTTGTTCCTCCTGAAAAAAACAAACAAAACACAACGTAATTCCACCCCTAAATGAAAAAAATTATCCCCGTATTCGTATCAAAGACTCTCCATTTTCAAAACTGTCATATCACTCCCTCTTCTTCCAAAAATAGAGCCACTGTTAAGCCTTTTAGCAATTTAGGCTCAATAGGAATATTTCACATACTAGCGTCAACCATATTGTTTGTGTGTTATAGTACTATACTCCTGTTTGAATGAAAAATCGAGTCTCAAAGAAAGTGAAAAAAAATCTTCTTACTCTCTCTCAGTACAGTTTTGTCACTAGCTGATTTCGCACTCATTGAAACAAACTCACTCTGTAAGCGAAAAAAAAAAAAATTACTGGCGCTTGGTGCGCTGGGACAATAAGGTCGTGCATAAAAAAATGGAATACGAGAGACCTAGCCCTAATCAGGTGCACGTGCACACAAACAAATATAACTGCTTCTTTTCTTTCTTTTTTTCATTCTGCAGTAACAACTACCAAACACTGAGGAAGTGAAAAAAAAATCTCTATCAAGAGTATTTCATAGGTCTTTGATCTTTTCACAACCAAAGGATAGTCTGCCGTTTGTTTGCTTAAAAGTGATTATTCTCCACAAATATATTTTGATATAACAATGAAATACTTAGCTGCTTACTTATTATTAGTGCAAGGTGGAAATGCTTCACCATCAGCCAGTGACATCTCATCATTATTGGAATCAGTTGGTGTAGAAGCTGAAGAATCAAGATTATCTACCTTGTTGAAAGAGTTGGAAGGTAAAGATATCAATGAGTTGATTGCAGAAGGAAACACTAAATTCGCTTCAGTCCCATCAGGTGGTGCTGCTGCTTCAGGTTCAGGTTCAGGTTCAGGTGCCGCTGCTGGCGGTGCTGCTGCCGAAGAAGCAGCTGAAGAGGAAAAAGAAGAAGAAAAGGAGGAATCTGATGATGATATGGGATTCGGTTTATTCGATTAGAAAAATGTGAATAATTTCGTCAAATAAAATAAAGAGTCAGTATCACAATCAAACCCGTGTGTGAATAGCATGCATGTCAAAATGATAAGTAAATTGGTTTATCTTGCTCTTCAATACTCTTGTAATTTTAGCCAAATCAGCTCTACAATGTTTTGCCCAAGTTAAGATTAAGCGTTTGAACCATGTTCCTTTCGCCTAAGGGAAGAGATATCTAATTCATGGTGCACTATAAGAGATGCAATGTCTCTTGGCTAACTTTTGTCCACACTCTCTTAGAAGTGGGAAGGATGAGAGTGTTTTTTTTTTTTTTTTTGCCAATTATTGGGCGCCAAATATCGGGGGAAAAGAAAGCTTCCTTTAGTATAATGGTATAATTCTTTTTCCTTTTTTTTGTCAGGTAAAGCTTTTATAAACAGTTTTAATTGTGTGTATCCACAATTGGACTAGCTATCTTAATCACTAAGATTGGCATGTGTTTGAATTACTACATCTTACACATTCCTCGTGAGTAAATTGTTTCCATTTTACAAGTCTACAATATTCTTCACAACGTCTTCATTTGCCACAGTTACGGTTATATAAGCGATTCAATTTGTTTTTCCGAAAAAAAAAAAAAAAAAAAAGAAAATAATGATAGAGTATAAAGCCGCGCGAAAACTGACATTTAAAGTACTAATTGATTTGTATATTGAAACCGGAATAATTCTATTCTGGTGGCCTACTCCAAATGGAGACGTCAAACGTGTGTCGAGAATTTTGAGTTCAAAAGTTGCAAGGCAATCAGCTTTATAGAGACTAAGACCAAGAAAAAACGTAAAAGAACGTCTTTAAACCTTTTGGGTATAGAGCAGAGACAATCTTTTTGGACATAGAGCAGAGACAATCTTTTTCGGCCAAATACAATTTAGAGGAACACATTTAATGACAGATACATTTTTCTCTGCAAGAAGGCCAGAATGAGAAAAGCATTGCTTGTTTTACCTCATCAATCGATCCATATAGCTGCACCTATTCCAGTAACATCAAACAGCAACAGCAATAAAAAAGAAAAAGAATTACTGACCAATGATATATGGACCGGTTCTTTGTTCGTAAACATATAGAACCCCAGATGAAATTTTGAACTAAGAGCTTTTTTTTCTTCTTCTCAAACTGGCTTAACTTGTTCTCGAGAATGGCTCAGCTTTGTTATAGAAAAGCACTAATCTTCCAATATCCTTTTGCCAAGGAGTTAAAATGCTCAAGTCATAAAAATATAGAAAACTAACATCCTAATTGACATAAAAACACAAACTTTTTATTCAAAATTATGATTGCATACATAAATTTCCCAAAGAGTTTCAAACAATACGCATAAAACTCTTTCTTTTCTTTTCTTTTCTTTCCTTTCCTTTTTATTTTTTTGTTTTTGTTAGATTCTCCTCTAATAACTTCTATCTCCGTATCTCAGCTTGGACCTCATAATGCAAATTAATCTGACATTTTTGGAAGTCTTTTATCCAACAATCCACCTTCTTTCTTCTCTTTCCCCTGGTCAACAAACTTTTTGCCAAAAAAAATCACCAATAACTTTTCGTATAGCTTGAAGAGATAACCGGCAGCCACTAATATTCCACCACAAATTGTACCTATCCTGACAATAAACTGAAAAAAGGGAATTCTCTTTTCCCTAATAATCATCTTTATTGGTTCAAATTCATATCTAAAGTATATTCCAGGTATTCCTTGTAGCTTCCTTGATATCTCATCTGTTTTAACCACATAATGGTTTTCAGTCAAGGAGTACTGGTTAGTATCCACCTCCAAGCCCAACTTTTCATACAACGTGGGTACTACTCGAGCATGATAAACAAAAGCCTGTAGTTTTTCATTGGTTACTTTACCAGTAGCATCAAGAGGATTATTCAAGTAGGGGAAAAAGTCACCATAAGAAAATTCTTGAATTGCATGGGTAAAATTAAGCGCTTCAAAGGGTACATGCAGTCTATCCCTGTACCCGAACCCCTTTCCTGTAATGCGAAAGTCGCCCTTGACTTGATTGACCGGTATAGAGCCAAATATATGACAAGCAGGGGCACCCTGGTTGATTCTCAGACTCAGCTGTCTAAACTCAGCTCTTAAGCTTTCTTGTACCACCTCATCCAAATCGGGAGTTTGGTGAAAATCAATGGGGTTGTTGATCTTGAATCCAAGCGGTATAAAGAAATTAATTCCTTCGAAATTCAATGTTTCTCCCGCTAAGAACCGGTCCCGAGTGATATCCTCAACGTTGGTATGAATGAAGGCACACGGCATAGCTACTATCATATCGATATTGATTGTGAGATCAGATCGCACTACATTGTCAACAACAAATTGCCTATCCACGTATCCACCAATATATCCACCAATCTCGATCCATAGTATGAGTAACCCAAAAAGATAAGTTAATATTGTCGAGAGCCCGCCTCTTTTAGACCGCACCTGATGCTGCGGATCAACTTTTGGAAACGCATCAAAAGTTTTCACTCGTTTCGTGAAAGATTCCATGAAATAGTATAGGCTTCAATAGTCACTGGCAATCGTACTTACATCTAAATGCCAACTCTTTTTTTTTTTTTTTTATTTTTTTATTTATTTTTTTTTTCAACCACGTTACTATATGGTTTCCCTAAGAATGGAATCACTTTATCATTCCAGAAAGGACTCATTATATGTATATTTCTCTATTTCTATGAAATTGGTACTCCCAAAGTATTGTAATTGATCCATGTAATTGGGTTCCTATAGAATTGGCTCCATATTATATCAACCAATAGAAGCTTCGAAAACGGTACTTATTGATCTAACCTATTTTAGTTGGCCGTTTTTTTTTTTTTTCAAGATCAAGAACTAAACAAAGTTATATCAAATAGCTCTTTTGTCATATGGTGGCATCTTCCTACCACCACCACCACCACCACAGTTGCAGGTACCCTTCAGTAAGATGAAATTACAGTATCACCAAGAGGGTAAGATTTTGTTCCATCATATACCATCACCCCGTAAACTCAATATTTGTATGCTCTTTGGCTAAGGGGAGGGGGAAAAAAAAAAGAGCATATAGTAAAATAAAATAAAATAAAATAAAGTAGACTTAACAAAAATGTCATTTTTATACTCACCTGTAAGAGGTATGGAAAACAGACGGGTTTGGTTTGCAGAGGTTCACAATAGATGGAGGAGAATAACAATAATAATATAAATAAGAAGAGGAAGATCCAAAGAAGCCGTAATGGCTGTCACGTTTGCAAGCGATTAAAGATAAAGTGCGATGAAATAAAGCCTAGATGTGGATATTGCGTTAAGAAAAACCAAGTTTGTGATTATTCGATGAAATTGAAGTGGGGTGGTCGTCCATATAAAGATGAGAACAAGCGAAGAAAAGCTGATCAAGTTTATGGTACTACCGGCAGTCGAACAATAGCAAAAGGCTGCAAGAGGGAAAATACAAAAGTAATCAATGACGACGAAATAGATACAGAGCTGCTGTTGCCGCTGTTATTGTTGTCCCCAGCAACTGCCTCGTCTTTTCACACTTTTGTCACGTCAAGCTACTCATCAGTCTTACCGAGCGCGTCTGACGACGAAACTGGCACTAAAGAGTTGAAACAGTCGACAGATGCTGTTCACGCTGCAAGTTATTTTTACGGACTCGAGCTGCTTCAAGGTGCTATTGACCAGATGAGCAACGGAGAGACACGTCAGATTTGTTTACAAGACCTGAAGATCTTGCGGGAGTTTATGTTGAAGATTGATGAAAATGACAATGCGAGCACATTGTCGCCCACCGACACTTCTGCACCAAGCCTGTACAGTCAGGATCTTGAAAAGATTGAGGAGTATTTGTCCTTGCAAGTACCCAATTTCACCATGGAGCTGATGCCGCTTGTTTACACCCCGCGTCACAGAGCATATGAAAATGACTTTTGCCCAATTCTACAACAACAACAACAACAACAGCAGCCAAATGGTTCAAGTTATGAGATGTTTTTCAATTCAATCCCGCCTTCGCTAGAGGCATTGCCTTCGCTATTGCTAGAAGTTCCGTTTTACAAGAGCTTGTTACATTTTTGGGTTAATGTTGCATCACAACATTGCGTACCAGTGCCTTCCCATATATACAGAGAGAATCCTTTTAAAGTATTGCTTCCTCAGATGGCTATGGAATATCCTTCCATCTTAACAACATTATTGGCGTTCTCAGCCAAAATGAGGTCACAATTGATTGGCTCGGATGATGTGCCTGATGTGATCATTGATACACTATTATCTAGGTCCTGTACTGAACTATTGAAGCTACTTCAAGACGAGTCAAAAGCAGCTTCGGATGAAGCTTTAACTACAGCTTTGCTTTTATCATGTTTTGAGACCCTCAACTCAAAGGATTTAAACAAACATCGCGTGCATACTATTGGAGCAAGACAGATGATCAAAGCAAGAGAAGCCAATTTGCTACCAAAAAAAAGCGATAAGGACGTGACATTTTTCCTATTGCGATGGTTTGTATACATGGACGTTATCGGAGCTCTCTCGGCATCTTCGAACTCTGACCAATATCTTTTGATAAGTGGAGACGCTGGTTCCTATGAACCAGTTAACTCGTTGACAACTTTGAATGTTGCAAACCAAGTGGTGATGAATAGAAGTAGTCATAATATTGATCTCTTGATGGGGTTTGACTTGAAACTTTTGTCGTATTTTGTCAAGATTACTTTAGTAGCCCGAAAGACCACGGCGTACTTAAAGCAACCGGGGGCAGCCCCTAAAACCATTCCACAGGAGATTATTTGTGAGGCATTGGAGATTGAGAAAGCGCTACAAAATGGATGTTCGGCAGACATTGAGTTTATTGAGCCGGGAAACCTGTTGAAAAGGAAGGAGGCTGAAATTCTAAAATGCACAAATAAAATTTTTTGTGACTGTGTCACAATTCATTTATACAGACGAGGTCTTCGGGTCCCAAGGAACTCGTCGCTTGTTCAGACCCTAGCCAGAAACGTTGGTTTGTTAGCAAAGAAAAATATACCTGCAAAGTCCACTACAGAAACGTGTTGTGTATTTTGTTTTTTCACTGCTGGATGTGAAACATTGGATATTACAATGCAACAATTTTTTGAAGAAAGATTTAAGGGGTTGAGTGATTTGGGTAATATCAGCGCAAGAAAAGCTTTGAGAGTAATGAGACAATGCTGGACTACTGGAGACGATTGGATAGATGCCGCAGAGAAATTGAACTTGGATCTTGCTCTCTTTTGAAAAGCAGATCATCATCATAATAAGATTTGACCCTGTATTAAAAGATAAAAAGGTTTTTTTTTTTTTCTTCTTCAAATAAACAGCTTAATTTTAGAAATGGTTGTAATATGTTGAACCAAAAAAAGGCTCCCCCCTACCCCTTCTACCTTTGGGGCATTACTTCTCTTTTGAGCAAACATTGGTACTACCAGACCTGAGAGCTCTGTTCACTTTGAAACTTCGCGCTTTCTTTTTTTATTTTTTTATTTTTTTTATTTTTTTCTCTTCCTTTATTACATGCATCATCATCTTGGGTATGCAACAAGGTGGCCTATCTTTGGACGAAGATAAAGCATACAAAGAGGTAACTGCCTTAATTTTCTCATCTTTAGATGGGGCGAGCGATGCTCATGAACTTGCTCTAAAAAAAAGTCACGAATATTTAGTTCGGTGCTCCAATAATTCTCATTGGTTTTGTAATGAACAGATTTATCCCATATCGATCTATTCATTGATCTTATTTTCCTTCCCCAATAATGCTCTAAGCCCGAGTCTAAGACCCGGTATGGCGACTAGTTTGAAAAGTTGCCAAGCGTGTATTAAATACTTCAATATAGGGAAAGCCGAGTTGAGACTCAATTTTGCTACAAAGAAGCTAATCCCCATAGAAAATGTACAACAATTCACTAATGCTATAAATGAATGGGAAATCGAGGTGCTATTGCCGTTATTTGATTCGGTTTATAAACAAGTAACCCAAGAAGATCAAGCGCCAGATTCAAAACAATTGGAAATATGTTTCCATTGGGTTTTGAACAATCCTCAGATATTGCGACAATTTTCACTGATTAGGGATAAGTTTGGTCTCATGGTTAGCAAAGTGCGAGTTAGTCGGACAAAATGTATTCCCAAAGACTTGCTTCCGGGGCTCATATACCTTTTGTTTGAAGCCTCGGGAGATCAGAAGTTGTGGGCAATACAATGGGTAAACGAATTAAGACAAACGCGTGTTTTTTACAACGAAAAAGAACTAAGCGAAGCAGTGATCTTGGAGTTTAGCGTTCATTTGTATCGTATTGAAGATCCTTCTTTTTTCAATGACCGCAACGCTGTTAAGTTTTGGGAGGTTTTCAACATATTAGTGGACTTTATTGATGACAAGGCATTGGTGAATAAACTCAATGCTCCAAAGGATATTCATATTATAAGTCAGCATAAAAATTTGAGATTATACCCTGTCATGAGATTACTTGGGAACAGTTTAATGTCACATTTAAATGAGCCATTACCTGTAATGTTGCAGGTGTTTTCCAAGTTTCTAAGTCGATTAAAATCCCAGTTTTGGGCCACTACTCCGCAAATACACCCAATCGAGTTATTGGAAAGAATCATTACAAACCCTTCATTCTACCGACAACTCGAACGAGGATCCATGGAACAAACTACAATAAATGATTGGACATTGGACGATTTACTAACATGGATGGTACTATTGATCGACACAGTACATGTGTCTCAAAAACAAATTGCATGCATAAAGTTGAGTTCTTTTTTGTTAAAGTATACCGCTGGTGGATCTGAGACCGTTAATGACACCAGAGCACAGCGAGAGGCTTATTTGCGAAATTTTGGATTTAGCCTTTTGAATCAGAGCTTTCATTATGATCATGACTCCACGGACAATGACAAGTATGTCGAACTATTAAAAGTAAGAGACTATAGAGCAAATATTGAAGGCGAAAGCGAAACTTTGGTGAAAATGGCAATGAATACTTCGGAGGAGGGAGTCATTAACGAAGCCACTGCTCTTCTAATAAAATGTTTGAAATACGATATATTGATATTGGTTCAAAGTAGCATATTGCTTTCCAAAGAGAAAGTTCCTGTTCTTTATGATACTTTTCCGGTGCTATGGAATGCATTGAATAAGCTGAAACTAAACTCTAATGTTTCATTATCAAAAGAAATCATTAAATGTTTCAAGAATCTAAACCTGGTCATTTACTTCAACCCTTTGAAGAATGGCGACACAAAAAAGGAGATAACCGAAGCCAAGAAGCAACACAACAATTCGGTGGGAATCATGGTGAAATACATTAATCTGATTCTTGGGAACATCAGTTTAACACCACCACTGAGAATAAGCGACATCATTAATGATACCGATTGTTTAACTTCATTGTGGTCATGCATATTTTTCCCTCCTTCAAATCAACCAGCTTTGGACCTCATAAATGAAGTTTACGATGGCACGGGGCGATTTGAGTTGGTTGAAGAGGGGTTGCGACTCAACCTAAAAAGCACTTTGGTAGCTATCAATTTTAACTTGAAGGCATTAACTCAACTAAAAGCTTTTGAACCAAGCCCCAAGGCCGTAAGAGTTCTCATGGATGTCATTAAAGCATTAGCTGATCCAATAAGCCCTGTCCTATTATCACCAAAGGTATCACATGCTCATCTGGATATTGTTGTATTCTGGAAAGACTGCCTTTTATTTTTGGTGATGTTGTACGATCAAGCAATCACTTGGGCAGGTAGATACCATATGCACGAACTAGTTGAGTTCACCAGAGATACCTTAGATTTGAGTCACTTGATGTTGGAGTCATTTCGGATATTTTCAGATGGAATCAGCCCCTACGAGGGTAAAAACTGCAGGAAAATGCTTTTTGCGCTGTTTATGGATGCTTTTAACTCAATGATTGCTTGGTTGAGGTTGGGTGATGTACCGCTTTTAAATTCTTGCGTTGACTTGGTATTAAAGGTTTTTGATCTAGCAGCGGAACAGAATTTCTCTATTGAGGATACTGTTTTGGAAAAGTTTGCAAAATTTGGAGTCAAAGCTAAGAAATTTAACAATAAATTATCGGAATCACAAAGGAGCCAACTTTTATCAAAAGCCAAAGAGTTCAACTCAACATTAGTTGAAAAGATTGTCGATGAAGCGAATGAAAATAGAGAAAGAAAGAATGCTGCTCTTGCGGAAGAAAACATGTCAAAAGCAACAACAACAACAACAGCAGCAGCAGCAGTATACGGATATAAAAATCAAGTCGTTCCAGCTGCGTCATCAATGGGTGAACAAAAACAAAGCAGTTTTTACCAAAAATCTCTTAAAAAAGATGTTGTTGCCTTAGTTGAAGAGCATGGTTCGAAATATGCTCTGAGAAGAGACAGGGAAAAGTCAGAGCTAATTGAAGAAGTTGCCCCCTCATCAAGAAAAACGGTTGGAAAACAACAAACGTTGGGAATGTTTGCCAGAGCATCTAGTGAGCCTCCGGTAGCCCCACCCATGAAGAGTATCAAGGGAACGAATAGTTTAGATACAATTCGTAAAGACTTGAAAGTTGCTAGAGCAGCTGCGCCTAAAATTGAAAAACCTCCAGCACCTTCACGGCCGGCAGGTTATAATCTGAAAAAGGCGCCACCAGTGATTGGAAGATCCCTCAATACACTTAAATCCAAAAAAATTGAATCGGACTCGTCGGAGGAGGACGATGACGATATAGACATGAGCGACTTATTTGTTGAGAAAAAGAAAAAGGGAAAGATAGTGGAGATAGATCTCAATGGAAGGGAAATTACGCATTTGAACAGAATAAACGAAAAGAAAGCGTTCGAGAAGGAAAAGTTGGAAAAAGAGAGAATGAGCAAGAGATTAAATGTAAACCTTAAACCATTATACTTGAACATTTTAAGATGGAACTACAATTCAAAAAGCGAGTTCCCCACACGAGATCAACTGATTTACGAAAAAGTTTGCGATTCATATGACAATGTAAAAGATTATGTGAAAACAATGGAACCTTTGCTAATGTTGGAATGCTGGCAGGCTATCCAGTCCTCCAGAGACACAGTAATGGAAGTGCCATTTGAATTGGTAATCGGTAGCAGGACAAGCGTAGACGGTTTTTTTGAAGTTTATACATCCATAAGCAAAAAGACAATTGAAGATAGAAGATTGAATTTATCAGACTTGATTGTTTTGGCATGCCTGAATGAGGCCATTGTATCTCCAGCAGAGCAAAGGTCATTTTTTAGATTAGAAAGCACTCCGACTTGTTTGGCAAAAATTACACTGATCAATTCTGCTAATCCTGAGTACGCGGATGTAACTATTCGAGTTTATCCAAGCGGCCCAATCATTGGAGCTCTCACGCCAAAATCGAATATATTAGGTATGAAAGTGATGCAAATGGTTACAGTGGAAAGAGAATTCTCTTCGTTGAGAGGGTTAGAGTATTATGACTTGGCAAGCGCCATTATTTCGGCACGACCAAACCCACCAAAGGAGGTGAATATAGAGGAATTGGAAGACATGTACAAAGTATACGATGTTAACAAGTCTCAAGCAAGGGCTATAAAGGGTACATTTGAAAGCGAGGGTTTTTCATTAATTCAAGGTCCTCCAGGTACCGGTAAAACCAAGACAATATTGGGTATTGTTGGATATGCTCTTTCGCATAAGAAAAATAACAAGATCATTGAGATGCCTCTGAGGAAAAATTTGCAACAACCTTCAGAAAATGCAAAAATATTGATCTGTGCTCCAAGTAATGCTGCGGTTGATGAGTTAGTGTTAAGGTTGAGAAACGGTGTAAAAAATTCAAAGGGTGAACATATGGACTTAAAAGTGGTGAGGCTTGGAAGAAGTGACGCCATCAACGCCGCGGTTAAGGACTTAACTTTGGAAGAACTAGTTGAAAAAGAATTACAGTCAAAACAAGTGGACGTTCAAATAGATCCAACTATTCGAACTGAGCATTCTAAAAAAGTGAAAGAAAGAGACCAAATCCGGAAAAGGTTGAGTACCGAAACCTTGAGTCCAAAAGAGATTGAAAAGCTTGAAGAAAGGTTACGAGAAGTGAATCGTGAGAGAAGTGAACTTGCCAAAAAATTAGATGATCAGAGGGAACGTTCGTCTATTGCCTTTCGAACGCGTGAGATTGGTAGAAAAAATATACAGACTCGGATATTAGATAGTGCTCAAGTGCTTTGTGCAACGTTGTCGGGATCTGCGCATGAGCTAATTGCTAATCTCTCGGTAAAGTTTGATCAAGTCATTATAGATGAAGCATGTCAATGTCTCGAGTTGTCGGCCATTATTCCCCTCAGGTATGGTTGTAAGAAGTGTATTATGGTTGGTGACCCCAATCAACTACCACCAACAGTGCTATCAAAAGCTGCTAGCTCTTACAATTATGAGCAAAGTTTATTTGTTAGAATGCAAAAGAATTATCCAGACTCTGTGTATCTTTTGAATGTCCAATACAGAATGCATCCACAGATATCTCAATTTCCAAGCAGGGAATTTTATCAGTCCAAATTAGCGGACGGCCCAGATATGGAAATCAAAAACAAAAGATCATGGCATGAGATTATGCCCTTGACCCCGTATCGATTTTTTGATATTGTTGGTAGACATGAAAAAAATGAGTTGACGCGTTCCTTGTTCAATACAGAAGAGGCGAATATTTGCTTGCAGCTCGTTTGCAGATTGATTGAAACGATTCCGCAACAGCATCTTGCTGGTAGGATAGGAATAATCTCGCCTTACAAAGAGCAAATACGCACCATCAAGGATGTGTTTGTTAGAAGGTTTGGTAGAATCATTCTAAGTGAGATTGATTTTAACACAGTGGACGGATTTCAAGGGCAAGAAAAAGAAATCATTATTATGTCTTGTGTTCGAGCAAGTCCTGATGGAAACGTTGGGTTTTTGAGTGACGTGCGTCGTATGAATGTTGCACTTACACGTGCTCGTACAACACTTTGGATATTGGGGAACAGGACGTCGTTGTCGAGAAACAAAGTGTGGAAAAGTTTATTGGATGATGCGGAGAAAAGAAATGCCATAACTAATGCATATTCCGGGTTCTTAGCTCAAAATTCGTTCCTGTCAACTTTTATAACCACAGGTAAAAGGACTTCAGACGAAATTAGTGAAAACACGTTTTCGGTCAAGAAGCCAAAAATGACAAATGTGTCAACGACCTCGAGCAATAGACAATTGAACAAGGTCAATAACAAGAGTAGCATCAGTAGCAGCAGCAGCACTCTCTCGGATAATGGTGGTGGCCGTGTTATACGACCTACTTCTTCGGGAAAAATTGATATGCCATTAAATAAATTGAAAGCTGCATCTGCTGCTGCTAATAACAGTAACAACAACAACAACAATACTAATAATAGTAATCAGTTTGAAAACGAGCAGAATGAAGATCTCATAGATGTGAAAATGAGAGGAGGTGATAAGAAGAAAAATGATACTCCTCCAAAAATCTTAAAGCCTACATCTTCTGGTACTCTTCCAAAACGTCCACCCAACATTAAATCGCCTGGTATGGTTTTACCACCTAAACCCAAAAGTGTTAGTAGTACTGGTAGTAGTAGTAGTAGTAGTATTTTCATTCCCAGAGGACCTAAGCGGAGATAGCTTACATTTTTTGCATATATATACGATTTATAGATAAATAAGAAAAAAGTAGCCTAAGATCTCCTTTTAGCTCACCCCTTTGTTTGTTTGACTTTGTGGAAAACATCTAAAATTTGTCACCACTATTTTGATCACGTTCCTGCTCCTGTTCCCGTTCCTGTTCCTGTTCCTGTTCCTGTTCCTGTTCCTGCTCCTGTTCTTGCTCCTGCACCATTTTCTCTAAATGAAAACTAAGTCCAGAATTCTCTAATACCAAACTTAATCCATCAATAACTACTTCAATTTCACTCTCAACTAATTCCAAAAAGGTCCTCATTACATCTTTCTCGCTTTTGTAATCCACTTTCTTATTTCTTATAGCATCTCTCTCTTTAACAAGAAGCTCCACTGAGCTCTCGAGCACATCGGACAAAAGCTTGTGATCCAGATACCCACTTGAAGCAGATAGTACAGCTTCTAATTTTGATTCTTGTTGTGAAACCACATGCCTCACTTTTTCCCAGCATCTGCCATAGTAGTGATAAAGTGTTGCTTCTCGAGATGATTTCGTTACTTGACTTTCTATTGCCAAAATTTGTTGTTGTAGATGTTTCAATATAGGGTTGAGATCTAATTCCTCCACCTCACCAAGGGCAGGTTCATCGTCGTCATCATATTTTGCTTCTTCTTCTCGTTGTTGTTGCTGTTGTTGCTGTTGTTGTTGTTGTTGCTTAACGAAGGGTTGTAAACGACGGTGTGGATGCTTCTTCTGACGGTCAGACAAAATATGCTTGGCAATAAAATCATTTATTTGAGACTTTAATACAGAAGAGTTATTGGCCCCTTTAGTGTATCCGAGTTCAAATGGAGTTTGACGATGATTGAGAGTGTTTTCTCTTCCTTCGTTTTCTATTGGGTCAACAGATGTTGGTAATTCATAAGGTTGGATTCCTATATTAGATTGGGCTGGTGTTAGCAGTTGATGTTCTGGACATGTGGATTCACGCGCACTTGGTGCTTGATTGTTTTGGTCTGGCTTAGTAAAAACGGGTTTTTCTGCACTGGAATTGGAATTTGAGTTTGATCTTGATGAGCTTGAAATTTCAATAATATTGGTTCTCAATAGCTGCCCTATTTCTTTCTCAGGCACACCGCAACTTTGCACATATTCAAGTGCTATTTCCTTGCCCCTTAGTTCAAGATCTTTGAACCGATCCAAAAGTATAACTGTTCGACTTTGTAAAATACTAGTTGTATCATCGATTTCCTTGAGTAAAAGAGACCTTTTCTCTTTCAACTTCGCTAACTTTGTTTGCAACTCGGTTATTTCCTCCTCCACCTTGTTTGATTTCTCTTTCAAGCTTGACAATTTCACACCTTGCTCGCTAGTCAAAATAGCCATGGCTTTTTTGATTAACTTGCTACGCTTCACATCCCAACCTTCAAAAACTCTCCATATAGACTTTTTGTAAGCAGCTTTTTTGGTGTATACTTCATTCAATGCAAAAGAACAGCTAGAGAGTTCATCATAATTTGTTTGAATGTTGAATCTCAGTTGGTGGATTTCGGGATCGCCCATTTTTAACAACCTTCTGTGATTTTGAGAATTTAATTCCAACTCTTTTGCCAAGATATCAGCTTTCCTTGATAAGTGTTCTACAATTCCAACATAGTTGTGATTAATATTCAATCTTGAGAAACTTGATAAAAGCGTGTCTATATGTAAAGACAGCTCCAGAGCTTGAGAACCCACCAAAAAGCTCTTTTCTTTGCCATTATCGTTATCATTTTGATGCAAATATTTATCATAGAATGGCGAGACTAAATCCTCAAATTCGTCAAAGTTTGAGTTTGCTATCTTGGGGACATTGCCCTTTAGGTCACCTTCTCGACTGGATATAAACTCCTCTGGATCCAACTCGTAATCGTCGTCATCATCATCTTCAAAGTTGTCTGCGAGATATTTGTTTTCGGGAGACGAGAGATCTCGATGATATAGCCCTTTTGTAGGGAAAGTCAGATTATATGCGTCAGTCTTTATAGTTGATGTTAAATTTATTGATTCATATTCAATATCCTTGGACATTTACGGCTTTGTAATACCTGCAACATGGACCATCTATTTATTCTTATCAATAGAAGTAACAGATATGATAAAGAGAGAAGGGGAAAAAAAAATCTCCAATGGTGAATAGTAAAGACCTCTATACTTTTGAGACTAGCTGAATAGAGGTGTAGAAACTAGTTGGACAGAGGTGTAGAAACTAGTTGGACAGAGGTGTAGAAACTAGTTGGACAGAGGTGTAGAAACTAGTTGGACAGAGGTGTAGAAACTAGTTGGACAGAGGTGTAGAAACTAGTTGGACAGAGGTGTAGAAACTAGTTGAATAGAGGTGTAGAAACTAGTTGAATAGAGGTGTAGAGGCTAGTTGAATAGAGGTGTTGAAAATAGCTAGTATGCTCCACTATCTCACTCCGCTCGATAGTGTCGCGTAGAAATTAGTTGAATGTATACAACATGTGACCTCTGTTGTTATGAGGTCTTGTTTTAATACCGTTGAGATGAACAAGTCTTTACTATGTGAAAAGAGACAAGCAAAATTAACATCAAAATTCAAGTTACAACGGGGGCTGTAAGATTACATCACGAGCAACCAACCCTGTCAGTACTGCTCCACTAGCTCGCTTTGCTCGCTATCAATAAAGACATCTCACCCCAGTTCCCAGTTCCGAGTCTCTATACTGATGGGACTACAAAAGTAATCTAATTGGCTCCTCTTTGTCATGTTGCTCTCAACTCCATTCTTTTTGTAGAAGCAATACACGACAATCTATCAACCATATTAACCATATATTCTACAATCTCGCTGAACACGTCCTCGGTTGCTCGATCACGTGATTGACCTTTTTTGCCGCTTTATTTGCGGCGAAAGTTTTATCAAAGCTGACGCGAAAAGGGCAGGCTCAAAATCCATCGCGCGATGAGGAGCGAAAAAAAAAAAGAGAAAGAGAGAAAGAGAGAAAGAGAGAAAGAGGGTAAACAAGAAGAGAAGCGAGAGAGACTAGTTTGTATTTGTTAAACGCGTTTCTTTGTAAAGTTGGAGCGATTATTTCGAGATTATAGACCTGTATTTGTTCCCACAACCATATGAAAATACTATGTGTTGCGGAAAAACCATCAATTGCAAAAGAAGTAGCACACATACTAGGAGGCGGCCGAGTAGGCGTACGAAGTTCAAAAAATAAATACATCAAAAACTATGATTTTAAATTCATGTTCCCCCAGGTTGGGCTATGTGATGTCACGATGACATCGGTTGTAGGGCACATAACAAATCTTGATTTTCCTCCTGGGTACCAATGGGGACAGTGTCCCGCAAGTAGACTATTCAATGCCGATATTATCACCAAAGTAACAAAGCAAGACGTTTTTGACAATATTTCTAAAGAAGCAAGAACATCTGATAAATTGATGATATGGACAGATTGCGATAGAGAGGGGGAGTTTATAGGCAAAGAGATTTTTGATGCAGCCAGAAACGGGAACAGTAGGCTAACGTTGAAAAATGTTTGGAGAAGTCGTTTCTCACACCTCGAAAAGAATCATATTATTCGAGCTGCTAAAACACCCGCAGAATTGGATATGAAGTCCGCTGCTGCCGTGTCATGCCGCATGGAACTTGATTTTAGGGTAGGGACTAGCTTTACGCGTCTTTTGACCGATACTCTAAAGTCAAGTCACATTATTGAGAAAAAAGATATAGCATCATATGGAACCTGTCAATTTCCCACCTTGGGATTTGTAGTTGATCGATACAAGAGAGTTCAAGACTTTAAGCCAGAACCATTTTGGTTCATAGAGCCTATATTAAGGAAAGAAGGAAGGAAAACTATATTCAACTGGGTAAAGGGCCATTTTTTTGATCGATTGTATGTTTGCATAATGTACGAAAAGTGCCTAAAGAATGAGTTTGGAACGATTGTAAAATTGGAAACAAAGAGAACCACCAACTGGCGGCCGTTACCGTTAACGACGGTCGAGCTCCAGAAGGATTGCGCCAAGTACTTCAAAATGTCAGCAAAGACGGCATTAGATGCAGCAGAAAAATTGTACAACAAGGGGTTTTTATCCTATCCAAGAACAGAAACAGACAAGTATCCTAGTACAATGGACTTTACAGGGATCTTTGAAAAGCAAAAACAGGATTCAAGGTGGGGGTCGCATGCAGGAAATTTGTTGTCTCAAGGTTTTGAAAAACCGCGAAACGGCTCCCACGATGACCACGCTCATCCTGCAATACATCCAGTCAATTATGTTTCTATAGATTCCTTATCGAATGCAAATGAGAAGAAGGTTTACGAATACGTGGTGCGCCGCTTTTTAGCGTGTTGCAGCAAGGATGCTGTGGGGAGCTTAACGCAAGCTACTTTACAATGGGGTGACGAGTTTTTCACAGCTAATGGTTTGATGGTGACTGAGAAAAATTACTTGGAGATTTTTACCTATAAGAAATGGGAAAGCTCAAAAGAATTGCCCAAATTTTTAGAAGGAGAACGGGTAAAAATATCCAATGGCGTAATCAAAGAAGGTAAGACAACTCCTCCGCAGTTAATGACAGAAACAGAACTTATTGCCTTAATGGATGTAAATGGAATTGGAACCGATGCAACGATTGCTGAGCACATTGACAAAATATTGACCCGAAACTATGCAATTAAGCAAAAGAAAAATAAAGCAGAATATATTGTTCCTTCACCCCTCGGAATTGGGCTTATTGATGGCTTGGATAAAATGGAATTTAACGGAATATCTCTATCCAAGCCGTTTTTGAGAAAGGAATTAGAAAAGTCTTTGCAAGATATATGTAATGGCACAAAAAATAAAGCTGAAGTTGTGGAAGAGATGAAAAAGGTGTACTACAACGCATATGGCATTTGTAATCAAAAAATTTCACTACTAACTAGCCAGTGTAGAATTAGCATCGGTCGAGGGCAGGCCCAACTGCCGCCGTGATTTGTATCATGAACCCTTGGGCGTAGTGGGTTTTAAACGTCAAACTTGTAATAGAAATTGAATATTCTTGGTAATAGCGAAAAGAAAATTAGAGGTGTATTTTATTCCTATTATTCTTTTTTCCTTCTTCTTCTTCTTCTTCTTCTTCTTCTCTATCTCTTCATATATTTATATATCCAATTTTTCACTAAAAGGAGGTATAAAGTTATGTTTGGGTCGCAAGGATTCAGTAACTCTGCCTCTCTGGGGCAAGTTAATCCGTTTGCAACAACAAAGACATCTGCCTTTGGTACATCGGCATTAGGAGGAAGTTCTTTGACACCAGGCAATGCAAATAAATCAGGTTTTGGAGATTCGGGGTTTGGCAGTGTTGGATTTGGCAATAAAAGTAAAAGCACTAGCTCTGGATTTGGAAGTGCTGGCTTTGGAAGTGCTGGACTTGGAAGTTCTGGCTTTGGAGGTTCTGGCTTTGGAAGTTCTGGCTTTGGTAATGCGGGATTTGGAAGTTCTGGATTTGGTAGTTCTGGATTTGGTAATTCTGGATTTGGTGGTCAAAGTGGGAATAACCCATTTGGAAACACGGGATTTGCGTCTAAGACGTCACAGCCATCATCACAGACAGCGAACTCCAGCGGCGGTGCTTTTGGTTCTATGGCTCTGCCGTTTTCATCCTTGGCAAACAATTCCAACAAGCAAGCAACGGCATCTCTGAACAATGCATTCTCTACACAGTACCTGAATGCATTCGCCAATCAGAGTAACACTTTTGGATCAAACTCACAGTCATCCTCCACCCCCGTGAACTCATCAAGCAATACGGCCTCGCCATTCAGTGTCATGACCTCAAAGACACCACTGACTTCTGCATTTGGGAACAACAACCCAACTGCTGCTCAACAAGAAACTTCTGCATTTGGGAACAACAACCCGACTGCTGCTCAACAAGCAACTTCTGCATTTGGAAGTTTTCCAACAATACAGGGAAATCAAACTCAGAATAAAGAGCAAACAAACTCATCTTCCTCGCCATTTGGCTTTTCATCGGGGTCTTTTCAGAACCCTCCAGCATTTTCATTTACAAAATCTAAACCAATTGACCAGTCCTCTACGAAACTGCCAATGGGTTCAGCCCCTCAGAGTTCTCAAGTTGTTGATACTACAGTAAAGGGATTAGGTTCAGTAGATGGAATCGATCCAGATAATGACGACGATCTGACCAAACCAAATTCCACAAAACCTCTCCTGGGGCTAAACTTGGACAAGTATTTTATGCAAGCGTTTACTGCAGATGCTTTTGCTCTTGGTAAGGTTCCAGATATACCGCCACCACCGACAATGTGCAATTAAGAAGTATGGGTTACTTCTTTTAACAGGGAATTTTATGATGAAATTTTCTACAACGTTCTAAAAGAGGAAAGGAAAACTATTGTTGTAGTATACACGATCACAATATCCAATAGCCAATACCGCCATCCCTTTACTACCAAACACTTTACTAACATCTTCAAAATACAACCATTGCAATAAAAAATGCATTGGGCTTGTTACTATCTCCAAGATAACAGGTAGCGCCTAACTTTTTGAATTGAAAGAAGAAGAAAAAAGAAAAGGTATAAAGAAAACCAGTTGAGTATCGCTATTGCAAGAGTTGAAGTTTTCAACTACCACGAGTAAATACAATGACCCAGTTCCAGAGTTGTTTCTGATGATTTGTATAGAATGTGGACAAAGAAATATTGCGAATCTTTATTCGAAATACAAGAGTGATTACATAAAGCTAACTGTTTGTCCATCCTGCTCAAAGATATGTGACAAATATATAGAATATGATTCAATAATTCTATTCTTAGACATCTTGTTGTTGAAGAAAGGAGCATATCGGCATTTAGCATATAACCTTACCGAAACCGGATTAAAAAATCAACCAAGTACGTTTTTTTCCAAATACAGACATTTGATGAAATTGAGTACATTGATCATCTTATTTGAAGTTTATTTGACTTGGGCTACGTATGAGCAGGACTCTCACAAGAAGAGAATTATTGAAGAAATTTTGAAGCAAAGCGTGGCCTTACAATACACATTCTTTATAGTCCAAACGGTGCTAAAAAATCTTGTGTTCAATTTGGTGTTGCAGGTGCTAAGTAGAGAAATATGGAAGGTTGGGAAAACCAGAGAAGTGCATTTACCAGAAAATCTTCAATGTAGCTACATTTCCTCAGTGCTACTCACAACCGTTATGGTATCAGGCTCTATAAGATTGTTTCGCATTTTGATGTTGATCTGGCCTTATGATATATCAATAACAAAACTCATGTTCGATTGTATTTGTGTTTTGAATATAATCGAAGCATTAAATATTGTCACAGATCTTGGTTATGTGTCAATTGTATTCATTGTGTTGATGTCGTTGGCTGTGCAGGAAGGATCTGTGAACTTTTTCAATGAGTGTGTAATAAATCTACTTCAAAAGTACTGAAGTCAAGAGATATATATTTTTCAGTGTCTATAAATAACACCCCCGCTCTGACACACCCTTCCCTCCTTCATGCATACGTAAATATTCTTTGACGCCTTTAAAGAGAAGACTAAATGAAGAATTTGTTTATAAAGCTTTTCCATCCTACAGTTATAAATATATATATATATAATTTTTTCCCTTTTTTTTTTCATGTGGTGACTATCTTTTGAAACCTTTGTGAGGTTTCCCATATCGAAAACATTCTCTATACAACCGCCTCCTTCTGAACTCGTACACAATTTCCAGGTGTACGACGTCTTTCATATTGTCATAAATCCATCCCTCGTCTTCGTTACTCCTAACTCTAAATAGCTCTGGATTCAACGATCTACTCTTAATAAAGTTCTTTGGATTCTTATCAAGAATCCACTTGTTGACAAACTCTGTATCAAACTTCCACTCATGTGGCGGATAAACCTTGGAAAGGTACTCTACACCAAGTGGACGTTTACCAGACAATCTGTGCTTGTTTGTTTTGTCATATAGCGTATTTGAATATCGATAAAAGCTCCACTGTTGTTTCAAAATGCTCTTAATTTGTAATTCGTAAACTTCAACTATTCTCACCTCTGGTGGATCATCAACAATGATGTCATTTCTGTCAAACTTGGTAACAAAATTTTGTAGTTGTACTTGCATTTGCGTTTCTTTTGCATCTTTATTCAAAGAGGCATTGGTATCGCTTTGTTTCCCTTCTTCTTTTTGTTCTTTTTGTTCTTTTTGTTTTCCTTGTTCCTTTTCTGCTTCCATCTCTGCTTTCACCTTGGCTAATTTTGCTCTTTCTTTTCTGGTGGTACTCATATCCACCAAGTACTTCTTGATATTTGGATGGCACAAGATTAACCCAACCCAACCACCTTGAATGAAAATTAATCGCCACGGAATAAATTGTCCAAAAAACAAAGTTGCAAAGGTTGCAATCAAAACACCATAGAAAATAAATGTCGACAATCTTTCGTCCTTGAAGCCAGCGGTTTCGTAATAAAAAATCTTCCACTTATCAATTCCCTTCAACAAATCTGATGTCAAATTTTGAAAATCTCTCAAATTGATAAGAAGGTCCAAATTTGATTTTCTCCGTCTTGCCAACTCTCTTTTACTTGTATGTCCTGACTCTGCTACTTTTGTGGATGTTGTGGCTTCTGAAACTACTGAATAACCCGAGGTTGATGCAATCTCAGCGTCTTCTTCTAAATATTCAGTGTCTACCATATCTTCTACAATACTACTTTCAGAAGCGGCATTTAAAAAGTTGAATAAAGACTGGCCTCTTTTCTTGACCTTGATTAGTTTTGGTCTTCTTGGGGGATGACGATGCACGTAGCCGGGGATCAATATACCAAACAAAACAAAGAGTAGTGGATAGGTAATAATCAAATGGGGCCATAAAATAGCTGCGGTATACAACACCAACACACTAATAGTCTTGTTTGGTTGTTTCCAGGCAACAATGTTGATCAACTCGTATTGCAAAGCAAAAAAACTGGACATCTTACCCGCCAAATGTTTCACATTTGACGCCAACGTAGGAACCGACAAGCCTGGTCGTTTATTTCTCTCTGGATCATTCAATCGTCTTTCAAAAATTTCTCTCTCGGGTATTTCTGGAGGTAATGTAGACTTCAAAAGCTTCTGAATTACCCTATCGGCAAAATGACTACTCGTTCCAAATTTGGACAAGCTTCCGTTTTTGGCTCTTGCTCCTCCTTCTTTTTCTTCTTCTTCGTCTGCGGCTGCTGAATCTGCCATCGAGGCTATATGCGATATCTCATCTTCCGTCAAATCTACCGATCCGACTCGACTCGGCGGGGATAAAGCTTTATCCGCTGTTGCTTTGCCATTCTTATAACAATCGATACCTTTTTCCAATAACGTGAAGGCTGCTTCTGCAGCAAATGCACGTTTACTACCTGGTCTTTGTTGCCCTGTTTGATTGCTTGTATCAATTGCTGAGTTGGTTATATCCCGGTAGTATGAACTAGATGGCCGGCTCCATCTTTTTCTCTCCTCTTCAACACTCATTGCTAATACTCAAAGTATCCAATATCCCTACAAGCTCAGCCTCCTACTCAAAGTAGTCAATATCCCTACAAGCTCAATACTTTTACTTGCTTTCCAAAATGAACACTTTTAACCTTAAAGGCTGAACCTACCTGCCTGAAAAGCTTTAATTTATTTTAAATTGTGGGGAGAAGTAAAGATTGCGCTACCAAATGTACCTTTTTAGCATATGAAAAGGGCCTGTCCCCTACCTCCCCGCCTCCTTTGAGGAATGTCTACAAATTGAAGAAGCAATTTTTGCTCATTCTAGAGTCAGTTTCCGTATGACAAACCACACAAAATGACGGAGAATCCGACATTTCAATGGGTTTATCTAAGAAGTTAGTGTACTTTTACTTGTGTGTATCATATTTTATTGTTACATTGGAGCAGGAATTTTTTTTTTTTTTGATTCACTTTTCATTAAATACTTTGCAAAGAAAACATACAAAATGAAATGATGACATATACACACTTGTTTCCTCAATAGTGGTAGCTAAGTTAGGTGACACTTCTTTCCTCAATAGTGGTAGCTAAAGGAGATGACACTTGTTTGTTTGTTTGTTTGCTTGCTTGTTTGTTTTTTTCTTTAGTTCCTTTCTTAACTTAACTTAACTTAACTTAACTTATAATGAGGGATAATCCTTTTCATTGAAACTTGATTTGGTTTCTACCTGTCCACCTCTAAAGTTGTCGCCTCTTCTAGCACCACCTCTGAAACCGCCTCTCTTACCTCCCCTGAAACCTCCTCTCGAGTTACTGTTTCTTTCAAAAGATTGAGGTTTTTCGTCGAAAAATGTTGCTTCTACTTCCAAAAACACTTTTTCCTTTGGAGCTTTAACTTTGGTCTTCTTTTGGTGAGTTGATGCAAAATAAGCTTCTTCTTGTTTTTCAATCTTCTCTTCTGATGACCATTTCTGCTCAGATCCTTCATTGGCTTGTCTCAATTTCTTAGCACCATCCAATTCCTTTTGCTTCTGTTGTTGCTCAGCAAGATATTCCTGTAAGGATTTCTTTGGCGTAACCTCAACTTCTTCTTGCTCTTCTGCTTCTAATTCGGCCTCAGCATCCTCGGCACCTTCAATCTCATTAACCAATTCTCTGTTATCACTCTCACCCCATCCTTGTTGCAATTTCTTCTTTGAGTCGGTTTTTCCGGACCTTGAGTGACGGTCAAATGGTTTCTTTTGATGTTTAGAAACAGCAGACTGTGGAACTGGCTCTTCCTTGTTGGAAATTTTGGTCTTTAATGCCCCCTCATTACCGGTTGGCTTGCTCTTCTTCTTGGCCTTAGCTGGGTCCGCTGATTGAGGTGCAACATCGGCCTTCTTGGAACTAGTGTTCTTTTTGACAACTTCCTTCACTGGAGCAACTGCTGCAGAGTCATCCTCTACGTCGTTACCTAACAAATCGTACAAATTCTAGACAAAAAAAAAAAAAATCGGGTTAGTATCAAAACATCATGGACCAAAACTCTTTTTCTGTTGAAGAAAATGAATTGCATGAATGTTCACACGATCATAAAAGGTTTAAATTTCAACGGTGAGATTCTTTTTAGCTCTCAAACCCCTCCCCCCACCCCACCCCACCCCACCGCCTCTCGCCTTTTTTTTTCAACTTTATCCCCCCCAATGATTCGATAGTCATGTTGGGATCCCTACACCACCAAAAAAGAACCTTGCACCAAAAACACTGTTTCTTATGTTTTCTCTATTCTTGCCTCAATTCATTATCTCCGATGAACCTCATTCCCACCTGCTCGAGCTCACACAAAAAAAAATGACAAATGATAGACATACTTTGTTCTGGAAAGACATCGTAATCCCCTTGGTTTATGCTAATACTTCCTTCTTCTAATTGACTCAGGATGAAATTGATCTTATTGTGATTGACCAAAAAAGAAGAGAAAGAAAAATCTTGTTGAAGTCCTTTCATTTAATGAAAAAAAAAAAAAAAAAAAAAAAATTTTCATTCAAACTGAGCAGAGCTAGATGCAGGATCATAGAGAGTAAACAGGTAGACAAAATTGTTTGCTACGATGCCTAATACTATAAGTAGTAGCTCTGAAGAAAGGATCAACAACTTTAATAAAAAAAAAAGATATCTGGTTGTATCAGTAGTATAGAGAAACTGTGCTACAAACTCCTTTTTTATCAAAGCTTCTAATACCGTGTACCATTTGTGACGCTTGCACTTTAAGGGTGGAGATGAGGGTAGTAAAGTTATTTAAGATTTTACAAAGTCTTCTCCAATTCTTGTCAAAAATGAGCGTAGAGCAGTCCTCAAGTCAGTGGTCATACTCCTATTGAGCAATCTCAAAACCAACTTGTACATATTAGGACCGAATCTCTTAAAGTCCTCCTCATCTAACTCAACATATCCTTCGTAAATCTCTATAATTACAGGTTTCCAGGTGTTTACATTCCGTTGCTGGTTTGTCTCGTCAAAATCGCAATATCGGTTGGTGATGCTTGTGCACAAGGGGTTCAAGTATCCTAAAATAGTTTCTTTATCTTCTCTCTGGGTTTTGTCGTCATCACAGTACATTCTAAACATAATGCTGATAAACACAGCTGAAGAAGACGACTCCTGCTTCAACAAATTGGGCAATCTCTCTATGACGCCTGCATTCCATAAGCGCACTCTTAACTCGTAGTTGTCATTGAACGTTTTGGCAAATTCGTACGATTTGAATAACAATTGGGCCATTTTTATCAAGTATTCGTATGGTATACTTTCATAGAGATCATCTTGTTCAAATAGCTCAGATAAAGTTTGAATCAATAGCAATTGCAAAACACTCTTCACAACTATGGATGACTTCTCTTTCGATTTCTTCAAGCGCTGTTCATTTTCATCGACAACCAGTTTCTGCAGTTTAGAAAACATGTCCTTCTTATTATCCTTTTTCTTCTTTTTCTCCCCCTCCTCCTCCTCATTCTCGTTGCCATTCTCAATCTCTGCATCTTCTTCTTCTTCTTCTTCTTCTCCTTCTTCTTTTTCACTCTCTTGTTCATTTTCTCGTGATGGATCCAATAAGAACAACTCCTTTGCTGTAGTAAGATCAAATAAGGTGGCGAATGCATCTACAATTTCACCCCAATGCTTCGTTTCAAACTTATGCGAATTATCAATTAGCAAGATGCACAAGCACTCGCGCCCAATCCTTGCAATGGTGTCATTTTCTTGACAGATACAAGATGTTATTAATTTCAAGTATTCGACTAGTAAATGATTCAAAGCATCAAAGTAATGTGTGAACATACTGATCATACTTTTTAATGCCTGAATCAAGGTTGTTGATAACCATACTGATAACTTGTCATTTAAGCCATCCAAACTCAATTCCCAATGGTTACTCAAGATACTGAAGATGGGAAACAATAAATCGTGAAATATCAAATTCCAAAACTCTCGATCAAAGTACTTTCCGTACTTCAGAAGTAGCTCGAATAAACTGTTTAATGCCTTTGATCTCACCTCCAAGTCTTCACCTGTCATAATTATATCGTGAAATCCAAATAATACTGGGAACCAAAGCTTCTGCATATGATCTTCTTTCTCTGAACTTTGTACATTTTTGTCTTTTTCGTTAGAAAAACTATACTGTGCAATCTCATATATCAATCGAGACAAAACATCCAATGACAATAAACTTAATCGTTGAAACTTCTCATTCTTGGCCAATGTTGTGAAGCAGACCACTAGGTCAGAAAAGGAGTCCTGTTTTCGAACCTCCTCTATATATTCTTTATTGATCCAAATCGCCATTTTGTATGACTTCAACACTAGGGATTCTTTATATTCCTTGGCCGCAGCAGTGCAAACGTTGAAAATAGTCTTCCAACCTGATTTGATTTGGCTGGCCCTTGCCATTATCATATTATTCATGCACTCCAAAACCATATCCTTAACTTCAAGGGAGTTGTTGTGAATTATAACGTATTCAAACGGCTTCAAAAACTCCTTTTGGAATTTGAAGTGCGCCAATTCATCAATCTCCAAAAATCTCATTGAGAGCTGTCGCAATGAGTCTAATGCAAAAAACAGAATGGAAGTGTTGGGGTGGCAACCGAGCTCGTAGAATGTTTCTCCCATAATAGCCCATAGTTGTGACCACTCTAACCGTATCCTGTCCATGTTATAATAGCAAATATCCACAAATTTCTGTAACGAAAATGTTCGCGGATTTGAACTTTTGCCTGAAGAATCAATCTCTTCCTTTGCCACTTCGGATAATGCTTTAACAAATTCTACAATACTTGGACCAGATAGATTCGAGCTATTTGTAAACACCTTATCAATGGCAACTTCCAAGTCGGTTTTCAAAAACATCCTGGCCACATCTGGGGAAAGATGTTGATTGTGAAACTTATTAGAAGCAGATTGTGCAGGTGTTTGTGATGAAAAGGAACCAAAAAAGCTGGCACTTGTTCTCAGACTATCGACGGAAGATCTAGTAACCAACTTTGCCGTGGTCACATCTGGTATCGAATTTTGATCAACTCCTTGGGCAATCAACTGCAATCGCTCAATTTGCGAGATTGAAGTCAAAATTGGAATCCAAGACTCGCCCAATTGGCTCCCCTCGGATACTGCCAACTCAAGCATGATATGTATTGCAGCGACGTTTTTTTGTTTCATCTCTTCGTAATTATTCAAATTCTGAAATTGAACAAGAGCTCCAATGAAAGAAGCTCTTGCATACTTTAAGTCAAACATGCAAGCTATGCGAATGGATAGTTTGATTCCTTCCAAACACGCTTTTGTAACAAACTCTTCATCGTACTCCTTAAAGGGCGGAGTCAACCCCGCCAAAATTGACATCCATAATGTATCAAATATGGACTTCACGTGTAGCACACTCGTGGCTGCATAGTACATTGTGTTCAGATCTTCGAGCCTCATATTTCTTCCCAAGTTTTTCATGAGCTTTTCAGCCTTGGTAGACATCTCTTTTGACGCAAAAATATATGCTTCGCGGGTTAAATCTCTGCCACCAAAGAATCCTATTGATTGACTACTAGGTGTCACTGGCAAGTCTCCAGCTAATAATGCTGCATGTTGTTCTGACTGTAATTTGATTTCGTTGTGCAAAATTTGGTCATATATTGTTTTCAATGTCTCCCTGGGTATATCATTACCGTCGTCAATGCCCGCATTATTCATCACAAAGCTCTCAAACGTCATTCTATTCTTCACTTGTGGAGAGTGCAAATCTGTGTTGAGCATGATTACGGAATATCCTAAAATGTAGGCGGTATCAGCGTTGGCAAATACACCAGGATTTCCCATGACGTATCTCTCGGCAAACTTTAACAAAAACCTATCAATTTTTTGCGCTTCTCCTGGTAATCTAAAAGATTGCAAAAATCGCCTCATTGCATCCACAAATTCAGCTTTATCAAACTCCATTTGATTAACAAAGGCATGCATAATGGCGATATTCTTCTCATCTCCTTCTCCTAGATATTCTCCAATGGTGGCTTTATCCAATCCATCTGTTTCAAGAAGAAATTTAGCAATATCTTCCGGCGTATCACTTTCGATAAAACCATGTTTCATAAGAAAATCTACTCCTTTTCTAGGCTTTTGATTAAACTGTCTTATTCCTTCAAGCAAAGCTTTTTTCCTTTGCTTTTGAGTTTCAAACTGTTCAATCTTGTCGGTTTCAGATTTGATACTATCTTCTCCATTCACAAAGGATGCATTTCTAGTCACATTTGCAGACGACGTGTTGTTTGAATCCGATCGATCTCGAGATAATGATAAAAAGGAACCATTGCTATTAGTTGCATTTCCACCAAAAATTTGTTTGTTACTTCCAACCAAACCTTTATGAGCCCATGAGTACATTGAACGTAAAAATGCTACTGAACAGCTAATAGAAGTCATCTTTAAGGCGTATTCTATTGGGAAAGAATTATAGATTTCGGGTTCTGGGGGCTTTGACGACATTGTGCTGCTTGTCAAATTTGCGATTTTGTTTACATCATAAACAGATATTCCCTTGCGTCTGTTCTCTATAAAGGCATTTTTCTGCTGTGACGTGACCTCAACTCGCTGCAAGGAAAGCTTTGTTAAGTAATCTATAATCTTTTCACACACGTTTGGCATACTGCTGTCGCAATCATAGTTTAAATAAAATTCAATGATGCATCTTGAATCATTGCAAATCCTTTCAATGATGGATAATAAATACCTCTTTTGGTGTGTACTGGATGATTTCATTTCCGCAACCGGAAAGTAAATCTCATCCCAGAAAACTGGAATTTCCCTTTTAAACTCAGACCTCAAATTAGAAATGATAATCCAAAAAATCTCAAGTGAAAGCTCAAACACTGGAGCCAATGCCGATGCTGCATTTTTTGATAACGCCAAGTTTATATATTGCCTGACCGAATTGATCAATCTTACTTTCCCACTTGAATTAGTTGATTTGATCACAACATCGTGGCTCAAAAATATGTCAATATGCTCTTTCAAGATTGTATGTATTATGTGCAAAGATAACAACTTTGACCTCACTGAATGAGATTTCATGTCAATTGTGGCGGAGTCTAGTGATTTAACGGAGAGCTTGCACATTGCCCTGAAAACCAAAAACGCATCCTTGGTTGCAGTTTCTTCTTCGCTATCCCCTTCGTTAATCCGCTCATTATCGTAATCAAGCTCAGAGTTGTTCATCTTCTCTAATGTCGTTAAAGTCAATTTTTCTTCTTCAGTGTTCTCGGAAAGGCAGACCTGCTCTTGAGACACCAGGTGTATGGAACTGTTATTATTAGATGATGACATTGACTCTTGCACTCTAGTAAAAATCGTGCCAATCACTTGAGTAAGAATACCTTGTGCAATTGCCTGGTTTCTGGAAGTGAGGGAGAAAATGAAAACATTGTAAATTTGCCTTACTGCTTGCAATAGCGAGGCTCCATGGCAAGGCATTAATAGTATTGAGTGCATTAATGCCCTAACCACTTGGAGTTCCAATTCTGGGTCTGTTCCTTCACCTTCGAAACAAGCAGATATAACATTCACCGAAGCATTTGTTAGTTTGATTTTTTCCTGTTCATCAGTGAATTGGGCATAGTCAAAAAGTTTAGCAAAGAGGTCAACGGCTTTAGATTTGATTTCTATCGACGAGGTTTCACAGCATGCTTTCAATGCGTCAAACAAAACCTGCGAGTTTTTTTCTTCTGGATTATTTAGTGAATCGAGTGCTTTCTGAGTCAAATTTCGGAAATGTTCGTTTTTTTTAGCTTCTTTACTGGTCAAGATCAGTTCAAACGATTTTTTGAATATCCGGGAGTTTTCAACTGTTGCATTGACATTTGCTGCACTGGTATTGGTATTGGCATTGGTATTGGTGCTTGTAGTGGGAGCACTCTGAGAAACGACAACAGGGATGGGACTTGAAGAAACAACGGATTCTTCAACAGAATCGGTTGGAATCGTTTCGCCGCCAGTGGATCCTTCAGCAGAATCGGTTGGGATTGCTTCTCGGCCGGTGGATTCTTCAACAGAATCGGTTGGGATTGCTTCTCGGCCGGTGGATTCTTCAACAGGATCGGTTGGAATTGTGTCCCTGCCGGTGGATCCTTCACCGGAATCGGTTGGAATTGTGTCCCGACCGGAGGATTCAAGGTTCTTCTTTTCATCACTTACATCTTCTTCCTTGGCAAAGCCATTGATTCTCTTATCCGAGTCTTGCTCACTCGATTGGTTTTTTATTTCGTGCTTCAAATTATCTTCTAAATTACCACCATCATTCTCGTCTTGAGACTTGTTTCTTTCCCCTCCATTCGATGCACCACTCAGCAAAACACTTTCCAGCTCATTCCTAATACCATGTACTTCCTCCAGCATACGGCCCAACTTACTAACTTCAACTGAGACTCAACTAATCCTTTAGAAATCTCAATGGTTATCTTAAATACTTGTCTATTTTTTTTATCATATTTTTTCGTTGACGTTTTTATTGTTGAATTGAAAAAGAAAGAAAAAAGATTCGCACTCGGAAATACAACAAAATCTATTCTCTATATAAATACTAATTTCTTTAGGACAAACCAAACACACGGGATTTGATTACGATTTTTCTAGAATAGCCCACNGGGGGGGGGGGGGGGGGGGGGGGACAGAGAAAGGAGCAAGGAAATTTATCAATTGTCTTTTTGTAATTAAGTTTAAAACTCACTTAAAGCAACGGCAGTAGCTTGAAAGTCGTCATGAGATATTGAGACGTTAACTTGCTTTACACCTGCTCTTTGAGCCGCCGTTTTGGCCAATCCTTGTAAGAAAACTTTAGGAGCTCCTTTAGTGTCTCTAATGATTTGAATATCTATTAAACTTGCACCACCGCCTTGTGATTTGACTCCCAAAGCCTTGAATGTAGCTTCCTTAGCAGACCAGGTACCAGTAAACGAAGCTTGAGGATTAGGTGAATTTCTGCAGTATGCAATTTCCTCACGAACAAAATTTCTCTCAATAAAAGTTTCATCTTCAATGTTGATGGAAGATAACAATTCGACATCAACACCAACACCTTTAGAGGACTTGTTCAATACAGATAAGGCTTTTGCCGTGTTTTCCGAAAGGTCGCTGATGTATGAGCCTTGTGACTGAATATTCTTCTGGGAAAACACCAACTTGTTATTGCTCTTTTGATTCTCAACTCTGGCTAATGGATCCAAGTAAACAGGTTGCTCCAACTCGTCAGAGTATGGCGCTTTATCCTTGGCAACAAACATGGTGTTTCTGGTGATAGCATTGTGCATGTAACGGTACCTTCTCTTGTTTCTAGCAGTAACCCGGGAAGCATAATCTTCAAAAGTCTGTCTGTCCAACACTGCATACAAGTAATCGGGATGAACAACAACAGCTTGTGCACCCTTTTGACCAAATCCAAAAGATGTAACAGAAACAGCTTTAATACCATCGGTCTGGATAGATCTGGAAGGATACAACACATACTCATACTGCTCCAACAACTTATCAACATTGTCTGCATTCCTGTTACCTGGAACAATACCAGTCTCCATAATCTGAATAGCTCCATTCAACATCCAAGCACCTGCAGCACCTTTTGGATGTCCCGTCAAGTATTTCTGGAAAACACCAAATACTGGGTTACCTTCTGATCTACCCAAATGCTTCATCATGCTGTTGATAGTAGCAGACTCGTTCTTGTCGTTGGCAACTGTTGATGTACCATGGAAGGAAGCAACACCAATATCATCAATTGTTAATCCATACACAGCTAAAGAACCTCTCAAAGGAGCAATACGAGGATCTGACTTAAAGAACGAGTTACCCCATTGTTTCTTAGCATCAGAAACTTGTCTTCTTGATTCCCTATAAATCTCCTCCGTCCTCTCTTTTAAGAAATCGGATTCAGAAAATTCATCGCCGTATTGTTGTTTGGCTATGCTTGTCTCTTCGTGCAAGTAATTCAACTCCGATTCCTCCCAAGCTTTAATCTGTTCCAATCTCTTGTTCAATTGTCTTCTTCTATACTTGATGTCCAAGCTTGGTGTTGGGTATTTCAAACCTCCATGATGTTCCCTAGCAGTGGTCAAAATACCCTTACCTGGTGCTGGTACTGATCTACCAATCTTGTCGGTGGCAGTAGCAGTCATAGCCAATACTGCATGAATTGGAACACCCATTTTGATAGCTAAATCAGCAGTCATAATAACCTGAATACCGGAACCTTGAGCTTCCATAAATCCATTTCTCGTAGTGGTAGTTGGCCTTGACATCTCCTTTGGCGTTCTTCCGTGTTTGAATTCTTCAACAGCATTAGAAGTAGCATTCATATTGGCAAACTCATAGGAGCCTTCTTCTTGGAAGTCATCATAACCACCAACTATAACAACTTTAGCCTTTCCTGACAAGATTGTTTCAATACCAATATCAACAGATTCAACAGCAGTGGCACAAGCACCAACTGGTGTCTTTATTGGTCCAGATGAAGATAACAATAACATATTCACCCAAGCAGCCATGGTGTTTATGAAGGACTCTTGCAAAATATCATTTTGTACTGGTCTATCGGCGTATCTGTCTTTGAACATTCCTCTCAAAGCACTTACACCACCCATACCAGAACCAGAACAATTACCAACTTCGGAAACATGAACATATTTATAAAATTCATAAGGATCAGTAATACCAGCTGATAATAAGGCTTCAACAGTTGCAACCAAGACATACAATGTGATTGGATCAACTTGGCTGATTGTATCTTCTGGAATACCATAGGTCCTTCCATCCCAACCAGTTGGTATTTGACCAGCAACTAATCGATCAAATCTCAATGCCTTAGGTATAAATAATGTGGCGCCCTTCAATATGCGAACAGTGTATTCACCACTTTCTTCAATTTCAAAAATTTCACACTTGTCACCATGCTCGCGTTTGTACTGCTCGGCTGTTTCCTTTGAACATTCAAAAGGCTCCAAATCATGTTGAATAACAACCTCTTGAATCATTTGCTTCCTTTTAGGGTCATAACCATGGAATAACTCTGGCTCAATCAATCTAATACCGGAATGTTCCAAAATTTGCTCTTCATATTTAGCTTTAATGTCCTTATCGTCGACTGGGGTTTGGGTTTTAGCATCAATCCATCCGGAATATGGTTTTCCTTTTAATGTACCATTATGATACTTGATCATACCCATAATCCATGCCATTTCAATAGCACCTTCAAGCGAAAATTCTCCTTTTGCTTCCATTTCCCATCTGGTTCTTGCATTACCCCATGGTCCCACTTCAGCAAATCCGGCAACAACAACAACATTTTCTAAATCCAACATACCTTCCAAATCTGGTGAAATTTGTTTGATCTCATCATAAGATTTTAATTTTGGAAAGTCAAATTTCATATTGGCTCTAGGCTGAACAGTCACTTTGCTGTAGTTGGCATCGACATTGTCACCATTAATGACCTTTTGTTCAATAGCTGTTTCTATAGATACTGCTCTTCTAATCTCAGCAGTTTCAGTTAAATCTTTTCTTAATTTAGAGGTGAACTCTTTAAGATTGTCAATGAATTGTAAGCCACCATTCAAATCAGCCATGATGGGCTCCTCTTGACACAATTTAACAATTTCCGGAGTCAACAAACCTAAAATGTTGAAAGCCATTTCCTTTTGGGAAAAGGTTCTAACACCCAATTTTTCAATACCTTCAGCAATGATGTTGTTGGCGCTCATCAAACCAGTACCCCTAGTCCATCCAATAACAGCACCACAGATGGTTAATTTGGTTCCCCAGTCCTCTGAGTACCATCTGTTAAACAATGTCTCCAAGGAAATTTTTGATTCAGAGTACAAACCGTCAAATCCAAAAGTACCATGGTTTGGTGATAATGGCAAGATACATTGAGCTGGTCTAGTATCAGTAGTCTTTTTAGCTTTAACGGCACCCAACAATCTCAAAAGATTGGTCAACATGATCCTGTGGGCAAATTCGGATCTAGAATCAATATTATCAATACCATTTCCGTTTTCTGGGATAGCAGCAAATGGAATGATAACATCCAAATCCCATCCTAAACCATTCTTTTTGGGATCGTTGTAGATGTAGTCGACCAAAGAGTCAACGTCTTGTTTGGAACCTTGGTTGAATGGAACAACTATTAAAGTGGACCCCGCTGCACCATATCTAGCATACATGTTTTGATAGTATTCGGTCACTTTCTTGGAGTATCTGGAGGTGGTAACAATAACTTTGGCACCACCACTAATTAAACCTTGCAAGATTTCTGCACCAATTGAACCTGCACCAGCACCTGTTACTAAAACTTGCTTGTTTTTAAAAGTCAATCCATTGATAGCAGCCGACTCTAAACCATCCAAATAAACCGACGATAACTTACGGTCATATTCCCAATCGCCAGACTCTCTCTTACTTTGAATGTGCAAGAAGGGAATGGTTTGTGATGGCACAGTTGCTGAAACTGGTTGAATGATGGATGTTCTATCCGGCAATGAAGCGATTTCATCATCATCTGAGGCAGTGGACAATTCATCTTCATCCGGGGTATTTGTACCTGTTGGAATAGCAAGTGCATCCTTTGTTGTTTGTGCTGTTTCAATTTCACTTGAAGCTGCAACAACTTTCAACAATTGGTCATAAACTTTTTGTATCTCCAATTTGGTCTCTCTTGAAGCTTGTTTAGAAATTGCTTTGTATACTCTTGCCAAGTCTTCTTGAATAGTTGCTTGTTTAACTTGGGTCATTGGACCTCCTTGAGCCATTTCAAACACATATTGCTCAAATTTACGAACAGACTCCTTATTTGCTTCTTCGTACACAATGTCACCTTTTGGTCCAACAGTGGTTTTTGGGCCTGTGATTCTAGTAACATCTTTATAAACCGGGTCTTCCCCAAGCACCTGTTTACAATTGTCCATCAACTGTTCACCTAATTTCTTAGCCAAACGGTAAGTTTCTCCTCTGTACTCTGGGCAAAGTTCGATATGATATTGCATAAATTTGATCAAAGTTGGATTAGCTCTGTTCATAATCTGGATACATTGATTGATTGTTTCTCTATCAACTGATGTTAATTTTCCAAAGATGATATCGTACCACATGGACAAAACATCCTGTCTGGCCCAATTCCAATACGAATCGTAGGTTCTCGATTTCAAGTGAGAGAATGTTGGTTTTATGCCCTTGGCATAAAATTCACCGTGTTCAGCTTCCCACAAGTCTAGCTCTTGCTGTAATACAGCAGTGGCCTCCTTTTCCTTGATAAAAGATTTTGCTCCTTTGTTCAAATCCACTTGAAGATATCTCGCTAAAACTTCCAATTGTTGTCTTGCCAAGTTTTTATTCTCTGCGGTTAACGCATCCAATGCAGCGCTATCAACAACAGCGCCATTTCCTCCGTTACCGCCCGCTGCTCCAGCTGATGCTGATGATAAGGAGATACCGGCTTGAGAAGCGTATTTCTGAGCAACAGTGTCGAAAAATGCTTTAGCTTCTGCTTCGGAGCCCAATCTGTTAGCAGGCTCATTACACAAGGCAGTCAATAACACAGAATCTTGTCTACCAGGACCTAAACCGAACCTTGATTCCAAGTACTTTCTAGCTGAAGTCATTGAGAAACCTCCGGGCATTTTGGAGGACATTAATCTACCAATTAATGAAGTAGAAGTTTTACCCAATTGACCTGAAAATGTGTCTTGAAATTGTTCAGCCAATTCTTCCAATGGAGTATCCTCTGGTTTTTCTGGTGTTGAACCAAACTCCTTACCTAAATCACCCAAGATTTCATTTTGCACAGTTGATTTCCCATTGACTAAATCTTTGATAGCCTTGGTCATAGGAACAGCATCTAGTGGTTTTTTCAATTTTTGTGCAACTAACACGTGTAATAAGAGGGATGCCTTGACTGGTTCATCTGGAATTGACTCGACTGGGCCAGAAGGAGCAGGTGCTACTGCTGCTGCTGCTGCTGCTGCTGCTACTGCTACTGTGGGTGCTGCTGCTGCTACAGGAGTTTCAGTTTCAGTTTCCTGACTCTTTTTCTTCTTTTTTTCCTCAATTTCAACTGGATCTGGTTTGTAGTAGATCTCCTTTGCATCTTTTGAATAGCACAAGACCTGACGTTGTAAAGACAATGCAGCATCGTACGATTGATATTTTGCCTTAATAGTCCTTGAAGCCATACCAGCCAAAGTGGGGGACGGTCCAATTTCAACAACACGTTCAGTATTATGCTTTAAAAAGACATCCTGAGTTTCAATCCATCTAACTGGTGAAGCAAATTGATAGGCCAATAACTCTGTTAAAAGAGTATGCGACAACTCCTGTTCAATCTCGGGTCTCATAACTAGTAAAAGAAATCGATAAACAACCTGTAACTAGTAAAGAACCTGTAATTGGTAAAGAAATTGAAGATAATGATATCTTTATCTTTTTTTTATAGTCTATTTTATATTACCCAAAATTTTCATTATAGAAATTTTACACAACAAATAGAGCGATAAAAATTATGTATGGTGAAAAAAAAAAGAAAGAAAAAAAAAAACTTGTTTTGTTTCTATAGAGATGGAAAAACTCCGAGAGCTGGGTATAGAAGTAATGATGGACTGCGGTCCTTAAAGAAGAAGGGAAAAAGATATATTGGAGTTTGTTGAGGGAAAAAAGATATATTGAAAAAAAGGGTCCGGTGTGTAGTTAGTAAAGCACATGGTTGGGTATACTTGATGGACCTGTGTAAATTTTTGTCTCATCTCATATATACGGTTTATTTTGATTATAGTGAGTGTAAAATCTGTCCCAACAATTTTGCAGCCATTTTTTGGCTAATACAACAAAAAAAATAGATGTTGCTAATATACTCATAGATGCGAATATTTACCTTATAGCTGCGAATATTTATGCATTTTATGTTGAATTTTAATGTCGTGTATTTTGTACATTGATTTTCTACAGCCACCAAAAAAAATCAATTACAGCCATTATAAAGAAAATTAATCAACAGTTTCCATAAAAGAATTAATTTTCATAAGCTACCATAATAAAATTGACTTAATAGCTACCATAATAAAATTGACTCAACAGCTACCATAATAAAATTGTTTCGTCAGCTACTATAAAATTGTTTTGTCAGCTAATATAAAATTGTTTTGTCAACTTATAGTTGTTTGGTTAGAAAAAAATTTTCACTAGTTTTGGCAACAGTTTTTTTACTGACTTTGATTCTATCTTTATATAGAAAGCAAATCAAGCATTTTTTCCTCTCTCTTTTGCTTCTTCTTCTTCTTCTTTTTTCTCTCATTAACCCAAAGCTTAATGCCTTCTCCTTTACCCTGATTATATTCGTTTATTTTCAGTTTAAAATGGTTCAAGAGAATACTTTTGCAAATATTTTGGGAAATCAATAACTAAATGATCATCTCCACCCTGAAACTTATCATCTTGAAAAGATGGCCAATCAGTATAATTTCAGGACTATTACAAATGATCAACAAATGTAATTAAACTATACAATGTAGATAAACTGTAATTGAACTCTACAATGTAGATAAACTGTAATTGAACTATACAATGTAGATAAACTGTAATTGAACTCTACAATGTAGATAAACTGTAATTGAACTCTACAATGTAGATAAACTGTAAAAACTCTACAATGTAGATAAACTGTAAAAACTCTACAATGTAGATATTCTCTTCTTTTTCTTTTTCTTCTTCTTTTTTCCTTATACAAGGGTATTTACAAGTTTTTCAAAATAGGATTCAAACCCATCTCTATATATCACAGGGCTAACATCATTACATTCAAAGACATAATGTTTACCGTTTCCATTAAACATTATCCAGTTGAGCATATTGATCTTTCTATGATACTCCAAAACAAAATCTTGATACTTTAGTCTGTTTTGGTCTGTTGTGCATTGCCAATACTCCTCGGCTAGTAAGCAATTGTTTCTCTCTGTTGTTTCAAGTACATTTAGCGATATGAACTTGACTTGCAATGGGATATGTGGTAGTAGTTCGAAAATATCCTTCTCCAAAATCGAGAGGTTTAGATACTTTAAGTTGGAAAATTTAACCAAGGGCTTTAAATAAGCAATGTTGATCTTACTCAACAGCAAGGAAGTAACATCATGGTTCGAAGCTAAGATCTTGTTTATATTTGTACGCGTCTTGACCGTTAAAGTCTTGAGTTTTAGTGTTGAGACCAAGTCGATCAATTTTGGATCATCAGCCACATCAATTGCAAAATGTTCGATATTTTTCAAATCTTGCTTTAACAAGTAATCTCGTTTATAACAACAATTTTCAATTGTCAAATCTCTAATCTTTCCAAAATCAAAGTTGAAAGTATTCAAATCGAAATTCCTCAAGGTTAATTTGGTCAAATCTTTTGGAGGTGATGCAACAGCGCGTGTTAAAACCATTTCCTTCAAATTTGAAAAAGATTCGTTTTCATTCATATCACTTTTAATAAACCCTCCAATCCGATAAAGCCTTGAGTTGTTTTTTAACAAACTCAATGGTACGTCAATGTCATGCCACCATTCAAATACTTGAAGTCGGCTCATCAACGGTAAACTTTTTTGCAAATAGTATAACATTTCCAAATCTGGTACATCAGGCAACTTATTCATCATAAGCATATTTACATATTGAGCATTTTCGTTTTCAACGCTTTTGAAAAATGCCTTGAGCAGGTATATTGAAGTTATCTTTACTGCTTGGATAAACTCTCCGTTTAATTTGTACATGTTGCAATAGTGACTGAACTCTTTCAAGGACTGGGAGTCATTGTGAAATAATTCTGGTGTTGCATCAATACAAATGACAGAGTAGAGACGTGGTTGGAACAAATTGTAAAACCTTGAGCATGTAAGCATAAGTGAAACCACGTCATCTTGAAATAATAAACATCCAACCTTTTTGAGAATCTCTTCTGGTAATTGATGTAGCATGATTGTGGATTGAAGGTATTAGAAACTTCTCGTGACTGGGAAGGACGTTATCTCCTTTTTAAAGGAAGAAAACAAATTAAAAAAAATATGAGACAAAGAAATAAATTAAAGGCAACCTTGCCTTGGATAAATTTCCCACAATCCGTCTCGGATTTGATATTTTTCAAAAGAAACGTTACACAAATATCAAAAAAAAAAAGTTATCTGATCGGATCTACTAACAAAAAAAAAAAATTTGAAAATGAAAATGAAAGTGAAAGTGAAATCGAAAAAGAAAATAACTTCCAAAATCATTCAAGTATGTGTCATCTTTCATAAACTGTTTGATATTATTCAATTATTCAATTATTCATTCAAATTGTGTATCCTGAATACTTATTTACCTCGAAACAAGTAACACTTTAATGCCCAATTCGAGAACCATAAAATAAGTCAGTTTGTAAGTGGAACCCTATCTATATTAATGTCCTATTCACATTAAATCTGTTCAAATTACTTTGTCATTAGAAAGAGTCTTTTGTTGATTTTTTTTTTATTTCTAAATTAAGAATATTATTAAAGGTGAGTCAAATAACTAACTTTTGGTTCACTTTTATGCAAACACTCTATTACTTAATAGCACATTGATACAAAATTTTGAACCAAGAAAAAAAATTGCATATGGAAACAATCTTATAACAATTAAGAGAATATTTTATGTGTATCTGCACCCTTTTGCTTCCAAAGAGGGTCCCCTTCATCAAAGTCAGGAACTTTGAAAGTAAGACTGAAACCAACCAAAAAAAAAAAAAAAAAAAGGAATCAAAAGTTTCCAAAAAAACAATTTAAGCCCAATGCGGGGGTCGAACCCGCGACCTTTAGATGACACTTTTTTTGCTTCAAGTTTTGAAGTCAAGTAAGAGTCTAACGCTCTACCGACTAAGCTAATCAGGCTTTTGTTGAATAGTGAGTAGTAGATTAATGTATAAGTGCCAACTACAAAAAGGAGGTAGGTAAGTAATAACCTGAATAGTTACAGAAAAGAAGGTTTTAGTTTTGCCCAATAAAGTATTTGCAATAGTGAACTATTATCTGATTTCTACTCACGAGTCAATATCTCTCAGAGTTCGAAGGATATTGGCTACATTGAATGACTCGTGGTAAAAGGTATTGCAATCTCAATCCTGCGAAGAATATAAACCATTTTATTAACACAAGACTGAGCTCCGTAACTTGAGATTTTAATATTGCTAACAAAATGTTAAACAACAAGATTATAGGATCAAGAGGAAAGCTCATATGCAATCAAACCCGTGTGGGTTTGATTGATCTATCTATATTCATCTTTAAGATAGTCCAACTTAAAATAATAACATCTCGTCGTGTGGACTTCGGTGATCAGAGTAGCACTAGCTTAAACCCCGAGTTTATTGTACCGCCATCTTCCTTCTTGTGGCATACAAAGATTAAAACCCTCGTAGACAAGGACTTTGTACTGCCAACAAAACAATCTTTTGTTTTTGCAAATATTCCGTTTGATTACCAAAGAGGAGAGGGAGAAAGACTTTACCACTCTGAGGGGGGTGCAGTTTTATTTCAGGAAACGGGTTTAAAGCATTACATGGTATATATTCGCATCAGAATCCTTTTTGAAACTGTTTTCCGCAAATCTAGTCGTTTCACCTTCATCCTTCCACTCATACACCGGCTCTCAGATGCATACAAACTCACAAGTATCAGCGTTTACCTGGTAAACTTTGCATTAAACTGGGTGTAAGCTGTGTAATTTTGATTCTCTGACATCATTATTGTTTGTAATCTCTTACAAAATATATATATATATAGACTTTTGTTTTTATGCAGGCTCTGAAAACCGGTAAAAAAAAAAAACCGTTGAGAGTTTTTCATATCATAAACTGTGCACTGCACAGAGTAAATTTAAATTACCTAAAACTCATGAGTAGTCCCGGAAAAGAACAGTTGAGTTGGTTCAACAACTATTCTGTTATTTGAATTTTGATACATTACTGTAAATGGGGAACGGAAAGGGGAGAAACAGGGGAGAAGAAGCAACTTATAGATCTATAGATTGGCAATGACATAAGTGACAAAAGGAAAGATAGATTGATATATTCCATTTACTTTCATTTTGCCCACAAAAAGTTTGCTGCTGTGAGAAAATTTTCTTTCTTTTTTTTTCTTCTTTTGGGTCTCTTTTTTTGCGTTGTTTTAAGATGAAAATGTTTGGTCTATGAAATCAGACCTACATGATTGTTGTTTAACTGTAGCTTTTCCTAATGCCAATACATTAATTGATGGGAGATGTGTTTCTTTTTATTTACACTACTTTAAAGCTCATCAATACATTTTAATCCTTTTTACCAGGATCAAGACTAAAACGATTCTCAAATGATGTCTATCAAAAAAAAAAAAAAAAAAACTATTACAAAAATTCATAAACGGTGGCAGGGCGCTACCTCAAACATGCTGGTCAGTTTTAGTTGACCAAAAGGCAACTGTTTCCTCTGTATTTGTTATGTATTGTACACCATGTACACCCATAAATTAACTAGCCCAAACTCAAAAGAACAAAACAAACCATGTAGAGTTTTTTTTTTAGTGATGTTTGACTGCAAGAAGGTAAAAGGTTCCAATATAAAAACCCCTTGCTCACTTTGTCCTATTGTTTCGGTTAAATGTCGTCTCTTTTCCGTTCATTCTTGCGTAATCCTTGAGATTACTTTAGTTCGCTTGTGAGGGCAGCGAGTTGCATATAAGACATAAGAATATGTGTACTTACCAAAACTTATACATTAAAAAACAAACAAACAAACAGATATCTCTTCAAAGCCATACTACAATTTATATAGAGAAAGTCTTATCGATTTGAAAGGCAAAGAGGAATTTATTCACAATAGACGTATAATCTAGCTCTTTCTTAACTTATTATCAGTTATCCTTTTTTTTTTGGTTTCTTCAAAACAAGTTGAATTTCACCTTTTATTATCTTGCAACTTTGGAAAATGCAAAAGACCGTATTTTCTTTCTTTTCTTTTTTTTTCTCAAGTAAGTTAGCCGCTATGGTTGTGAGTTCTTGAAATTAATTCATAATTGTATATCACAATTGGCAGAAGAAGCTGCTGCTTAGATTTATTCTTTGTCGTTTATGTGGAATACAAAGAAGAGGATACACAAAAAGATTAATTGTTTCTTTACTATATAATTTTAGCTTGGTATAACAAAGAATCGTTTGAAAAGATATTCTGCCATTTAGAAAGGTGCTGGAATTTTTTTCCTGAAAAATGTGAAAAATGTGAAAAATGTGAGAAATGTGAAAAATGTGAAATATTTTAGAAATCAAAATAAAAAAAAAAAAAACGGGGAATAGTTTAGCACACAAGGTACTATTTTACAAGGTAAAGTATCCTTGAGTTTTATAAAGTACAGAATAGATTAGCTCTAGCAACGTAGATCAAGAAAGGTTATTTTACATTACAGGTTGGAGACCCGAATTTGGTAGCATTATTAAGTATAAGGTTGTATACTCTGAGGATGAGGTTGCAGAAATGTTTGATACTTTATAAAAGCTAACTATATAACAATTTACACATTTTTTCTCAAAAACAATATTGGCCTGTGGGGCTAAACGTACCAGAACGCAACCACATAGGATATGGGTTCTGTTTTATTTCTTGGAATACTATTTTTAAGGGCTCGTTAACAAAAAAGCCCTTCCCCTTGCCTTGTAAGCTTGCAAGATTTATAAAAGTAACTTAAAAGGATCTTCTTCAAAATGAAAAATGGTACATAACTGAATTATCCATCCTGCGAATGGCTCTCTCTACACAAATAGGCAAAAAGGCAAAAAAAAAAAAATCACAAAAATTCCAGATTACACGACAAAACGACATTTTCACCTCCTTTATTTGTAAACTGTAAAAACTGCAAAACTGCAAAACTGCAAAACTGCAAAACTGCAATGCTATACAGCATTGTACAGTATCGTGCATTTTATTTCTAATCCTTTGTAAGAAACAAGAAATGTGTATGTATGAGATAATAGTGTGTAAAAGAAATGTATAGTCAAAGTACACGCCCGTATCTTAGAAGCTACCAATCGCCGCCATCGATTAGGTGGACAAAATCTATGAAGCTTAACTCTAAAAACATTACACCCTCCTTGTCACACAACTCTAAAAGAAAGTTACCGAAATTATTAACTTTCTATCAAAAACAAAAAGGAGAGAGTAAGCTATTTGTTGCTGCTGTTGTAGTGTACTGTTAAAATTTTTTGTCAATTAATTTCAAAGTGATTGGAATTAACCCCTTGCTCTTCTTCCCCCCCTCCTCCCCTTGCTCTTCCCTCCCCCTCTTCCCCGGTCTCCCCCCTGACATATAGAAAAAGTTAATCTTTTGTATCTCAAGGGAAACTACAAATCTATATGGTAACTACAAATCTATGTGGGTAACTCGCACTATTTTTTTTTTTTTCCCTCCTTCTCTTTCTTCTTACTAGTGATAGCAATACGACTTTTAACAGCGACATTTTAACAGCGACATTTAACAGCGACACAGGACACACACCCAGAAAAAAAAAAATTAAAGACTAAAGTTTAGTCTTAGTCTTTATATTATTTATTACTAAACAGGAGGAATTAGTAGCTTATGTCGCTCTCTCCCTGTATTATATTATAAACGAGGTACTAAGTATTACTACCAAGTAACTAACACGACCCACCCAGTTGCTGGCACACACTACTCACAGCTGCTAAGTCGACAAGAAAGCTGGTTAATTTACTATTGGGAGCTATTAAGGAACATCGAGGTTTGGTAGTAGGCTAAGTCGAGAGATACAATGTTCAACACTCAGATATTTGACACTAGCAATAATTCAGCGTCAACCGCCATCAATATGTCCTTCCAGCCGACAACAGAACAATTGTCGTCGTCGTCGTTATCTTCAAGTACCAACACAAATAATCACACCCAGATCAATTGCAACCAGCCCCAGTTGTCTCAACAGAGCATTCAACTGTTTGACTCAGAGCCTCAGCCTATAGATATCACTTTTAACCATCGACCTTCAATCTTCAACAACTCAAGATTCAGAAGAGAGTCTGTGGCTCATTCACAAGGTATGGGTGGTATATCATGGGGTTCGGTTACTATAGGTTCGTGGTTGAAAGATGAAGTAATGTCTGCTAACGTTGGAAACGGAAATGGAAATGGAAATGGAAACGGGAACGGGAACGGGAACGCAGGTGCAAGCGGAGGTCCTTTTGCTGGAAACGTATTCAGTGCAAACTTTCTCAGTCCACACATCAATCAATCACAGCCATCACAGCCACAGCAACAGCAGCAACAGCAACAGCAACAACAGCAACAGCAGCAACACCAACAACAACAACAACAACAACAACAACAACAACAGCAACAACAGCAACAACAAAACAATCAGCTGCTGCAACAACAACAACACCAGCAGCTACATTCCTCTTATCATCATCAAAACTTGATTAACCCCAGAAGAGGCTCGTTTCGTACAACTATCCATCCTAGTATGTCTCCACAGCAGCAAACTTCATACTTGCCTGAACTAGAAGCAGATTATTGTAAAGATTACAATTGCTGTGGGGAATTACTACCCACTCTACACGATTTATTAAGACATTACGAGGAAGCTCATATACTGGCATCACCTCCACTCGATTCTCAGCAACACCTACTCAACAATAACCGAAATCGCAATAACTACAGCAATATACATAATGTAATGGAAACAGTATCTACAACTGATGTTTTCTTGAATAATAGCAATACAGATAGAAAAAATTTCGATAGTAGTTATCAATTCAGCAATCAAAGCCAAAACTCACATCAACAGCAGCAGAGTCAACAACAACAGCAGCAGCAGCAGCAGCAGCAGCAACAGCAGCAACAGCAGCAACAGCAGCAACAACAGCAACGTACCCTGCAGGAGCAGTCACAACACTCGCAGCAATTCAATAGCCAATTCTCTTCTCATCAATCTCCACTAACACCACCACAAGACACACCAATGCAAGTAGATGAAGACGACATATATATAGACGATCCAGCACGTCATTTATACGTTATGGAAAACGAAGAAAACAAGCCATTCAAATGTCCAGTTATAGGATGCGACAAGACTTATAAGAATCAAAACGGATTAAAATATCATAGATCGCATGGCCATCAAGGTCAAAGTTTACGGGAAAACCCCGATGGTACAATTTCTATAATAGATCCGGATTCAAATTCTCCATACTTGGATAATTCTGCATTAGAAAAAGACAAACCTTATAGATGCGAAGTATGTGGAAAGAGATATAAAAATTTAAATGGGTTGAAGTATCATCGTGGACACACTACTCATTGATAGAGCGAAGGAGGGTTTTTTTTTTTATTGGAAGAAGCCGGAAGGTCTTTTTGGAGAGAGGTATGTTATTGTTGCATTATTATCATTTACCATATCGTTCATTCTCTTTTGTTGTATTTATTTTACTATTATTTAATCCACATATATATATGTTTGTATATACATATATATATATCTTGTTCTTACAATAAATACCTCTCACTTTGCAAAGTATTGATGAACACAAAAAGCAGCTGTGGGTAATACATTTGAGGTCAGGGGAAGGGGGGGGGGGGTGGAGCTGAGAGGGTGACCCCAGTTTTGCGCCTACTACTCCCTCGGCTCCCCGTCCCTCTAACCAAAGGACAGAAGGTTTATCACGAGCGCGTTACTTATCAACAGATCAACAACTTAACTACGAAAAAATAAAACAAACTGAAAAATTAAGATATTTTAGACTATGAATATTTATAATTTCACTTTATATTGATCTCTCTTAACAAACTATTGGACATTTCAGTCCTCGTTACCACCACCACTTTTTCCGGCATTTTTTATCTGATTTTGTTTTACTTTACCGCCGCCATTGCCCTCCATTCTTACAGACTCCTGTTGTATCATAAATAAGGAATATGGCGAATTATTTACGAATATTTGGTCTAATAGTTCCTCTAGCAATTACACGAACATGGCTCTACTTCACAACAACGTTGACATCTTCCATATTCATACTTCTCCCCCTATCGATCATCACATACTATAAATATTATACCACGCTAGTCCCATTGGCCAACTCTCCTGTAATACCATTGACTTTTACTTCACCTATACCCGCCACAGCATTCCCATCTATACTTCCTCCTCCTCCTTATAACAGCTCATCCGTTTCTTCTTCCACTAAGGAGAATAACGAGATGCCGAAGATGATGATGTATCTGTCAGATACAGTTTCCCCTCATTTCACAAGTTATAAATTTGATCCATCATCACTCTATGTTTTGAAATTGAGAATCCTGATTCAGTGTCCTAATGTACCTTACGATGACCCTATGGACTATGGCGAGTATCAAACAATTACACCTACACCTTCTTTTTTATCGGCCAAATATTTAATAAACAAGGTCCAATACAGCTTGCTAAATAACAGAGGCGACTCGTTCTTGAGCCAAGGCACATTCATACTAAACTGTGATAGTCATATCCAGTACCAGTTGAGAAACTCGTTTGTTCCATACAATCTACGCCATTGGTTCCCGCCTAAACTTTCCGATTTATCACGCTTACAAACTTTTGAATTCGATCTATTTGATATATTGGGCTCAAAAATCGATCTGAAAACAAGCACAACGCCTAATAAAAGAAAAGGAAATGGAATCAATAATAATGACTCTGATTCCGATTCCGATTACTACTTTGATAATTTCGTTTTATTGTTATCTCAAGCGGATAAGTACCTTATTGAAGATATATATACTCAAGCATGGTTTGAAATAAAATGGACTGGTTTTAGATACTATTTGGTGAAATACTACTATACTTGTTATATTCTAGGCACAGCTGTTTTCTTTCTCGTATCGTTGACAATGTCAATATTAACTGGATACGGAATGTTGTGGTTCAACCATCAAAGAGGTAGAAGCAAAAATGGCAGAAACACTAGTAATATCAAGATTGAAAATCCAACAATAAAAGTGGAGAGAAAATAAACAAAAACCAAACCAATGAATAAGGTAACGTCCATCACCATCATCCCCCCCTTGACTCCCTTTCTTTTGGTAGCCTTTCTACCAATCAATATCAAATTACAGGTTTTTCATTACTCATTATTGCCAACTAACGGCGTTTGTTTGTTTTTCTATTCAATTCTATAACCATGCACTTTTTTAATAAATTAAATCATTTCCCATTTTCACCAATACCTCTATTTTCATTACCTTTTTTCCTATTTTTTTTTTTTTTTTTCAGTTAGCATTTAATAACTTCATTTCATTACTTGAATCAACACTTAAAAATGGTATAATCTTTTTAAAATAAATATATTCATTGATTTCCTTCAGTTGGCATAACGAGCTATCATTATTCATCGTTACCTCTCTTTGTTCAAAGCAGTCCATTTCTATCCTATTATTTAAAAACTTTCTAATCTCTTCAATCATAATATTCAAGTCATTTATCGATTTGCCTAAATTGATCATTTTGATAAGTGATTGTGGGTGGGAGAATAAACTACTAGTAGTGGTGGTTTGATCATTAGTAATCTCTGCATCACACTCTGTCTTCAAAGTAGATCTTGACTTTGATCTGGTAATTGAACTAGATGAAAAAGTAGAAGACATTGATTTATTTGAACTGAGCTCTTCTAAAAAAATCCCATCATCTTCTTCATTCATATAAAGTGGTTTGTTGTTGTACAGATCTGAATTCATAAATAAGGAGATATAGGGAAGCTGTGGATAATGTGGAAAATATAATGTTTGGGGCATCATCTTTGAATAAGCTTGCCGTTGCCGTTGTTGCTGTTGCTGTTGCTGTTGCTGTTGCTGTTGCTGTTGCTGTTGCTGTTGCTGTTGTTGTTGTTGTTGTTGCTGTTGCCTCTGCATCTGATAATACAATCTCTGATTCATAATATTATTTTTTCGATTTATCAAGTGAAGTTTTTCATTTATTGATTCATGACACACAACGACATCAAATTTGAATATAGGTCGAACAATTTCAGGCGGTAATCTAGCCAATTCAGGTGGTTGAATGTTATACTGACTCTTGTCACTCGATTGAATGATATCAAGAGAGTCTTTTTGCAACTTGATTGTGTCGATTGTGAGAATAGAGTCATCATCCGACTTTACCGATGAAGGTGCCGTGATCGAAGTTGGAATAGACTTGAATGACATTATACTGGGCGATGATGACCTAGATTTGAACGAGTTGGATGTGCTTAGTGAAGTAGACGAATGAGCATTCCTCTTTAAATAGAAAACGTCATCATCATATTCGTCGTCGTCGTCGTCATTGTCCTCATCAACTTCCTCCTCCAGCTGCTGCTGCTGCCGCTGTTGTTGTTGCAGCTCACCTCTGGCAGTAATAGTAGCAGCAGCAACAGCAGAAGCAGCCATAGAAGCAGCAACAGCAGAAATAGAAGAAGCAGCAGTAGCAGCAGCAGCAGTAGCAGCAGTAGCAGCAGCAGCAGCAGTAGTAGTATTAGATTTCTTTTGATTACTGTCCGAGATGATTCTAAATAATTTCCCAATTGAATTCACAAATAAATTGTTCTTGATGGGTGCACTTGCCGATGGCGGTGTCTCAATAAATCTTGCTTCATTTGACCTTCCAGAAGGTACAGTTGAACAAGTATAAATTGCTTCATCAAAAATCTCATACGGATGTGTTTTTCTCAATTCTGATCTTGTCTTTAATGCAGTAACAGGTGGTAAAAAAACCTCCGACAGGTCACTTTCAACACAAAAATCATCCTTATTTATTGCAAGAATTCCAAACTTTCTATTTACCATGGGACTATCAGGCTTAAAATTCAATTCAATTTTACCATTGTTGATCACTGTGAAATTCAGCAAGGCTTCATAAGATTGATGTAATTTCGTTTGAAGGTTTCTTGTAATTTGAATAGAGGTAGACGATTGGTAATTATTAATTCCAACAATTCTCCAAACAATCAATTTTATATAATAAGACCTCACCATTGGGTTCCAATGAGTGAAAAATGATTCAAAACTCTCATCACTAATCAAATAATTAACAAAATTTAGCTTAAAAGAGTCCTTTTGGTTGCTTATCCATTGCAAATGTGAGTTACTTTTAATAGTCTCGTCAGAATCTTCAATCTTGGCAAATGGACACAACTCGTCGGGAATCATATCCCAAACGTTGAAAAGAAATGCAAAATTCTTTAGTAAACATTGTACATGATCGGAGTATTTTATCATCATATAATTGCAACTGAGCCAAAACTCCCAATTAATCAAGTATTTGACCTCAGGTGACGAGTTATTCTCTACATGGTTTATGAGCTCATAAACAATCCCAAGGATTAATTCATTTTTGTTGAATTCAAATACCGGTGTCTCTTTTGCAATCGTGATGAAACATAAATCAATCATTTTGACAAGTTCTGCACTGATATCGTCAAGAGACTTGTTATTAGCAGTAGCACAAAACGTAATATCTCTAATGGTTTTAAATATTTTAATAATCGAATTATAATACATATCACTTTGTCTTATATTAATGTTGTATTGTGGCGGTGGAAGTGGTGGAATTATACTATCCTCTTGTCTTGGTAATGCAAAAGAATTGGAACCCAAAGAAGTTGAAGACAAAGAGGGTGAGCCAACGGAAACATTTCTTCCCGTGTTACTAATATTTGCAGTGATTCTACTAATAGCCACTTGAAAGATTTGAAACACATGACTGAAAATAATGTTAAACCCCGGACAGTCCAATAGAACCACCATCATATCACACGTATCTACAATACTGCTGCTCTCCTTTTGAACTATATCAATATAGTGACGAAAAAAGGAATTGAAAACACTTGAATCTAAACCACACCATCTTCGTACCCAATCCCCATTAGGATTTTGGATTCCAACAACTGGGTGTTTGGGAGGTGGCATACAATTCATGTACCGTTTTTGACCCATTGTTGTTAAATTCTGCAATCCCTTAAAGTTTACCAAATGGTGCAAATGAGCTGGGAAAATATCCTTCAACTTTTTTTCTTGTTTTTCATCTCTTGCAATCTGAGGGATGATTTTCAAGCAAGACTCCAAGGTTATTTGCTTTACATTTAATAAAAACAACAAAGCATTTGAGACATTTGGTATTTTGAAAAAACTGTATGCAAATACTTTACCAACAAATGCAGCCATTGATCCTGAAAGTGTTTTTAGAGTGGTTAGCCTTTCAATACAAAAGTCCAACGTTTTCACTAGTAAATCTTGATACTCTTTTGGTTCATCGTAATTTACCCAATCGCTTCTTGCCATTATTCGGGAAATGCATTCTAGATATGCATTCCTATCAGCGGTAGGAATCAAAGAATAATGAATTTGCTCGTGTGTGGTAATCGATTCCATTACGAACGAGCCACTCGAACTAGTAGATGCAGAAGCAGAAGCAGAAGCAGAAGCAGCAGCAGAAGCAGCAGCAGAAGCAGAAGCAGAAGCAGCAGCAGAAGCAGCAGAAGCCGCAGCAGATGCTAATGATGACGACGACGACGACGATGATGACGATGACGATGACGACGATGACGACGACGACGATGATAATGACGATCCATTAGTGGAATATTTCAAATTGTCGATAAGCGAGTTCCACCATTTAGCCAAGATTGCCAACAATACACACGTTAAGCTTTTATAAATTTTAGAATCCTTTGCAAAAAATTGTTCAATCTGGTTAGCGCTTCTCAAAAACGGAATCAAGGATGTTCGTAGTAAATTACCCTTGAGAACAGCACCGTTATTTGCATTACTATTGCCATTGCCGCAAATACCACTTCGTATTCTGTTATTGTGATTATATTTTCTCAGATTAAATTTATTCAAAGCAAGTTCCAACTTTTTAAATCGTTTTAATAGAGTCTTGATCAACTTGTCATTTGTGGCAGAGTGGGATGAAGATGAAGATGAAGATGAGGATTTAGATGCGGATGCATTTGAGTTTGTTGATAATGTGGTTTTCATTGAATAAAAAGGAGAAAAATGAAAGTGAACAAAATTGGATGTGGAAACACGAGGGGTCTCTCTAGTTAGCGAGGAGAAACAAAGACTATTGGGGTATCCAAAACGCTATCGAGCAGAGCGAGATAGTGGAGTGATAGCCAGGGCCAGTTATACACTATCGAGCAGAGCGAGATAGTGGAGTAACAAGCTAGTCAGGGGAGCAATAGCTAGGACCAGGGACAGGAACCAGTTATATGGAGCAATAACAGCGAGGTGTTAATGGTGTTGCCAAAAAATGGTTGTAAAAAAAAGGTTGACAAAATTGGTTGTAAAAAAGGTTATCCAAATTGGTTGTAAAAAACGACAAATTGTAAAGGGACTGTCAAATATGATGCTGCTAATAAATTGCGGTTGTTGGCAAGAGCAATGAGTATATTAGCTAATTATATAAATAGAGGACCCCACCTGTAAGCAACAGTTTGTTGTGCCCTTTAAGCTTATTTTTTTTCTTTTAAGGAAGCTGTAAAAATTTGGTTGTAAAAAATTTGGTTGTAAAAAATCAATATATGGGAAAGTAAAGGGGAAGCAAGGAAGTTGTAAGCAAAACGAGTGAGCGAGCGAGCGAGCGAATGAATAAACAAGAAACTATATTATGGCTTGTCCTTAAATATGAGTACAAATAAGAGTAGTTGTAGCAAAGACACTAGTAATGATAGTGGAAAGTTTTAGTATGAATTTGATTTTGGTTGCAACAAAAGATGATCAAAATTTTTTTTTCTTTTTTTCCGCCCCAGGTTCGTATAATGGGAAACGATTGTTGTAACTATTTTGTTGTTTATACTAAAGGCAACTAGTTTTTCTCCAGTATTGATGTAATGTTGTATGCTTTTGTTTAGCTATTGCTGTAAATCGTACGCTCTTGCAAAAATCGTATGCTCTTGCAAAAATCCTATGCTCTTACACTAATCCTATACTTTTACAATAAATCCCATGCTATCAAGATTAAGGAAAATCAATGAATTTATACTTTTATTGTTAGAATTTGATTTTATCTATGAGAGTGCTTAATTTAGACAATCCAATGAATATTCAGGCTATTTTTCTTTTTTTTTTTTTTTAACGTGAGATTTTGTTATCGAAAACAAATCAATCAAAATAGCAAACAGACGAGAAAAGAACAAACAAACGAGAAAAGAATAAACAAATGTAATTTCTAAAATGTAAAATGTAATTTGTATATCGAAATTAAAGAAGGAGTAAAACGGTAGTGTGCGATTGCTATTAGTACTTGACTAGTCCATCTCTACATAGTTTATATCTTCTGCAAGCTATTTTATAGTTTATGGTGGGCTGGGTCTTGTAAAATCAGGGGCTTTGAAGTTAAATATAGATGGAAGAATAAGGTGAAAATAGGGTGAAAAATATGGTGAAAAATATGGTGAAAAATATGGTGAAAAACTATAGTGAAAAACTATAGTGCAATACTCAAGGTGCAATACCTAAGCAATACCTAAGGTGCAATACCTAAGGTGCAAGACTAAGATGCTAAGGCTTGAGGTGCTAAGGCTTGAGGTGCTAAGACTTAAGGTGAGGCTTCAGGTGATTGCTGTTATTTTGCTTACATACTAATCTTTAGTAGGCAACAAACAAGTTTTACAGCTTTATAATCAATTCTTGTTTTCTTTTATTTCCGTCTATTTCTTTAATTTCACCTTGAGTTTCATTTCACCCGAGAACAAGTAAATTGTATAGTAAATTTCAAAAGATTTTCCTAGAGTACTAAATAATTCTGCTAGAGTTCTAAATGATTCTAGTGTACTTGCTATAATTGAATTGTAGTATTTCAGTTGACACAATTGAATTGTAGTATTTCAATTGATATAATTATAATATTCTATTCAATAGAGAAAAGACATCAATTGTGTTTGTAAACTTTCGGCCTAAAGAGGTCAGTTTTGGCTACTAACACCGATACAATAAACATCGCGGCATCTTCAGTTCGTACTTGCTATATTTGGAATAAAAATACCTCAAAATAGGCATAGAAACACAAAAAACAAATATAACACAAAAACTACAAAATCAGGTAAACATTACTCTTTTGGAAGATGACCTTTTATAGACAGATCCCAAGTCTCTATGGTTCTTTTAGTTGAGATCATAGACTGATGTTGGAAAATATATCTCGATATAAAATGCCAAATACAGAAATGTAATTAATTACCATTTGTCAAAAGTAGAATGTAAATAACGCATACATTGGGCACAAGAAAACTATATAGCTGTGAATATTATCCAGCAACTGAATCTACTCGACTCTCTCTACTATCGAGCATAGCGAGATGGTAGAAAGCTGTACTCTAGTACTCAACTCTCTCTACTATCGAACGAGATGGTAGAAAGCTGTACTCTAGTACTCAACTCTCTCTACTATCGAACGAGATGGTAGAAAGCTGTACTCTAGTACTCAACTCTCTCTACTATCGAACGAGATGGTAGAAAGCTGTACTCTAGTACTCTAGTACTCAACTCTCTCTACTAGCAACTATATCGTTCCTCGATAGTAAAAGTATAGACTACGAGAAATTTAAAAATAAATGTGGTACTTCTTTAGGTGTTTTAGACGATACATTCATCACAACTAGTTTTTAGCACTCATGACAAGCTCGTTTCCCCAAAGAACCCCACTAATGTAAAAAAACGTGGATCTTTCCAATAATTTCTTGACTTTTTTTTTTTTCTTTTTTTCATTATTGGTGATCAAAATAGTAAATGTTGGTTATCATTTTTTAACATTGCTAATCTTTTCTTGCGATAATGCAAGAGTTGTATGACTTTTTTGCGTGCTAGCTCTTGCTCTACCGTCCAGCACCGTTATCACCAAGACAGAAAGAGGTTTTGTGAGAAGATCATTCAATTCAATTGCAAATCTAAATTTCAGTCATATATATTTATATTAACCTTTGTTCCTTTGAAAAAGAAAAGGTCTTTTTAATCTTGGAATATACAGCCATTTCAAAAATGTTGTATTCTTGTACCCAACTCCTTTTTCTTACTTCCTATCTTCCTCTGATTTCTCATTAATGGATTCTACTTTTGTATCGTCTACACTTGCAGATTCAATACTCGGTGACGCAACAGTCACAATTGTTTGATCTTCATCAAAAACAGTTTCCTTCGACATCAAGTCTTTATTGGGCTCTAGGTTCATCTTCAGTTTCAAAAAGGTCCCCCTCTTTTTTTCCAATTCCTCTGCAGACTGCTTCTTCTCATTCTTCTTCTCTTCCTCTTCTTCAGCTTTAGTTGGCGAATCTTGACACTCAACAGGGTCTTCCTCCTCCTCCTCATCATTGTTCCATTTGCTCTTTAGCTTGGACGATGGAGCAAACGCAGCTGTACATGGTTCTTTACCAGCCTTCGACTCGCTGTCTACTGCTCCAGTTACTTCTGGCTCCTTTTCTCCTTCAATCTTTCTCTACTTACGTTTCTTCCTTTATCAATGCATCTTTCGCATGTTTGTTAAACTCATACACATCGTTATTGAGTTTTTTCAGCTTTTCCAATTTTTCAACAACATCATCAGGGTCTTTAATACTTGTCTCAGATTCACAAGACCTCTTTGCATCTTCCAAAGATACAGCAAGTTTGATATTTTTCTCCATCTCACGAACCAAATGTTCTTCATGATTTTGTTTGATTTTGTTTAATTTTGCAACTTGTTCATTCAAATCATCAACCAATAAAGTTTTCTCCTCAATGGTCTTTTCATCATGTGCGATTTTTAGTTTCAAAATGTCAATATATTCAACTATTCCAGAAAAGATTGACTTTTCCTCCTTTGCGTATTTCAACAGTCCATGATCTGCGTGTTCACCTTCATTATTGTCATGACTACTCAACTGGTCGAACGAATCGTCCAAATTATCATCTTCATCAGATGATATATCGGCAAGATCGATGAATTGATATTTTTGTTTCAGTATCGATACTTGAGGAAAGTCGGGATCTGATCTAAGCTTCTCGATATACTCTTCAAATTGCATGTAAAAATCTTGCAATGCAGTCAAATTCTTTTTCAAGTCTTTTATTGTAAGACTGCTTGCTTTGATCTTCTTACCCATTTCTTCAACCTGAGTAATCAATTCCTGTTTCAGTTCCTTCTCCTTCTCCTTCTCCTTCTCTCCCTTTTCCAACTCCTCAACTTTCTTACTTTTGTCAATAACAACTTGTTTAGAATGATCAAGCTCTTGACAAACTTTCTTATACTTTTCCATCTCCTTATTTGTATTATCCAAACTCTTGACAAGATTAATATTTTCCGCCAAGTGATGATCTACTTCGGTTTGCAAAGTATTGGATTGAACTTGAGCTTGAGATTCCTTTTCACGTAAATCACCGATAATCTTATCCTTTTCTGGTTCAACTTCACTACTCAGTAGCTTCTCCCGTGCCAACTCCTTATTCAATTCTAATACTTTTTGCTCCAACTCAGTAATTTTTGAGTCTCTTTCCACCAAAACAGATTCCATTTTGGTGTTGTATTTGAAGCTATGCTCCTGCTCAAGCTTCTTTTCCAATTGCTCAAGCTTTTTTTCCAACTGCATTGAGCTCTCCAAACTCTTCAAACTCTCGAGCAATTGTTGAACTTGCCCACTCGGCAACTTTGCTTCAGAGCGAACTTTTTCCTCAAATAATAGCTTCAGTTGTTTCTCCACATCATTCAATTTCTGGACCAACTCGTTTTCAGTTTTCTCCTTCGTTTGCCGGTACTCATTTATCTCTTCGGTCTTTACATCCAATTCCTTTTGCATTTTTGCAATTGTTTCATCCAGGGTCTTTTTTAATGATTCCAATTGGTGATTAAGTTTCTGTTTTTCACCCTTCAAATTGGAAATACTAGACCAATTGCTAACAAACAGCAGGACAGAGAAGAAGACTGACAAAGTTGAAAAAAATAAAAACATATGATAATAATATGATACCTCCTTCAGTATCTCAAAGTACTCATTGGATGACATCTTGGTTAACTTTGGAAATAGTAGAGAAAAAGGTATGGGTAAAAGGTACGGGGTAAAAGGTACGGGGTAAAAGGTACGGGGTAAAAGGTACGGGGTAAAAGGTACGGGGTAAAAGGTACGGGGTAAAAGGTACGGGGTAAAAGGTACGGGGTAAAAGGTATTAGGATAAAGGTATCAGGATAAAGGTATTAGGATAAAGGTATCAGGATAAAGGTATTAGGATAAAGGTATTAGGGATAAAGAAGAATTCGTCCTGGGCCCTTTAAAAAACATACGATAATTTCCCAATTGGGTAAAAAAATGCGGCACTATTGATTAGGGTCGTGTCGCACGGCTAATTGCAAAACAATAATTATAATAATAATAATATTTCATTTTCCACATCTCATCTATCACCGCCACAACACACATGCACCACACGCACTTATCACCGCTGCCACTTGCCGAGATGAGACATATGGTAGCACACAACTATATTGTGGCACATGCAAAGATTCGCTGAGAAAAAGTTGATTAGATAAACTCAAGTTAGCCGCCTTTCTTCATATTCAACCAAAAACTGCAACCCCAACAATTGTTCTTGTTCACTCACCAAGCACGACCAGTTGATCTTTTTCTTCAACCTACACCTTGGTTTCTTCCTTCTCTCTTCTTTCTATCAAAACCTCTTCTCAGACCGTGGTGTGACCTGTTACTCAATTCGGTCCATCTCGATGGCCCTTCCTTAACGTCTCTTGTTGATCAGGCGAGAACAAAAAAAAAAAAAAAAAAAAAAGAACTCCGTTAGTTGATGAAATTTCATGGTAACATAACTGGGGATTCTAATAGCTGGGAATTATAATAACTAGGGATTCTAGTAGGTGAGATTCTAGTAGGTGAGATTCTAGTAGGTGAGATTCTAGTAGGTGAGATTTTAGTAGGTGAGATTCTAGTATTTGCAATTGAAATCTGTTCTAGTAGCAAGACGGATTAGTTTCTGAGGCAATAATTTTCTTGTATACAAGATACGTTTGTCGCTGACTATTGGACAGCGTTTCTTTTGTAAACTCGCCGCGTTAGATATATAGAAAGAAAGAATGGAGATCACACCGTCTTATAGGTCTTCAAGGTCGAGATCAAGATCGAGAACAAGAAATTCAACAGCCAACTCAAGGGCAACGTCAGCAACACGAAGACCAAGTATATCGTCGGCCAAGCGTTCATTGTCGAGCTCTTCTTTAGACAGGCTAACTGTTACGCCAACTCGTATTGATAGTGAGAGAAGCATCCCATCAGTTCAGGTGGTGCTTGATAACTCATTACCCAAGGATTTTTTCAAACAGGATATCATTGCTCTTGCAAAGATTTTGAAAATCAGCAAATGGCATAAACGCAATTTGTTACAGCAGCATTTGGCAATCACTAGAATATCGGGCGCACTAACTAATTCGATTTACAAGATTGAATATAACGACGATGAAAGTGATGTTCATCTTCCAGCGCTTTTGCTTAGAGTATACGGGAAAAACGTTGATGAATTAATAGATAGGGATCTGGAATTACAAATATTGATTAAGCTTTCACAAAAACGCATTGGACCAAGATTATTGGGTATTTTTACAAATGGGAGATTTGAACAGTTTCTTGATGGCTTCGTTACTCTTAATAAAGAGCAGATTAGAAATGAAGTCATATCGCAAATGATTGGTAGGAGAATGAAGGATCTACACTACAAAATTGAGTTGAACATGGATGACTTCCAATCAGCTCCAACGTGCTGGAGATTAATTGAAAAGTGGTTGAAGATTTTGGAATTTGAGTACATGCCCCAGTATGAAGCAGCAGGAATCAATCCCAAAGATGTGTTTTTTTTCAATTTCCAAGAATTCAAAAAACTTGTGTTCAAGTATAAGCATTGGTTGTTTTCCAAGTATGACGAAGCGAAAGAGGAGTTTGCATCAAATTACAAGTTTTGTCACAATGATACTCAATACGGGAATCTACTTCTTCGTGAATCATTTAAACCTGAGCATATTATCATAGGAGACAATCCAAACTTTTCGGCATCAAACTTCAATGATGTGGCAATAAGATCAACATCCAATAAAAAGGACTCGGACTTGGTAGTTATAGATTTCGAATATTCGGGACCAAATTTCCCAGCTTTTGACATTGTTAACCATTTTAGCGAATGGATGGCCAACTATCATGATCCGGTAAGATCATACTATATTGACCAGGACAAGTACCCAACCAAATTGCAACAATTGAACCTTATAAAATCATATATTGAATATGACTTTCAATTCCCTTCTTCGAATTTAAAAACACTGAAATCGCCAATTGAACTATCAGACAACCCTAAATCTCAAGCGATTAATTTGATCCAGCATGAAATTGAGAAATTTTACAACGAATGTGTTTATTGGAGAGGTTCAGTACAAATATATTGGTGTTTATGGGGATTAATTCAAAATGGTTCATTGAAACCAACTTTGCAAGTTGAGTCTACTGGAGAAAAAGGTGTTGACAGCACTTACAACATTACAGTAGATATTGAGAAATTATCAGTGGATGATTCAGAAGTTGCTACTCAAGAAGCCATTACTTCTTGTGACGATGATTTTGATTATTTGAAATATTCTAATCAAAAAATTGCAATCTTTATGGGTGACGCTATTCAATTTAAACTAATTGATGAAAATGAGATTGATCAAGAGTATAGAAAATCGATAAAGTATTTGAGTATAGATACTTTTGACTATTGAGAGAGTAGGGTGGCGTGTGTGTGTGTGTTTGTAGTTATTGGTATATAGAAGATTGCATATTATCTACAGCTTGATCAAAGTATAACAAGCTAACTAAAAAAATAAAAAAAATAATAATAAAAATTAAAGAAAGTTGATGAAATTTTTCACCTTGTAGTTGAACTTTACAAGAGTAATGCTAGCGTTTCGAACAAAAGGATATAATGGGTATGGGGTACAGTACTCACCCTTTTATGATAATAAGCTAGCGGTACTGACGGCGGCGAATTACGGCCTTGTTGGTAACGGACGGCTATTTATTCTCAATATTGAGCCTGGTGGACAAATAGTTGGGCAAGGATCATGGGAAACTCAAGATGGGTTATTTGACCTAGCATGGAGCGAGATCCATGAAAACCAGTGTGTTGTTGCGAGTGGTGACGGCTCAATCAAATTATTCGATATAATGGTTCCCCAGTTCCCTATTTTGCAGTGGAAAGAGCACGAGCGTGAGGTTTTTTCAGTGAATTGGAATCTTGTTGATAAGACCAATTTTGTCACTAGCAGTTGGGATGGGATGATTAAGATATGGTCACATCAAAGAGCAGAATCTATGTACACATTGAGACCAAACTCGACCGATTTCACAACGAAAAGTGCCCCGATTTCGCAAACGGCGAAGCCATTGCTTCTGTTTCAACAGCAACACCAACAGGCATCAAACACCAAGCATTGCATATATTCAGCCCAATTTTCGCCACACTCTCCGTCTATGCTTGTGTCATGCAATGGCTCTTCCCAGGTACAGATATGGGACTTGAGAACAGCACACCCACTACAAATGCAATTCATATCGCACAATGGACTAGAAACGCTCTCAGTAGATTGGAATAAATATAAATCAACAGTTATTGCCTCTGCTGGTACAGATAAGTCCATTAGAGTATGGGATCTAAGGATGATTTCCAAAATAGACCAGCCTCATCTGCATTCACCTATGCCACTGCAGCACCAACGTGGACCTTCTCCCTTGAATGAGTTCTTGGGACACGAATTTGCCGTTCGCAAAGTGCAATGGTCGCCCCATGACTCGAAAGAGTTGATAAGTACTTCCTATGACATGACTGCAAGGATATGGCGAGACGAACTGGATGAAAGAGCAAGATTCTTAAATACCAAAACGGGCGGTATGAAGGGTATATTTGGCCGACATAAGGAATTTGTGATTGGCTGCGATTATAGTCTATGGGGAGAGCCAGGCTGGTGTGCTACTACTGGATGGGATGAAATGGTTTATGTGTGGGACTCCAAAAGGGTATAACAAGGAGACACTGCAAACCGCAAACTGCACTATCGAGCGAAGCGAGATAGTGTAGACATTGCAAGTTAGTGAAGCCACTGCAAACTGCACTATCGAACGAAGCGAGATAGTGTAGCCACCGCAAATCAGTAGAGCACTGGAAACTAGTGGAGCACCGCAAATTAGTAGAGCCACCGCAAGTTAGTGGAGCACTGCAAATTATTGGAGACACTGCAAGTTAGTGGAGACACCGCAAGTTAGTAGAGCACTGCAAATTAGTAGAGACTTAGAGAGTACTGCAAATTGCTAGATTACTGCAAATTAGTAGAGCACCGCAAATTAGTGGAGTATCGTAAGTTAGTGGAGACACCGCAAGTTAGTGGAGCACTGCAAATTAGTAGAGACTTAGAGAGTACTGCAAATTAGTAGAGCACCGCAAATTAGTGGAGTATCGTAAGTTAGTGGAGACACCGCAAGTTAGTGGAGCACTGCAAATTAGTAGAGACTTAGAGAGTACTGCAAATTAGTAGAGCACCGCAAATTAGTGGAGTATCGTAAGTTAGTGGAGACACCGCAAGTTAGTGGAGCACTGCAAATTAGTAGAGACTTAGAGAGTACTGCAAATTAGTAGAGCACCGCAAATTAGTGGAGTATCGTAAGTTAGTGGAGACACCGCAAGTTAGTAGAGCACTGCAAATTAGTAGAGACTTAGAGAGTACTGCAAATTGCTAGATTACTGCAAATTAGTAGAGCACCACAAATTAGTGGAGACACCGCAAGTTAGTGGAGCCACCGAAAATTAGTAGATTACTGCAAATTAGTAGAGCACTGGAAATTAGTAGATTGCTACAAATTAGAAGAGACCTAGAGAACACTGCAAATTACTAGAGACCTAGAGATTATTGCAAATTACTAGAGAATACTGCATATCAATGGAAACCGTTACTGGAGATGGTAATTTGGTGACCATCTCCAGACATAGTGTACTCTGTTTTGCTTCACTATTGAGCGGAGCGAGATAGTACTATGTTAGTGTACTGTGTTTTGCTACACTATCTTGCTCCGCTCGATAGTACAATGTTAGTGTACTGTGTTTTGCTTAACGCTCGATAGATCTGTGTTTCGCTACACTATCTCGCTCCGCTCGATAGTGTACTGAGTTTTGCTCTATAGTGTACCTTAATAACGACTCTAGTCTATTTCTCCAACATTCTATTCCATGACCCGTTTGTTCTACTAGATTGATCGATTCGGTTATTTAATTTCTTTTATTCCTAATTAGTCGAAAAGGTAAATATTTTATTAATGTTGCATAATAAATGAATCTTTCCTAATTAGGCAAGAAAATCTTTTTCACTTTTTGCAATCAAATCAACAAGATGCCCTGGCATCTTGTTGATTTTATGATATCTTTCTATATATATTTATACATATTTATATATATATTGAAGAGTGTCTGGGTTAAACAGTCTAGTTATTAAAAGGCCTTTTTTTTTTTTTTAAAACTGGCCCATTGATGATGATGAGTACACTTGCATTAAATCTTCCATATCACTATAAACTTGACCCCAGGGCAACTAAGAAAGCATCGTGTTTTCAAACTTTCTATGAGACAAATATTGGACTATGGAAGAAACAATTGAATAGCACGACGAGGGAAAGTTACAGAATCATTGATAACTTACCAAAAATAGTGACTACTATTGATGAAATAAATTCAAACCAAAATCGAAATCAAAATCAAAGTCGAAGTCAAAATCGAAATCGAAATCGAGATCGAGATCAGTATGATGGAAATTACGTCAAGTATGTTAATACACTGATCAATAACCAGTTAATCACAGTATTTATTCACTCAAACTCTTTTTCGTTTATTGAAGAGACGAAATCTCAAATATTGAGAGCTTACGATGTCATAATTTCCAAAACAATTGTCATTGATGAAATCAAGTTTATGAAAATTGATGAGACTTTTATTGCTGAGATGAATAAGCTTTGCCAGAGATATCAAGTTGAAGTGATCATTAATAATACGCCGCAATCATTCGATACTAAGCCCGTGGAAACCGCGTATTCCTATTCCTATTCCTATTCCATTCACATGGTAGGTGGTCAGGATAACGTTACCCAATTTGAAACATCATTAAAAGCAATGATTGACCTGTTGTTAAATAACTATTTCCTTGATGCTTTCACTATCCCATTAAGCAGAATACCTTTACTAGGCGGGGTAGGGTTAAAGAATTTCCAACAAATTGCTAGACAAACAAACACAAACATTTATATACCCGATTTATTGCCCAATTTGTACAATTCAAAGATTTTTGCAAATAATCAAGATATGAGATTGTTGTTCACTGCAAAGAATGTCACTGAGCTATTACTTTGTAAGTGCATTTTGAGTAAACTAATAGCTTCACAAACACAACTAATAACCAAGTCCGTTTCCATGTCTAAATATAAGCTAGATTCAATCATCTTGAACCATCAATCCGAGTTGATAAATTTAATGTTGAAACACTCTGTGTTCATCCAGTTTCCTAGTTTAGGCGAAGCCAATGAAAATGCCGATACGATCATCATCCAAGGCCAGAATTTAGAAGCAATTGATGATTGCATAAATGGGATTAACATAATCGCATCTCAATATTATACAATTTCGGGAAGCAAGACTCAAAACATCAAAGATTTGTATCATACTTGCCAGTACAGGAAAAGTTGTCAGTTGATAATTGACGGGAAACATCAAAGATTTGAAATTATGGGTCATTGCAATGAGATAAAAGCGTTGCTTACATCCTCAATGATGAACACAGCAGGCGCACCATTGAATCTCTCTATAGAATTGAATAACGATCAAAAAGAATTTATTAGTGGGAAGAAAAATGGAAAGTTGATCAAGATTCTCAATCAGTTGAATAATCTCCCAATTATCAAATTCACTAATCATGATGAATATAGTTTCCATATTGAGATATCTGCTCAAAATAGTCTTGTTCTCAAAAATACAGTTGAGTTAATTGAGTTGGAGTTACCAGCGGAATTGAAGTTCAATATCCCCGAAGTATTCCACAAATCCGTTATTGGTAATGGTGGATCGATAATACAACAAATCATGAAGAAATATAACGTCTTTATCAAGTTCTCATCCAATTTCGATTCATCAACAAATTTGTATTGCTTAAGAAGAGAACCAAATGTGTTGATAAAATGTCCTCGCAAAAATATGCAAAACATCCCCTTGGTGAAAAATGAAATTGATCAGTTGGTGCTCAAATACAGCATGAATGATATCTTACAACAACAGCATACAACGGTTTACTATAACATCAAGTTTCAAATTTTGAAAAACCATTACCTGTTACTCGTAAATAACAACAAGCTCCATTTGATCAACAAGTTAGAGCACGATTACAACTCGTTTATAAATTTCCCTTCAACAATTGAAGATTTCAAAGCCAACTCTGTAGAGTTCAATATCAAAGGATCAGAATCCAAGATCAAATCTTGTGCAAAACAACTACTGTCTTTACTCCCACAATGCTATGAGTTTAAATTTACTGCAAACCAATCCAAATTCAAAGAATACTTCAAAACGAGGGACTTTGAAGATCAAGTAGTAATTCCATTTAGATTGTTATTGAGCTATGATTTGATCGTTAATGAAACTCCAATAAACTCAAACCCAAATTCCACATACCACCAGATAATCATGACGTATTACGACTCGAGTAAGCTTCCACAAGCCATTGAGTCAATGACATATTGGCTAAGGGAACGTGGATTTCTCATTACGGAAAAAAGCGAAATGCAATTCAACCCAATTCTAGAATCAACAGTATCATCGCCTATTAAAGTGAATAAATTCACCTCGACTCCACTTTCCATGCCCTTGCAGTCAATAACAAACATAAACTTTACGTTTTCATCGCCAGTAAAGAAAACACATTTGCCGGCTATATCTCCAGGTAAGCAGATTGCGGCAATGTCTCCAGGAAAACAAATCCAAATCCCAGCCATGTCTCCAAGCAAACAATACATGGTTTCTCCTTCACGACAACAATTGATGATGCAATCGCCAGTACGACCATTCAATTCTACATCTTCCTTTTCGTCGCCTGTAAAATCTGGTCACTATCAGTCACCAGTAATGTTATCGCCAGTCAAATTTAAGTTGGATGCTATAAATTTGAACGAGGCAGGTAGTTATGTATGTAATATATAAAGATTCGAGCTTGTACCTAGCTTGCAATATTGGTCTATCGAGTACCGATTTGAGACCTACTATCGAGCAAAGCGAGATAGTGGGGCAGCACTCAGTGGCTCGTTACAACACCATCTAGCAGAGCGAGATAGTGGAGCAGCACTCAGTGGCTCGTTACAACACTATCTAGCTTGCATTTTCACTAGTGGTGGTGATGACAGGTGATGAAGGTTTGTGCATCTCTCTCTCGCTTTGCTCGATAGTATCAGTATCGAGCAGTGTCGACGGTTGCGCTCCACTATCTCGCTTTGCTCGATAGTGTCGATATTGGTCTATCGAGTACCGCTGGCTTCACTAGTGGTGGTGGTGGTGGTGGTGATGTACAGCTGGTGAATGGGTTTGACCTAGTCACGTGCATGTCACGTGAGATACTCTGGTATTGACAAGTTGCAGCATTTTTGTGTCTTGGGCCTTTTTTATCAAGAGTCGCATCTAGATCTAGTGATGTTCCAAAACGGCTCTCACAATAGTGTTATTAGTGTCGCCAGTGTCTCCAGTGTTGCTAGTGTCGCCAGTCAGTGCTGCTCCACTATCTCGCTCTGCTTGATAGTGTCGCGAAGCATAATTAACTTTTGATATCCTCGGTAACTCTTACTTGATTAATAAGGAAACAACGGAAAATTACGGGAAACGCAAATTTTCCCAATTAGGAAAAATGTATACTTTCGAGATCTCTTAAAAGATGAGTCGATTGTTTTAGAAATTTAATCTGAATGGGTGATTGGCGTTTATTTGAATGGGATTATTAACAAAGTGCTAGTAGTCAGTACTGCTCCACTATCGGGCAGAGCGAGATAGTGGAGCAATACTCAGTAGCTTGTAACAACACTATCGAGCAGAGCGAGATAGTGTCACTGCTCGATAGTGGAGCAACTCAGTAGCTTGTTACAACACTATCTTGCTCTGCTCTATAGTGTCACTCGACAGTGTCGCTGGCATCTTCGGACTCCTAAATCCTGGTTATATGTCCTTGTATTCTTAACCAAATAGCAATGCATAAAAAAAAAAAAAAGAAAAAAAAAAAAGAAAAACAAAATGGGGTACATAGCGATGGTATTGCAAGAGATTTTATCAACGGTGGAAATTCGAGTGAAAATTGTGTGTTTGTGCATATATATATATATATAGAAAGAGAGACTAGTCTCTGTTTTTAGCCCATTTCTATCGTTTTAGTAGAGATACTGCATTTCTTTCTTTTCTTTCTTTCCTTAAACTCAAAGTAATTCACACTTGATTCCCAGATGTTGATGAAATTTGGATTTCCAGATGTCGATGTATGGAGCTCTTTGCCGAAATTGGATACTCCAATTCCGCCAAGTCCCTTTAAAAGTGAAGCACTTTGTAAATTCTACAATTTCACAATGAAGGGATCAACACCACTTTCAATTGCTATCATCTACTTTACCTCAATCCATTACATGAATGAAGTTGTCAGGAAAAGGCAATTGAGAAAAAGACAAGCTAATGAAGAAAAGAGTCGTAATGGTGGTGGTGGTGCTAGTGGTGCTAGTGGTGGTGCTACGCTTTCAAAAAGCTTACCCGCTGCTCCTTGGCCCATTGCCAGGACATTTCCTTTCAAACTATTTGTCTTATTGCACAACATTTTCCTTTGTATTTATTCCATTTGGACGTTTATTGGAATCACAACCGCTATAGCATCAACAATGGACATTTTCAGATTTGACTTGATCCCCAAATTTTTCCAAAACATCAATAACGAAAATTACACTTTTGCTAAACTAGATGTGTTTTTCCAGAGTATATGCGATTCTCGATATGGTATATTTTCCAGATTAATTACATCGAGTAAGGGGTTGCACAATTTGGAAATCCTTGGTTACTGGTTCTATATATCTAAATTTTATGAGGTTTTAGACACGATTGTGATTCTTGTTAAAGGCCGACCATCTTCCTTGCTACAAAGCTACCATCATGCAGGAGCAATGATGTGCATGTGGGCAGGAGTGAGATACCAATCACCACCTATTTGGATATTTGTTGTATTCAACTCCTTCATTCACTCCTTGATGTATTTTTACTTTACATTATCGTGTTTACACATTAGAGTCCCGACTCTTGCGAAAAAGATTCTTACATCATTGCAAATCACCCAATTTGTCGTTGGCGGAAGTATTGCCATATTGCACTGTTTTGTATGGATCAGCGATTTGAGCTTGGGTGACAAAATAGAGGAAATAAGATTAATTAGTTGCATAGCTTCTCCAAATCAAGCATTGCCTATTTTGATCAATGTCGCTTATCTAACACCATTAACGGCCCTATTTGCAATCTTTTATGTCGAAAGCTACTTTAAGAAAAAAACCTAATTCCAACACTATCGAGCAGAGACACTAGTGACACTATCGAGCAGTGACACTATCGAGCAGAGCGAGATAGTGTTGTAACAAGCTACTGAGTGTTGCTCTACTATCGAGCAGTGGCACTATCTCGCTCTGCTCGATAGTGTCACTGGTCGATAGTGTCACTGGTCGATAGTGTCACTGGTCGATAGTGTCACTGGTCGATAGTGTCACTGGTCGATAGTGTCACTGGTCGATAGTGTCACTGGTCGATAGTGTTGTTACAAGCTACTGAGTGCGAGATAGAGAGCAATAATAGGTTTAAATAGACCCCCGCCTGCACTTCCTGCACCCACTGCACCCACTGTACTCCCTGTACTCCCTGTACTTTAATTATATACATATCCAAGGGCATTAAATATTAAACGCTGAGTAGCCTTTTAAACGAAATTTGACACTATTTATATATATCCGTCTTTTTCTTTTGTAATTTAATTATGCTACCACCTGTCCCTTGCCTTTTTCTTTTTTCTTTTTTCCGCTGGCGCTACCACATGTAACTTTGCGCGGTAAGGAAATTGAAAAAAAGCTATTGTTCCAAATGAAGTATATAGCTATTAACTAGCCATTGGATTAGCGATTAGCTTAGCAATCAGTTGGTAATTAGCACCTGAAGGTATATAAATGGTTTGGATAGTATGGCATATAATCCACTACTGACCTATGAGCAAGACCCTTTTAGGGATCAGCTGTCTATTCTTAGTATAGAGGACCCACTGACTGTCCATAGTGTGCTGGAGGTAGAATTAAATACTCAAAAACCACTAGGTCTGCATGGTATCAGCAATAGTAGCAGTTACAACAGTAGCAGCACAGAGGGAAATTCTGCTACAAAACACCATAGGACGGATAAAGAAGAACAAGAACAAGAAAAGGAGGAGGAGGAGGAGGAGGAGGTGGATTTATTCGATCCAATACAATTTAAACAATCACAAGACCAAGGTGATATGGAACGTACCTCACTAGATTCTTTCCGAGACGATTTTGGGAACGTTTACGATTCAGTAAACTTTGACAACAAGAAATACACCCAAAAACTCACTTTCAAGGGAACCAAACTAGTTTACTTTACCTCGGCGTTTGTTAGTTTATTTGTCAGTTTGTTCGGATACGAACAAGGTGTATGTAGTGGGATTCTAGCATTTGACACGTTTAATTTATACTTTAACCACCCCAGTGCAGCGACTATTGGGCTAGTCATATCTATTTTGGAAATTGGTGCCATGATCAGCTCAATACTCGTGGCTAAGATCTCGGATAATTTTGGAAGGAAGAGAACAATCTTGCTAGGGACATTCATCTTCATGATCGGTGGGACCTTGCAGTCGTTTTGTCCCAATATGTTTGTCTTTGCCGTGGGCAGAGTGCTTAGTGGGGTAGGAGTAGGTATTTTATCAACAATTGTTCCATCATATCAATGTGAGATAAGTCCAAGTGAAGAGAGAGGGAAGCTTGTGTGTGGTGAATTTACAGGTAATATCAGTGGATACGCATTGAGTGTTTGGGTTGATTATTTTTGCTACTTCATTCAGGATATAGGGAATACGCGAAAAAACCCAAATTCATTTTTGGCTAATTTAAGTTGGAGACTACCGTTATTTATACAAGTCGTTCTTGCTTTTGTTTTGTTTCTTGGTGGGTTTTTCATTGTTGAGAGTCCTCGTTGGTTGTTGGATAATGATATGGACCAGCAAGGGTTTAATGTCCTAAGTTTATTATATGACTCTCATCCACTGAGTACTAAACCCAAAACGGAGTTTTTCTTGATCAAAAATTCCATTTTGCATGAGAGGCAAACGATACCGAAATCAGAGAGGACGTGGAGGCTTTTGATACTGAGGTATAAACAAAGAGTGTTTGTTGCTTGTTCTTCACTCGTTTTTGCGCAATTGAATGGAATCAATATCATCTCCTATTACGCACCCATGGTTTTTCTTGAGGCCGGGTTTAATGATTCAGGAGCATTATTGATGACGGGTATAAATGGATTGATTTACCTTTTATCCACGATCCCACCATGGTTTCTAGTGGATAAATGGGGAAGACGGCCCATTCTAATATCCAGTGGTATTGCCATGGGGGTATGCTTAAGTCTAGTTTCCATCTTTATGTTTTTAAATAAATCGTATACCGCATCGATAGTTGCAGTATTAGTGATAATTTACAATGCGTCGTTTGGATTTGGATTCGGGCCAATACCATTTTTGTTATCTGGAGAATCATACCCATTATCAGTACGTTCGAAAGGTGTTTCCCTTGCGGTAGCGTGCAATTGGCTAAGTAACTTTATTGTGGGATTATTGGCTCCTATATTACGACAGAATATCCAATGGGCAATGTACTTATTCCCAGCTGGGTCATGTATCCTTAGTGTTATCTGTGTTATATTATTCTACCCCGAGACCAAGGGTGCTGAATTGGAGGAGATTGATGCAGTGTTTGACGATTTTTATGCCGAACTGCCGTTTACGAGAATGTTTGGTAGTTTCAGTAGAAAGAGGAACAGAAACAGAATCACAGATGAGCAAGGTAGAAGAATGCATGCAGCGTATGATAGATTAGAGAATGATTTACTTACGAGAGCAAGGAACCATGATGATAGCGATGATGATATTGGTAGTGATGATGAAGATATGGTATTGGTTGAGGATGAGAATATTGAGATGGAAGAATTGAATAACTTGGATTACGAGTATGATACTGGGAATAGGAATTAAAAATCGACTGGTTCGATGGCGACACTAGCAAGCGAAGCGAGCTTGAAGGGTTTTATTTTTGAATGGCAACACTAGCGAGCGAAGCGAGCTAGTAGAGCAATACTTTGTAGGGTTTTATTTTTGAATGGCGACACTAGCGACCGAAGCGAGCCAGAAGGGTTTTACTTTTGAATGGCGACACTAGCTCGCTTCGCTCGCTAGAAGGGTTTTACTTTTGAATGGCGACACTAGCTCGCTTCGCTCGCTAGAAGGGTTTTACTTTTGAATGGCGACACTAGCTCGCTTCGCTCGCTAGAAGGGTTTTACTTTTGAATGGCGACACTAGCTCGCTTCGCTCGCTAGAAGGGTTTTACTTTTGAATGGCGACACTAGCTCGCTTCGCTCGCTAGAAGGGTTTTACTTTTGAATGGCGACACTAGCTCGCTTCGCTCGCTAGAAGGGATATATTTTTTAATGGGTAGTTAAAAGTAGATTGATTTAGAATTGTTATTTACTTTTTTTTTTTAGCACCCGCTAGGGGAAGGAGTTCCGATATGCAATACAATAAGGGGAAAGAGTTCCGAGATGCAATATAGAAAGGTGAAATTCTACAGCAAACAAAGTGGTTAGTTTGAGTTTGCAAAGTGCATTATATGGATTCCGTGGGTATTCAGCTGAAAGAAGAGAGGATAATTTGAACCAATTTGTATTGGCTTTGTAAAAATATTATTGCAGGAGAAGTAGAAGAGTGAAAAAAGCTATAGAAAAGGAAAAGTATGGACACCAACCAAATTTGTATTGACGATAAAGTTTTCATACTACACCTCCTAGCCTCTTTGCTCCATATTATTACACCTCTCTTAGCCTCTTACTACACCTCTCTTAGCCTCTTACTACACCTCTCTTAGCCTCTTACTACACCTCTCTTAGCCTCTTACTACACCTCTCTTAGCCTCTTACTACACCTCTCTTAGCCTCTTACTACACCTCTCTTAGCCTCTTACTACACCTCTTTTAGCCTCTTTGCCCCATATTACTACCTCTCCTAGCCACCTTTAGTCTAAAACTACTACATTTGTAATAGTTAGCGAAAGCTTAAATCTTTTAGGGAAAAAAGGGTTTGTCCTTTTAGACACTACATTTTGCTGTGATACGTTACATGGTGATACAAATTCTAGAACTAAAAAAGAAAGGTGTAGAGTCAAATGTGTAGAAAATAAAAAATATACTGACTTTGGAATTGTCAAGTAATGGAGTAAAATAAGTCTTGTGATGTGTTATGGCGGTAGTGTTGTGATGTGTTATGGCGGTAGTGTTGTGATGTGTCATGGTGATTTATAGTGTGGTGATTTATAGTGTTGTGATGTGTAGTCTTGGGATGTATAATGGTGATTTATAGTGTTGTGATGTGTAATGGTGATTAATAGTGTAGTAATGTGTAGTATAGTGATTAATAGTGTAGCGGTATGTAATGTTGCGATATGTAATGTTGCAGTGGGTAATTTTGTGATGGGTCATTTGTGATGGGTAATTTGTGATGCGAATGTGCAACGTGTAAAGATAAGGACACCGTCATTTTGATCTCATGCAATGTATTGTAAATAAAGTTTTCTTGTAAATTGAGCAAGAGATGTGAGTAGTGCTACAAGTAAGGTAATTGAGTTTCCCGAAATCAATATGTACATCTCAGTGCCAAGGTTATCTTTGATGGGTTTCGTGTGAGATGTAGCAGCAACAAGATATTATTAATGGGGAACTTATTATTACAAGATCTCATTAGAGTAAGCTTGTTTAACCAATTAAAAGCTATATAGCAATCAAACAGTAAATAAACAATAGAATACTATTCCATACGGCTCTTTTTCCTCTTGAGAAGGCGGTAGAAAGAATTGAGAGATTTTTTAATGCTATTATTATTAATGCTTATTATCTACTCTATTATTAATGATTGTCTACTCCATTATTAATGCTTGTCTACTCCATTATTAATGCTTATTGTCTACTCCATTATTATTGATGCTCATTATGTCCACTATTTTAGTGCACTATTTTAGTGTACTATTTTTCCTTTATGTAATTTGTTAGCTTTCATTTGTTACGGAAAAAAACCCACCATATGGTAGCGGATACAAGGTCATCGGATACAAGGTCATCGGATAAAGTGAATATATATTAACAATAGAATAGACATTTTGCACATTGTAGCAATACACATTGTAACCTTGAATTCGGTCTATAGGACTTGCTGACTTGCCAAACTATTACACCTTGTGGCTAACAAGCAGTAACTCTTGACTAGAACACATACTAGGACATTGTCCTTGTACAGCGTCTTTTTGCACCAAACCAGTGTTTCAACTCATATATTAAACACAAACACACCTCCCCCTCCCCTTACACCTCCATTCTACAAAGTATGGCCCTTTATTAACTCACGCCTCTCACTTATCTTTCGTCTCATAGCTTTTTCCAGAAAATAGATACGTTTTTTTTTTGGTTTTTCTATGATTATGGCTGTTGTCGATCAAGAAGATACTCTGTATCATAGATCAACATTCCACCTGATATTTGTTCAGGATAACACTAATAATAACCACCACCACCACCACCACAACAACAACAACAACAAAAACAACAATAATAATGCCAAAGGTAACGTGGATAGTGCCCGATCCATTTTTGAAGAACCAGATATTACACTAGTTACCCAGTGTAGCAAGCAGTCTTCTATACCTATACCATATATCCCACAATTATCTAGAGGTAGATTGAATTTGAAGAAATCATTCACTGCGGGAAGCACCAAGCTAAAGACTAGGTCACATCCATTGGTTAATGATGAGATTGATCTATGTGGTGAAGAAGAAAAAGAAGAAGAAGAAGAAGATGTGGATGATGACGATGATGATGAGTTTTTGGATGAGTATGAATCGGATGATCTTTCCTTCAGCTCTACTCTGTCCTTCCAATCAAGTGTCACCAATGTATCAAGGAAACCACCACCATTATACCAGTACCATTCATTTAATAATGCACTTTACTCATATGTATCCCCTAAATCAACATTAATGATTAGCATACCAACAAACAGATCAATATCTATAGCATCATCTTCCGTCTCCTCGGTAAATACTTGTTTTTCACCTAAACAACCAACACAACAAGAACTACCACCACTACAACAGCAACAACAGCAACAACAGCAGCACCAGCAGCAGCACCACCCCCACCACCAGGCAAAGGTGATGTCTAGAAGTTTAAGTGGGTCATCTACTTTATCAGTGACTTTGCCTCAACAATCACCACAAACCACTTCTTGCTCACCGGTGACCATAACGTCAAAGGGAATACTTGGTTCTGATTCTAGTTCTAATGCACTGAGGTTTGGTTATCCAAAAAAGACTCTTCGTCACGCATCGTCTACCGAGTGTCTCTACAAACTACTACACAACTCGTCATCTCCTTCAGTCAAGAAATTACTTTATTCCAATCTCACAACGTCCTTGAAATTGTTGAAAAATAAAATCCCTTTTTATACCAGTCGACAAAGTATACTCAATAACATCATAAGTGAACCTCCACGATTAACCGACGATAAGTTCCCAACTTCACAATCTGAAGAGCTCATAACTTTCTTTCAAGATGACCAAGTCACTAATGATCATGAAATGTCAGCGGCATCTGCACAACTTTCCTTCACACCACATATTAAATCGACGTTTAAAAACCGAGATTCACGAATAAATTCTCAATTCCTAAGACTATATGCTTATGATTACAATGCTCGTATCAACTCCCAAACATTACCCAATTCATTAGCTCAGGACGATTCATCACCCATTCTTACAAAGAAATCTAATCTCACTTTCCATATCAAACATAATATGTTTAGAATATCCAATATGTCGAGAGAAAAATTATGGAATAGTGTTATTCTACCGCCAAGAAAGGATCAAAGTCCGATGGACTGTATAGACAGTGAATCATACTGTCCAGATGTGGAAATGGAAGAGGAGGATGAGAAGGAGCAAAAAAAGAATAATACAACACTGAGTGCTTATGGGGCTACTTCGATAACGAGAAAACTGGGTAAATACTTGCCTTGGGATTTGAAACCAAGCATCAAACCAGCAGGGGTCTTGCATGGAGGGAAATGGGTATTCAATGGAATGGCACCAAATTCTGGTATTACAAAGACTCAGTTTACCGTTAAGGGGTGGTGCAATTCCAAATGGAGAAATATTTACAAGGAATTTGATAACGATAATAATAATGATGATGATGACGACGATGACGATGAGGAGGAGGAGGAGGAGGAGGAGGAGGAGGAGGGCTGGATATAGAAAACTGGAATTTTTTAAAGCGCTATCCATTTTCAATTCTTTCTTAATTAATTAATTAATTCATTTGATTGTATATAGATTAAATAGAAATACAAAGGATTCATAAAGATAATTTGAACATAAAGGTGATGTCCATGGCTATACATATGCGCGTTAGCTCATCAACTGTAATCAGATGGTAGTGTTTCGTTATACTGGTTTGGTAGCGAAATTACAAAAAGCACCAACACAATCGACTGACACTATCGACTGACACTATCGACCGACACTATCGAGCAGAGCGAGATAGTGGAGGAACACAAACATCGAACAATGTTGTGATAGCTCGCCTCGCTCTGATAGACGGTGGCTCACTCAGTAGCTTGTTACGACACTATCTAGCGGAGCGAGATAGTGTTATTAGTCAATTTGCTCCACCAGCTCGCTCTATAGTGTCATTAATCAATGTGCTCCACCAGCTCGCTCTGGTTGATAGTGTCATTAATCAATTTGCTCCACTATCTCGCTCTACTCGATAGTGTCATTAATCAATGTGCTCCACTATCTCGCTCTGCTCGATAGTGTCGCTCCCTAGTGTCGCTCCCTAGTGATACACTCGCTCTACTCTTCTTCTAATAAACTCATACAGTCACGTGACGTCATGCGGGCAAAGCCCTCATTTTTAAACGTCTGGGCAACGACTTGCAAGTTTGCACTACCATGAAAAATTAAATTTTGCAAAAGGTATAACCGATATAATTCATCATTCACCACTACCGGTTCCCCCCCACCAACTAACCCTTAACCGAATAATGGCTCCAAAAGGTAAAAAAGTGGCACCAGCACCATTTGCTGCTAAATCAGCCAAGACAGCTGAGTCTAAAAACCCATTAATTGAATCTAGTCCTAAGAACTTTGGTCTTGGACAATCGATCCAACCAAAGAGAAACTTATCTAGATTTGTTAAATGGC